ATTCGTATACGAACGCCAAGACTACCACTAGTGGACCATTCATCTCTGAGATGGGCATTTTCGAAAGACTTATTTTAGACACTCATAGATCATCGTCTGGAAGGAAGGAAGCAATACTTTCCCAGGAAACAGTTGGGGGGAGGGAAGCTTGTTTTATACGAAAGCACTCGTTCACTTCGTCTACAAACGTTGACCCAGAGGCACATTTTTAGAGACGACAAAGATTTTTATATTTTTTTCTTGGGAGTTTAGACCGAACCATTTTTTCTCTTCATGAAAAAAATTGAAGCATAAGAAGAAAGATCTTGGGGCACATTAATGTCCCTTTGCTTCTCCCCTGGGTGGTGTGCCACTGATATACATGATATGCTAAAGAACTTTTACAAGCGATTTTACAAATTTTCAGTGTCTTGCTTCCGATAATGCTTTATAAATTTCGAAAGTCTATAGCGCTTGCTTATATATTTTAGAATTAGACAATGCGTATAGAAAAATATTAGAACATTACATTTTTTCAGCGATAAAAAAATAGCCTATTTTATCATATTGTTAGCACACAATATTTATTAAAGTACTAACATTTTAAAGAACAAAAAAAAAATAATAAATATATCTTATGCAATTATTCTTGCGAATTGCATCTGTACTAAAATCTATCTATGCCAACAAGCTTGTAATTTTTTTCCAGACATCTTTTTTCCTTCTTATCTAAACATTATGCCAATAATGATCCATAAAAGTTATTAGTCGAGCTTTTTCAGTTAGTAAACTGGATTTCTTTGAACCCTTTCACATTAACACAAATTTTTCTCCTTTAGTTAGTAACAGTAATTTTTCCAAGGCTTTCAAAATTTCATGTTTCAATATTATTTTCCAGAACAGATTATTTTACACTTCTTTCCACATAAAACAGTTTCACTCTTCTGACTGCTAAAATTTTCTTTTCCACCTTTGGGACCCCAAGCTTACCAGTCGCTGAACACTAGTAGTTTAGTCCGAGCTTTGAATCTCAGCAAACAGGCTGGCTGCATGGGTGTTTTTACGGCTTTCCCTATGTGCAACATGTATATAAGCAAGTTTCCCTTAGAAAGTCCTCGTACAAAGGCATCCCTCCTCACAGGCAGAGGGCTTTGCCATAATCAAATAAATCAAACCAAACCAAAATATACAAACATAAGTCCGATTACTCACGAAATCGATTTAAAAAATCTATACCAAAATTTTAAAATCCACATTTTCTTTAACATTAAATAAAGCCAAAAATATAATCCTTACTCATAAACCTTCTAATTGGGAATCTTGAAAACAGCCCATTTTCAGATAGATATGAACAAATTTTACCAAAACATTGTCGCATGTTTTTTGTCTATATCAGGGATGTCAAACTCATAGGTACACTTGCACCAAACAAACAAGGTTTAACTTTAGGCGGGCCGCAAAAAAAAAAAAAAAAAAAAAAAAAAAAAAAATCAATATTCATAGAAACGTAGATTTATTTCGAATAATACAATAATAAACATATATATATATATTTATATAGAAAAGAACAAGAAAAATTTAATGTTTACGTCCTGATACTTGACATCTCTTCTTGCTATTATCTTTCCTATTTCGGGAGAAATTTTGTTTGCAGTGATAACTTTCAACGCTGACCCAAGGTGAGCATCATTAATACGGTTTCTAAAAGGAGACTTACCTTTCATGACTGAAAATAACTGCTACCAAACATGGAAATAATTTCATATGTTCGCTAGAACTACAGCTACTACCGAGATGAGTTGTTTGTTCTCGGCTTTTATAAGCTTTATAATTAATTTCTCGAATATACTGGAAACATCTATAAATATCTGGATTTTTGTGGATGGCAACAGCAATTACGAGATATTTATTTATTAGGTATTAAATGCATGCACTGTTCTATTTTTAACCTTCCAACGCAGCAGTCTTTTCAAAAATCGTCTGCGTTGCTAAGGCAACATGAAGCAAATCTAATTACAATTCTAAATAAAAAAAAAACCTAACTAAATAAATAACTATGAAATCCGTAACAATATGAATTAAGTAATAATTAATAATAAAGCAAAATGCATGCACCAATATATCGTACAAAACTATGATTGGAAAACTGAGACCATGAGTTCGGCCACATTCGGATATCGGGGGATGCGTACAAGTTCTGAGTGCACGTGTCCCCCAAAAGCCGAAGGTAGCTGAATGCAAGCTACTCACACGCATTTGTAATTTAAGTAGTGTGTGTGTCAGCTCGCTGTGAGTAATCTAACAACACTGAATAAATTATTGTTAATCACTTAGCAGTAAACATTTCATTTTTATCTTCGTCGATATGTTATTTTATTATTATATATTATTATTTGCCGGGCCGCAAAAATATTTGTTGTGGGCCACGAGTTTGACATCTTGGTCTATATGAACATACTGTCAGCTGAATGTGTCGTGGGGTACGTCTGTGTCAGTTAAACACCAACCACTATATATCCCTGTCAGCTAAGTGTCCCGTCTGTGAAATGCCCAAATGACCATGTCAGTTAAGTGTCCCTGTTGGCTAAATATTCATGTTGGTTAAAAGTCCCTGTTGGCTAAAGACTAAATGTCCATCTCGGCTAACTGTGCATGTCAGCTAACTACTGTTTTTTAAATGATTGCTAGCCAAGTGTCACCGACCCATCTATATAAGCAGATCATAATCTGTGCTTCATAGAGCCCTGAGCACTCACATGCACTTTCCAGAGCTCCTCTGCTGTTCCAAGAAAATAAAATAAATGAAAACTGAATGATATTAAAGAATAAAAAAAAATCAAAAACAGAAATTTAGAAATACTTAAAAGTTTGCAAAGTTTATTTTTGTGTCTTCTCTAGCAGTCGGTACTTGGCATTGCACATTTGAGAAGATTCTTGAAATGTATAAATGCAAGCAAAGTATCAATATGGGAGCCAAATCCCTATGAAAGTTTGTAGCATTTACATCATAATTTAGCAATAATATCATGATTTCTTATACTTTTCCATGAGTTTTCTATATACAGTAAGACCCCGCTTAACGCTGTTTCGGTTTAGCGCTCTTTTATTTCAACCCGGGGATTCCACGAAATCGCTCGCAGCATACGGGGATTCCCCTGAAATATTATGCAGCGATAGGTTTCAAATATATATCCGAAAGAGTGTACTTGTATTTCTTGTTTGGTGCGGTATTGTACAGACATATTTTGAAGGGGTAAATGTGAAAGATGTCGAAGAAATAATTCAAGAAGCAGCGGCTAGTCTTTCTAATGATGAGCTCAAGGAATTAACTGAACAAGAAGAAAACAAAAATGTTGACAGCAGTGATTCAGAAGAAGAGCAAAAAAGAACTTTCGATGGCGTTTGTAAAAAGGAGTTTGTCTACCATAACTGAAATAATGGATCAATTCATTGAAAATGATCTGAATTTTGACAGGAGCTCAAAAATAAGGCATGGTGTTAGAGATGCTCTATCCGTTTATGAAAAACTTTTAAGAGAGCAACGCAAAAGAAAAAGGCAAACAACATTAGATGCTTTTGTCACAAAAGAACACTGAAAACGCGGAATTCTAACTAAATATGACTGAGAATTTTATTTGTTTTTTTTAAGAATATTCGTTTTGTTATTTATATTTTTTTTTTTTTTATTTTTGCAAGAAAAAATAATAATGTGGTATTAATTTGGGCTTTAAGAAATAAATGTTTGGTTTTATTTTTATTAAAAAAAACATACTTTTTAAATTTAATACCTAACCAATTTCCTAGCCAATCTTCCCCTAACCCCAATATTTACATGTAAAGATAGCCTCGTTTAGCGCTGTTTCGCATTACACTCTACTTTGATGGAACGTATCCCCCGCGTTAAGCGGGGTCTTACTGTATTTGATTTCTTTGTAAGTTGTGTAACCAGAAAAGTTAATGATGATAATAAACGATGAATAAAGATGAAAATAATAAATTGTATGAAATCTTAAATATAGACTCTATATGATAATTCAAGAAGAATATGGGAATCCACTATGACTACCTTCAGCTGTACATGCCTTGAGGCACTGACATATGCACGTTTTTCTTCTTTTGATGTTAGGTTTGAATTTAGGCCTACATAGCACCATAGTTCCTTACTACTAATATTAAACTATAAAAGCTATATGTTTAATAAAATTTAAAACTAATAAGCAAATATGTGTTTAAGTGCATGTAATGCTTAACTTACACAAATGAAATTTATTGCAATGTCTTCAATTAAGGATTCTCAGGAATAATGTAAAGTATCCGTTGCAGCAAAAAATAGTATGTTTTATTGAACTTTGGGAAAAATTTATGTATGGCTAATTCCTGAGAATATTACACTGAGAACAAACTAAGATATCGTGGCAAAGTTAAAAAGTTTTAAAATATAATTTTATTTCATGGACACTGCACAAATGTTTACATATCTCATTACTTTACATTATCTTCTTATTTATACCCTTTTCCTACCCCACGTAACAGGGAGATAGGAGTCTTATGTCTTGACATGTTCAACAAAACCTAGACTACCCATGCAATACAATTTTTAACATAATTAATTTGTAAGACATAATAAGGACCTTAAGAGGCTCTGCTAGGAGTTGATTCCATGAGTCAAAAGGTTTTGGAACTGCTGATCTACATTTTGGTGAAGTGAAATGTAATCAAACTGATTTCAATTTTCATTAATCAACATGCAGATATTCTGTTAAAAGTTTTAATAACAATTAAAAAGAAAATACTTTTTTAACATTTTTTTTAAATATACCTTCGAATAATTTATTTATTTTTCGAAAATTTTATCTTTCAATGTCATCATTTCATGTTTCCAAAACTTGCAACAACTTAAAATGAAAAATTAAAACTCTCATTTGTAAGAAAATACCATGGGGAAAATATACTGAATATTTCCATTCGTGGCATTAAATATCAATTTCCATGTTTTTGCTCAAAATGCAGACTGTCATACGAAAGGCACCATGACTTTAATCACAATTTGAGAACATGCTTATTAAAAAAAAAACAGTCAAAAATTATTAAAACTACATAAAAGAGCTAAACAATTTATTAAACAACATTTAGCACCTCAACTGCTTGCATACTTTACATTTTAAATACACACATTTTCATGCATCCTATCACAAATTTTACATTAAATGAAGGCAGTGGAAGTACAGAACAATATTTTCAAATACATGTATTTAACATTTTAAAATTATATTCTAGCCAAAACACCACATACAAAATAATTTAAAATGATTTCATGCAAATAACGAATATTTCAATAGCAATGAATTTTGCTCATGAGTCTATATAAGCAGAAATAAGAGCTTATGTAAATCTACATCATTTTGGTACAGTAAGAACAATAGTCAGTGAAAAACGACTTAGTTTTAACAAATAAATGTAATAAGATGAAAAAAAATAAAAATAAAAATAAAAATATGAGGAAGTTGCCATAAGTTTTTATTAAAAAGTATAAAAATTTACTATCAATTTCCTAAATACAAATGCAATAACATTTTTTAATAACTAGGTTTCTTGTTGAGAAATGCACAAATATAAAAATGTCAGAATTGAATACAAGACAGTTCTCATTTAAGAAAAATACAATAATACATCATTAAAATTCATTCAGAATGACAAACAATTTTTTCTTGCATAATACATGAAGAAAACATATCACAAAATTACACTCATATAATACAAAAAATTTATAAAATTTTTGCTATATTTAAAGAGTCCTTCAACATATAGTTCCTTAAAGACCACAGGGCATTCAAAGCACTGCCATGGTTATCAACAGTATTGCTCAACCAATGAGTGGGCAATCGCTGGGGGTCTGGTGGAACTGTAGTTTCAGGTGTTGCTTTTAGATGAGCATCCCAGTTACTTATGAAGCGAGATTCGGCTTGAAGACCTTCTATGTATCTGTTTGAATAGAAATAAACAATAAATTTCTCAGAAGGTTTAAAAAAAGAAGAGCATTAATTACATCAGAAAAACTTTATTTATATAGCTTATATTTATTCTTTTTTTTTGGGGGGGGTCATATTTGATGTTTTACGAGTTACTAAATAGCATTATTTTTTCCTGAATGAGACCTTAATAAATATGAACATTTTTAAACATGTGATTATCTGCAATAATAATAATGATAATATTTTATAATACACAATGTATAAAAATCACTTATCTGTGAAACTGAAAACTGAATACTAAATTATTATCTATATTTTTCTTTTTTAAATATTTTAAGTACATTTGTACTTTTTTTATTTATTTTAAGTACATTTGATATTATCTTGAGATTTTCAATACTAAATACTTTTTGATAATTGTCATCTAGCTTTGACCAAGTTTGCGATCTAGTGGTTTTCTACTTTCGTAAGTAAATGAGTTGGACTATTTATTTAGTTTAGAAGAATAAATTAGATTTTTCAAAATTTCTATGCCTCATCAAGACTGCCTAAACCAATACTATAACTTCTAGCTACTATCTTTTATTTTTTTAATAACCACACTAATTACACTAAATTTTAAATTTGGCTTATTAATTATCAAAATGTACATAAACAATCAAAATAATGATAATAAAAAAACTTAATATTCATCTGTTTACTTTATTAAACATTTCTCTGAATGTAAATTTATCAAGTTGCTTCATTTTTTGTGCTTATACTTTCCCTTCAATTCTATAAACAGACATAATTTCTTGTTCAGTTACAAATTCCACCGTTCAAGTCCTGTAGTTGCTGTGTCGAGAATTCCGACTAACTTGTCAATCAAATTTTTTTTGTTTTCAATAACCTCTCCTCACTTTCTGCACTATCGGTAATGATATTTTCTGGATCTAGAACCATACTACAGATTTTGCTGCCTTTTAATTGACTGATGATTGGAACATTGCCATCGCAATGAAAAACTTCTGTTATACCATCTTTATTTATTAACACTTCTCCACATTTCTTCATAAAATCCATTAATTGGAAAAGCAGTTACGCAGCTAAGAGGCCAAATTACTGATCACACAAATTTATGCTAAAATAATTGTTTCTTCAATAACGAGGTATTTTGTTCAGTACTGAAGTGAAATTAAGAATCGGGATTCTTCACGTTTTTCTGTGCGGGCGAAATCAAATGCGCATGCCTAAAGCATTAAAAAATAATTCCTAAGAAAATTTTGTTGATGGCTTTAAGGTCCGGATTTTAGATCATTCTGGATATTGGGCGTCCGGATCTCGGACTTTGTACAGTACATGTATGTGGGCAAGCTAATTTCTTTCTCACAATGATTAAATTTTTCTTTCAACACATAAATAAAAATATATGTACTTGCATGTAAATAGTTATAAACTTCCTTATTTCATACTACATCCTGACACTGATAAAGCCTATAGCATTGGAGGAAAATAATTAAAAATTATCTTCATCACACATTAGCCCCTAATTAGTAACAAATTATTTTCAAACAAAGCAACTGTTATTAGTGCAAAAATTCATGACTCAGATTATTTATTTTTTGACAAGTACAAACAAAAGTTAAACAAACCTACATCCTCAAATCTTTGAAAAAGATTTATATCACACTGTAAATTAATTAGCTCCGTTTATAGATTTTCTGATGTCTCATTCACATTTGCTTCTAATGGCAGTCAAAATAATGTAAACTCGGACATCAAATTACCAAAATCTTTGCAACAAATAGATTCGCCAGCTGCATAAAACAGCTTTGGAGTCACTAGTTTGAGACAACTGGGTTGAGTAACTTAAATTCTTTGAGAAGGAAGTTTAATTACTAAACAGCTCTAATTTTATTTACATATTACCAATACCATTTTAAACCAAACATGCAAGTTTAAAAAACAAGGCAATATTATTTTAAATTAACATTCCCTCTTTCATTTTCAAATCAAATGAAATCTGAAAATGTACTGCAGTTCAGATATATGTGAAAAGGGTAATCAGTAAAATGACAAAAACATATACAGTATCTACCAATCATTAAAATCACTTTTGTTTCAAACATATTTGAGTTTATTATGCAGCTGAGTTAAATAAATGGCGATTTTAATATTGCAAATTACAGTAACAATTTTGAGCTTATTTAGTAAAATACTAATTTAACAATTATTCTAACACCTATTAATATTAATTAAAAATTACCACTAAAATTAAACTATTTCTGAAATGTAGAAACTTATTTTTCTTAATAGAAAAATTTTATTATTACCCAATAAAATTTTAAACTTTTAAGATCTGCTCTATTTGTATTTGTTTCGTACTTTTCCTCAACAGTCTTTCAGTTGTATTTCCAAGTTCCTAAAACTTGGTTGGTAGCTTTTCTGACCTCCACTTTTCAATTAAAAATTTCTTCTTGAGAGTTTGCAGTGCTTTTCAGCTGAGGCTAGCATCTAATCAGTTTCACTATCAATTTCAGTGGCTTTTTTAACACTTTCTATAATATAACAGTCAGTATCTTCACATGTTGTCTCAATATTATTATCCATTTCAAAAATGAATTTTCATAATTTCCCTCACTGATGTCCAAAATATTAAAATTAGCTTGCCTTTTCTCTGTGGCTTCCAAATAAAAACCACATTTTCAAAAGCAATTTCTAACTTGTTTTGGGAAACTGCTGTGTTGACTATGATATGCACAGTCTCTCTAGCAAAGATAATGACTTAGGTTAGCTCCTTTGAAGTGCTTGCATTTTTCACAAGATTCAATTTTCTTTATCTCTTTGTGAATGACACATTTTATGTAATGGCATTTGAAAGCTTTCATAATACCTTAGTTTAAAGAGTGAAAGACAGAAGCTGTACTTGCAAGAAGAAACATTAATTTAATGTTTTTCAGCTCTCTGTTCATTTTAAAAGTATTTCCTAATTGTATATCAGTAAAAATACTGCTTGCCATCCATGAGTTCTTGCAATTGTGGCAGTTAATTCTTGACTCCTTTTAAACATCGAGGATTATATTTTTCCAGTAACCAGTGGTGTCTTCTTAATTGTTGCATTTATATTGCATGTTAATAACACATAATTTGTTCTTTTAAGTTTTTAAAACCAGTTGCTTTTAAATATTAATATGGGTTTCAGTAATACTTCGTAAAACAAACCAGTTTAATCAGTGTTATAAATTTCATGTGGCTTGTATTCTTTTAAAAGGCCAACAAAGTCCTCTTTCATCAAATCCTCATTTATATAGTTCTCAGCCAAATGATGATATGCTCCTTGTTTCTTACCATGTTATTTCCAATAAACTAATGTTTTCCCTCTCTTTCCACCTTGTGAGACATTCATCAGTTGGCACAAAATTTTCTCCCAGCATTAGTGAATTCTACAGCTCTTGCTGTGCTCTAGAAATTGAAACAATGGTTATTCTCACAACTTAATAAAACCATTCTAAAAGAGCAGTTTCAATGCATCTTGATTTTTAATTCCTTTTGTGCCACCTCGAGACGTTTGCATTTTTTACTGATTTTTCTATCAATTTTATAGGTTTAAGTAAATTGTGTAATGCGTTTTGGCAAATTCCCCATTTTAAATGCTGCTTCTCTTTGGTTGCATTTACCAAACGTATCATAACCTTTCAGCAATTTATCTTTTCATTTAGGCATTTTCGGCATGTTACAAGCCATATACACAGCAGATGAAATATGTTTCTTCCAGCGATTTGCCAAATCCAAAATTACTGTTTCTAGCAAGCACGAAGATTGCACTTTGTCTGTCAAGTCAACCTGTCACTATATGGTTTTTATAGGCATAATCATTGCTTTCTTTTTTTGTTCAGCCTACAATAACCCCTCCCCTTTTCCAATCAGAGACTGATAATGTACGACAAAGGACGGAAGCAATTCATGAGGTTTACTGAGAACATCCTGCAAACTTAATTTGCATATGCACTTCCATCCCCTATCCACTGATGTTCGAGAAAGGGATCCAGTGTTCACTTAAGCCCCATTTTTTCTTTAATTCTTGAAAACACTCATTTATGATCAAAGAACTTGTTTTCAATGCCTCTCGAGGACTGCTTTTGTCAATCATATAATAAAAGTACTCTGTCGCATTTAACTGGACTCTGGGCTAAGAGATTTACAAATCAGTGTCTGACAGGGATTTGGTAAGGGTACCCAACACCCTTAGATCTTAGTTCTAACTACACAGGCCGAAATTTCTGCTAGAGTCATTTTATTGAAGCCTCACATAACTGGGAGATTAATAAATGAACTACAAACATCTTTTATTAGCCACAAATAGTTTATTCTGAATATGAAGAATCAGTCTTTTGCCAATTTGAGTTTTATAAGTGGCAGAAATGAATTTAATAAATGGCAGTTTTTATTGATTGCTATATATTTTTGGTTCCTTGAAATTTGAACATAATAAGCAGCTGAGTTTAATAAAAGGCAAGTACTGTATTTAGAAATTGGGATGGGAGACTTTTTACCTGCATAATTTATCATTATGAAAATTACATGATTACTCAAAACAAGTTTTTTCAATTTTACTTACTTTATGTACACATTGGAATGTAAAAGACGCTGTGTTCTTGGAGGAGCTGAGACGAATATTGGTTCTAAAGGCTTGGAGAGATGTGTTGTTGTTCCATGACCTTAAAAATGAAAAGCTACTACATATTCATGCACATAACAAAATATACAAACACAGGAAGAGAAAAAAGCACTCCTATGGTTATTGCAGAAACAGTTTCAAGTTCAAAATTTATTTAAATTTTTCATGTAGCATTAAATTAACAGTCCAGCTAAATTAACAGCAGTTGTAATACTTTCAGTTCTATTTAATTTTAGCTTCAATAATACATTTTTTAGGTATGCCAGGAGAAAATATTTTATGTAGATAATGTAGATATCTTTACGTAGATAAGCTTCAAAAGAAGAAATATTTAATCTGTAAGAGCTAAAGTGTTTTAGTAAACCATTAATTTTGTTACTTGAATCATTTATTTCACATTGGACTAGCTGATTCGCCGTTGTGTGTTTTATGTAATAGTGGACAGCCAATGACAGCGGAACATTTGGACGAGCGTGAAGCACTGACAAATTTTTCTTGTAGATTTCAGCACTATTGGCAAGCAAGGAGTTTATTGGCCTAATGGCCAATATAACTGGCATTTGACAAAAAAAATAAATAATTTCTAGATCAATAATAAAAAAAGCTATATATACATAAGGTTTTAACAAAATTTTCCCACCACTGAAAATATTGTCTGTGAAAACAGTTCACATTGCAGCTTCCTTGAGGGCTTGCTAAAGAGTTAGACATTAGTGCCATGTCCATTAGTCACACTATGCATCTCATAAACTTGACATACAAGTTTAACCATTGGGTGCAGCATGAACTGACTCAAGCAGATAAGGACCGACATGTTAGGGCCTGCACCAATCTACTCGAATATCAACCCCAAAATAAAATTCTCGACCGGATCGTCACTTGTGATGAAAAGTAAATTTATTTCAACAACAAAAGCTGAAAAGGGGGTTGATCTGCACCCAGGCAGCCTGTCAGTCACAAAGAGAAGTGTGACTAACAAAAAGATCATGCTTTGTTTTGTATCTGATGGAATTACATGGTATTATCCACAAAGTGTATCTGGAAAAAAGGTAAAATTCTTGACAGTAAGGTGTACAGCGGGATGCCTGTCTGTGTTGACACTGCTATCAAGGAAAAACGTCAAACTGAGTTGCAGTGCAAAAAGGCAATGTTCCATCAAGATAATGCAAGACAACATTCACCAGATAGACTCTATACAGACTTGAATGGGATCTTTTGCCACACCCACAATATAGATCTGACATCACTCCTTTGGACATCTACATTTTTTGACACCTGCAGCTACATCTTGCTGCTGCTATTATCCTTCATTCAGCACAGGATGTCCAAACTGAGGTCGACCTGTTTTTGGACTTGCAGCCACCAAATTTCTAGGCTGAAGGCTTTCGAAAAACTACCAAAACATTGGCAGAAAATCATAGATTTGGGTAGTGATTACTATCCGTACTAAAGGTACGGCTTTCATGTTTTGTCCCCCCCCCAAATTTATGAAGCACTTTTTTAGCAGAAAACTTTCGTTACAACCAGATATTTACATATAAATAATATATATATATATACTCTGAAGAAACAATTAAATGTAAAATGAAAACAAATTTGTTAAACATGCATATTATATATATCATAGCAGTCAGAAAAACCGTGAAAAGAGGCTCTTGTACCAAAACAGAGTTTTTGCACTGCATATAGCATCACTTCAAACGAACTCCAAATTGACTTACATATTCTAAATTTTATGTTCTTTGGCTAATTTCATTTTATAATTTTCTTACACGTTTATACTGGGACAGTCCTGAACAGAAAGCTTTAATTTATAAAAGTATTTTAAAAATGCTGAAAATAAAATTAATAATTTACATACATACATACTCTTATGTGGATAAACTTAGCAAATGTACTATATATTGATGTAAAGCAAAATTTACTGATTAAACATTGGTTGAATCATCATACAATGTTTTACAGATATGTACAGTAGATTTAAACAAATAAGATTTTATAAAATTTAATGAAAAAATATACTGAAGATCACAGGAGTGGGAAAGTAAAATTTGAACAATTTCAGTTTAGTTTATTGGTAAAAAATCTTTTTCATTAGTAAAAGTTTAAAATTAAGTATCAGGAGATTCAGTGATTTAACACGAGATGCAATAAAAAACTGTACGATTTGCCAACTATTATATATAATAATCAAGAGATAAAAATTACATTAAAACAGATCATGAAAAACCAACAACTTTCCTACAGGAGATACTCAAATCAATCAAAAACAATTCAATAAAATTAATAAAACATAATAAAACTGATATAAAATATGTAAAACTTTTGAAAATTCCTTGGTCCTTTTCAGACCAGAAGCTGCCAAAGAATTTTCAACACAGCCACATTTCTAAACTATGTTTAGATGATTAAAAATTAAAAGAAAGTGCCAATTAAGAATATTTAATTAAAATAATGCTTTAATGGTGCAACATGGGCAGCATACTGCACAAATTTAATAAATACATCATCTTAATTTGAAATTTTCCCAACTTTTGTTTATATATAATACAGAAGCATATACATATGTGCATGTCCAAAAGATTATACAAATATCATATATACAATGAAAAACTGTTAATTAAATTTTTAACACACATTCAATTTTAGACCGTCTTTTCAAAAAAATTTCCACCAAAATGTAAAAAACAAAATGAAAAGCAAACCTTTTCCTTCATTATTAAAATTATTGTTAATTCATTATTAACCACATAATGAATAATGATGCATGACTGATAATTTATGGTCTTTCCCATGTATAATACACATCAGTTTCTATTACAAAATCTCCTGAAGACATTTCTTTGGGGAAGACAGTCTTTGCTTTAACTGTCACAAACATAATAACAGTTACGTAATTACAGATAAATACTTAATTACTTAATCTGTAATTAATTACTTAATTACAAATAAATAATTTACAGATAAACAATCGTTACACCCTGAAAAATTAAAAATTATTTTTTCTTGAAAACAAAGATGTCAATCCCACACAAATATTAGACACTTATATTTAACTAGTACAATTTTATTACTAAATGCTGATCAATTGCTAAACTCAAAAGTTTTTCAGAAATAAAACAGTGTGCTTTTTTCTTTCTTTCTTTCTTTTTCTTTCTTTTTTTTTTTTTTTAATATAGAAAAAGTCTCCAGTAAGGATCTAAAACTGGCATTACTTTGCAAAAAATCAAACACAAAGTAATTAAAACTTCTAGAATGACAAGCCATTCAAAAAAAAAAAAATTTTCCCTAACATTGCCCCCCATACGACACAAAACCAGTTTCTATCTTCAAGTTTGAAAATTATATTAAAATCATTATTTTCATTATTAGAAAAATTTTCATTATTAGAGAATTATTAAAATTTTCTAATAATGTTATGAAAATAATTAATATTATTCTCTACAAAACAAATCAAACAACTTTATAATTTGAATTTTTATTTATTTCTCAAACAGGTCGATCACAAGCTATTATATTACTAGAGTGAACACATCCACAGCAGCACTACTCAGGCAGAGAAAGCAGCCACACCTAAAGCGTTCTAAACCCGGACTGTCCAGTAAAGGGATGAAGTGGACAAAACAGGTCCATTTGAACCTCAAAACCTCGGCTGGGCAATGAGACACACACAAACAGGTTAACAACTGATGACACAGCTGAAGCTACACTACTAACCACCTGCCACCACCTACTTTTAAATCTGTTGAGCTCATCCCAATCGGCTATGGCCCCAAAGCGGGAGAAAATGTGTCAAGAACTGCAATTTGCACAACCAACTCAGTCAAGTGCTGGGATCTGTTTGGTCAATTGGTCAGTACTGCCATAGAAGCAGGGCTGTGAAGTCGGTAGAGAAAATGACTGACTACTGGAATTTTAAAATTAAAGACTGACCCTCTCATATGTATGTAAACATATACACATGTGTTACAACTTATTTTTTTAATATAGTCAAAAGTCGTTAATCCGGACTTGTCGGGACTTCGGCGATTCCGGATTATCGATTTTTCCGGATTATAGATCCTCAGTTTAAATCTCGTAAGATGGCATGCAGAAATTCTAAAATTAATAATATGAAACCGTAATTTATGAAATAAAGAACAATTATGATCTAAAGGGTATCAAAATTTACCAAAAAAAAAAAAAAAAAAAGCTTAATATTTATTTGTTTACTTTATTAAACACTTCTTTCAATGCAAGTTGTTTAAATTGCTTCGTTTTATGTGATAATACTTTCTCTTTAATTCTATAAACAGACATAATTTCTTGTTCAGTTACAAAGTTTCGCTGTTCAAGTCCCGTTAATTGCTGTGCCGAGAATACCGACTAACTTGTCAATCGAAATTTTTTCGTTTTCACTAACCTCTCTGTCACATTCTTCATGTCTTTATCCATTTTTTGCAGCAATTCCACTTTTTGTTGATGGACATCGAAACATACTTTCGTTTGTAGATCCTTTGGAAGTTCCAGCATCGGAAATTCTATTTACATAATCGAAAGTTCAAGTTTACTTTTATAAAATTGCTCTTACAGTCTGCAAAAAATAATAAGCGGGATCCAATTCGAAGATTAAGGAACAACGCAATCATTAACATTAACTGAAATAGATAATTAGATAATTTTAGCTTACACCGTCCGTTATACATTAAACGCACAGGCAAAAACGTATTCTGCACTTGCGCACACGCATATGCGCTGTAGTCAAAGTCTTACGCGCACACGCAAAACGACTGTGCACATGTGCCAATGCGGCACATGCGCAGAAAGTTTTTAGCTTTGAGGTCCGGATTATGGGTGTCCGAATTAACGACTTTTGACTGTATAAAAAGAAGTAATAGATGGTAAGAAAAAAAAAAAAAAAAAAACCTAATGACATAGCAAACTATTTATATTAATTTACATTTATTATGAAATGGAAGAACTGGCATTAGTAATTTCTAAAAATTGGGCAAGATCTTCTTTGTTAGAGGACCGTAGATCTGAAGTGATTGTTGGGGATCCCTCGGAATTCTAGTTGCGCATATTACATTAAATGTTCTCACTATATACAGCAAGAACTTTCAGCAGACATATTACTGAGTAAAAATTTATCTTTATTGCGAGACGTCAAATATGCAAGCTACTTCTCAAACAGCCGGTCTGGTCTCTTCTCCGCTTCTACCTAGGATTGCCGTATTTTCGGCACACATGCAGGGACACAAAGCGTGTTCCTTATCACTAACACCCCAGATTAAACTTCAGAGCTAAAAAGAGTCTTTAACTTGAGTAGGAGGAAGAGCTGTTACTTTTAAGACTACTTAACTTTTCAGGATAGATTTTTATAAGTTCTAAAAGAGGTGTCTTGCGAGAGCAATCATATTTCTTTATTTCTTCAAAGGCTGTGAAGAAATATCGCTTGTATTTTTCATTTTTATATCTAAAGCTCTTTATTTTCCTTCACATTGCCTTAGTCTTTTCAATATTACCCAAATATTTCTCAAAATCTAATTCATCACTGGAAGAGGATGATAGAGACTCGTTTCAATGTCTGCAGTTTGACAATCCTGTTGAATACTCCAATTGTTCTCAGAATAATTTCAATTGGGTCAGCACTGCCATCTTAATGAAAGTTAATAGATAGCTTTTTTTGCAGTTTTAATTTGTTCATCATATAACAAAATTTGGTGTTTTGGATCTACATATATTGAACCCATCTAGCAAACAACTTTCTCTTAAATGAAGAAATGGTTCCTTCTGCAATAAGCCCTCCATTTCAGAAACAATGAACATCACATTCTTCCATTCTCGCTTGCTGTGAATTCTTCAAATTGTAGCTTTTTGTGGCTGTATACAGTGTAGAAAGAAGAGTTTCTAATTCTGCAAGATCATTCCAGTCTTTCTGTTGGTAAAACATTAGGGTTATCTACATCTTCTAAAATGTTCTTAATTCTAACAACCACTATATCATAAAATAGTGTTAGTGGGGAGTTCTTGGTGCTTACTTACATTTACCAATGAGATTTGTATATTTATTAATATGTTAATAAAATAAAAAATAATTATTTATTAACATATATGGTCCATAATAATAATGCACTTTATTAGTTTTTTTTTTTTTTTTCCTGATTTACTTTTATTTCAAGTTCAAACTGCCCAACAAAAACTGGAGTCTGAGACTTTTTAGAGATTCCAACTCAGACTCATTTTACCCAAAAATCTGCCTAACCCGGATTCCTACCGCACAGCTCTGCATGGAAGCCTAACTGAATCCTCCCACCACAGAATTTTGAAGGCCCACCCTTTTACCTCTGACCAGTTTCATGTATTCATGGAGTATCTTTTCAAAGTTTTTATAATTTTTCCTTTTAGTAGTTTGCTATCAGTCTCACAGCAGTATTTAGCCTTACATGGAGTCCACCACCCAGTTAGGGCTGCACTAACAATCAACCCGACTTGTTTCAGCACTTTTAAAATGACATAAATATAGTCATAAGGCCTTTCAGAAAATCTACTTATGGCTCAGAATTTTCCTGAATTCAAACATATGGCTTTTACTGGTATGACATTTTGTCACCCTGCATCTGGAACAACAAAATTTTGGTTATATATTATTCTCCACCTGAACATGTGCACGCTGAAGCCCAATTCTAAACTCTCCAGTGAGTTGTCAATTGGCAAAGCATAATCTACTTAATTTTAAAATTTAATTTGTCTGTTATTCTTTAACAAACTAAGCAACCTAAAATAATAAATACAGTTCTTGATAACATTTTTTAAAAACTCTTTAATCTGTATTTAATTCATGAAATATCTAATTAAAAACATTAAATATTTTTATGAAATGCCATTAACTGCAATCATTACCCTTATTACATATTTTTCACCTTAACTATTTTAGATTCCTTGCCACACCAGTGGCTAGTATTAAGTAAATCGACTTTGCTTCATTTTAGGAAAAGGTTTTTGACATTTTATTTGAAGTTGGCTCATTATTAACTCAAATTTCCTGATGATAAAGGAATAAATGCTAAATTTTTTATTCACCCCTTTTTTCAATTTTTATCCTTCAACTTTTAAATTTGGACTGTCTTAGGATCCTGTCACACCTTGGAATATACTTTACTCTACCCCGATACCAGACACTATACTGCATTTTTCTTTCATTTCGAAAATTCTATACAATGTAGCCGAGTTTAAAAAACTTGTTTTTTTTTTTAAATTAAAGTTTTATTTGTTGTTTATTCATTTATCTACTCCCTCTTCCTTTATGATCACTAATTGCATACTCTGCATATGTAAGTATGTAACAGGATTTCATGTGTGTGTAATAAGATTTGTATGATTTAATTTAATATACTATTCATATACTATAATGAATATATTATTAATATATATAGCAGTGAAGAGATTATTCGATTTATAAAAACGTATAAAATAACTTCTGTATTCTGAAAAAAATCTGTCAAAAATGTATTTTTACACTACCTAGTAAAATAAATAAAAAAAAAAAACAAAATCTGAAATGTTTCAGATTTTAAATTACGTCCAAAGGGGCGTTTTTTAACATTTTGTGTGTTACCTTTCTTTATTAAATATCATGTTACTCGCACTTAAACCATAAGATCCAGTGCAACAGCAATATCGCAAAATAGTTTTAAAACGAGCATATCTTTAGAATTTCCGATACAGAGACTCACGTGCTGGAGATAAAAATGTTTTTTCTGCACAACGTTGCCATTGCTCGCTTTGAAATCCTTGAGTTAGTTAATCAAAAATTCGTCAAAGTTTTAAAAAATAGAAAATCGATCATAAAACAAATTTCAAATTTGGTCTTCCACATGCTCATATTCGTTGAAGGATTACGTTATTCAAAATTCGATGACTCTATTACCGTTGTTTTATCACAATACGAGAAATATACATACATTTACGCAGATTTTCATTATTTAATTTCTTCAAATATAATGCAGGACTCTAACATTCGGTGGCAACAGTTTGAAAAGTGAACCGACATTTATCCGTCCGACGCAAAATGCCAAAACGAAAGTAATAGTCCTTCGGGACTCAAGTCCCTTTGGACTAATAATATAAAAATGTGTTTTTAAATTAAACTGGTTTAGTTATTTTGCTACACTTTTGTTACACTATGTATAAAAAATATATCGCATTTAAATGGTTAGACACAAACTGAAAATTTTCCTTTGAAGACTCAACTATAACCAGAAATTCAACTATATCAACTAACAGAGCATAGTGATTCCAAATTAAATTCAGAATTAACATTATATTTTCATTGTTAAAATACTAATAAAAAATTAGAACAGTAAAAAAATATACTTATTTCACTTACCTTGACGTGATGTGATAGGTGATGAGTATGGATAATTTACTCCTGTTAAGAATGGGGAAGATGGGGGGCCACCATTGTAAGATGTATTTTTAAAAGTAGTAGGAATGTCTGCAAAAAGCATGCAAAAAAACAAAACTAAAAGAACATGCTGCAAAACAAACATATTAATAACACAGAAGCAATAAAGTGCCAGTAGTTAAAGAGAAGATTAAAAAAGCTTAGAACTACGACAAGCCATACTCTTCTAGCATCTATTACATAAAATTAAGTGTACTTTGCATGCATCATATTCTAAGAGCAACTGAAAAGCAAATTATTGTCAATTAATTTAGAAAATACTTTGCATTTTTAATAAAATAACTATACCTACACAGAAAACCTCAGTGTCATTATACTCATTACATTTCATGTTAATGTAAATCTCTTTTTTTTTTTTTCATTCACTAACAAGACAATGTTCAAGAACATTTCATTTTATATAATTTTATCCATTACCATGCACAAAAGTTACTCAAATAAAACTAATACATATAAAAGATTTCCAAATATTTTTGTCTGAATTATTTGTATTTTACTTTACTCATTTTGCCGAAATGTGTAAAAATACATGAATCCAACTTCAAGATGGGAAAAAATAATTTTAAATTAAAAAAAAAAAAAAAAAAAAAAAAAAAAAAAAAAAAACCCTTTCATGACAAGATGTTTTTCCAAAATTATGATTTACTAACTCTCAACCAAAATGATAACAAACATATCTTAAAAAGCACTGAAATTTAATAGTTTTGAAGTTTAGATGATTTAAAATATACATTGTTGTGCAAAAACTAAGGACAAGAGTGTTTTTCATATGACATCGTGCAAAAGCTTTCCAAATCAACACAAATATTACGATAAGATCCTTAAGATGTAAGAACAGGGCAAACTTCTCAAAAAAGGACATCAAAAGGATGAAGAGGAATTTTATTGAAAAAGTAGCATGGAGCACAATGTGACAGAAGGCCGAAACATCCATGTGATAGAGACCCAGCAAGAAACACTCAGCCTTTAGTAGGGAATATGATCTCCCCTGATTGCTGCACAGATTTCACATCGTTTGTTCATGCTAAGTATGAGGTTGTCAATGAAATGTTGAGGCATTGTAACACATTCCTCTTGTAGCACCAATCGCAGCTCCGGAATCGTTACTGGCGATAAGTTACGTGTTACCACGTGTCTCCCTAGAAAGTCCCATACATGCTTTATGGGATTTATATCTGGAGACCTTGCCGGCCAGCCTCTGCATTCAGTATCCTCTCTCGCCAATAGCTCTTCGACAGCAATTGTGCAATGAGGTGGATCACTGCTGTTCATGAAGAGAAGTTAGGAACTTGTAGCACTTCTGAAAAGACACATTTAAGGAAGAAGCAACTTGTTAGAATAGCAGATCCCAGTGACTAAACATTCTTGGAAGATGTAAAGGTCAGTACAGTTACCAAGCATGATGTCTCCCCCAGTGTGAACTCCGCTCATCAAAAGGACCTTCAAACAAGTCCCTTTTAATGATGTTGGAGGTGATATTGCATGTCCCCCCCTCTCTCCAGATGTTTATGCATCTAGAATAACTACTTAGACTAAGTCTGCTCTCATCTGTCAAGAGTACTCGATCCCATTGATTATCTGTCCAATTCTGGTGTTCCCTGCACTACAGAAAATGTCGTCTCCAATGAGCAGGCATTAATGATATACAGGGTACAGTTGTCATGCAAACAGACCACTACCGTGCAGCCTCCAGGCCACACTAAAACATGATATCAGTTGTCCAATCACCTGTTCCATGTCTTGAGATTTCTTCCACCATCTGCCACCTATTATTTCTTGTCTGCAAGGCAATATACTAGTCATCTGCTGCTGTAATTGCTCATGGATGACCGCTGACCACTGCTGAGCCATTGGATAGCTGTTCCTGTAGTTTGAAATGCTCTGCAAAGTCGTGAAACGATGCTATGAGTAATTCCAGACTCCGCAGCCACATTTGTCAATTTTCAACCTTCCTCAGTTTGTCCAATGATTCAACCTCAGATAAAATCATCCAGATATCATCTAAGAGATTTATTATTCAACATTTCACACTGAGGCAGCAACTCGGTGTCGTTTAAACTGATATACGCCACGCAGCAGCTTCCCAGAAATGTTGAGTTGACACAACCAACGATCTTTATACCCCTTTGACATTCCCCCATTATGTCTAGCTGCATGTGCTACCGTACCTGATACTAGTCAATCTCCTGATTGATCTTTCAGTCATCTCTGCCCTCTTCGTTTTGCTAATAAACTAATTTTTTAACATTGTCCTTACTTTATGCATTATTTGTTACAAAACAATGAATCAATATAAGCATTTTATGTACAATAAATAAAAACTGATGTTGGAATGCACTCATAACTATGTGGCATCTTTAATGATTATAGTATGCTGAAACATTTTTCAAGTATAAATATGATTTTAAAAAATGGAATTTTAATTAATTTATTTTGATAAAACTAAGCTCTCGAATGTTTAATAAAAGGTGTAATTATTAAAAAGTAATGATTTTAAATTACTCACACATACAGACACAGTACAATAACTGCATATAAGAACACCATACTCAATATATTCCCTGACGGAATCTCTTGATATCTAACGGTCGGATTTCATATTTTAAGATTGAAACTTTATTTCAGTTTATATACGTGCAAATAATCATTCTATTTTCTGGAATAAAAATTGTCAACAGTCAGTTTAAAATTTAAATTTTTAAAAAATTTCAAGCTATAATGAGTATTTTCCAATTATAAATCCTGAAAAAACTTTGAATCTTTTTTTATCTACTTGAAATTTTTCATGTGATAACAAAGAGTTAAAAATATAAAAAAATATTCAGATAACTTGCTGTAATAGAAATTAATGTCTCTCTTCCTTAATTATTCTATGCATCTGTTTTTAAATACAATTTGATTTTCATGCATACAGTCTAACAATCTAAATGATAATTAAATTCAATAAAAATTAGTCTGCTCTGCTAGATTAACATTATAAATTTAATGTCAAATTTTAATCTTCAACAAAGTGAAATTAACTGAATACAGTTTTGTAATAATCTAAAACAATAATTTAAAGAGAGATCTCTTAAATTAAAAACCCTAAATGTAAAATATATGCAGTATATTAAAAGCAAGCACACATTCAAGATAAATTTCACAAAATATACTGAACTGCGTAAGTATTGCAAGCTGAACAGCCAAAGATATTCATGTGTTTAAAGCTGCTAATAACCGCAATATATATTCATGCAAGCAGAACAGTCTGAAATTCAAATGTTAATTGAAAAAGAAAAAGAGAGCACAGCCATCATGATCTACAATTTAGCATACACAAAAAAATTCACTTAAGCACACACATTAAAATGAAATAAAAAAATGCACACATAAAATGTTCAAAGCCAAAGAATTATATAATATTAAAATAACTTTAGCAAGATATTAGGAGCCCTGAGTATGCATTCTTTTACATGTAATGGTAAAGCTGAATAGCATTAACTAAATTAAAAATTTGTGTACAATATTTAAGAAGAAAAGACAGGAGTTACTAAAATTGGATTACTTTGCAGTGCAAGATTTATGACTTTCATTAATATATTTTTTACCAATTAAATTTATGCACTTTTTCAGTATTACTGGAGACTTTTTTAGGCACAGATTTCGATCTTCAGTAACATGCAATATTAATTTGAAAACATTAACATTAATATGCTACGTTTATTATCAACTGGCAATAACTACGAATTTATGCAATTTTTCAGTATTACTAAAAACATTTTCAGATACAGATTTTAATCTTCAATAACATGCAATATCAATTTGAAAACATCAACATTAATATGCAAAGTATATAAACTTTTATTTGGATAAGATTTTTAAAAAACTTAAACATAAAGAAGCATGTCAATTTAGTCTGCCAATTTTGCAATTTTTTTTTCATGAATCTAATTGACATCAAAAGTCATTTCAGTTTGATAGAAAACTTAAAACTACTGAAAATGACAGTTAAAAAGCTAATTTGATATATAGCTATTAATTTATAGATGCTGTGTTCTAAAAGTCAAGTTTTGATATCATCTTTCTGAATGTCAAATCACAAGTTGCATAATAAATATGAAAATATGCAAAACAATTTAAACTTACTAGAACTACTAGATGCACCTATTAGATTATTTGCAGCATTTCTTTTTGAAGGTGTATAATTTCTGAAAGAAAAATAATATATAATTTAATATAAAAATTCAATAAATATATGTATATTAAAATTTACTGTATTATTTTAAAGTGCCAAAATAAATACAGCTTTCATTAATCATTCAATATCAATAACGGCCAAATGCAGGTTTGCATGCGAGATTCGTGAGGTTTCCTCTTGCAGTTCATTGCCAGGTTTTAGTTATTAACACCAAAATTTATTATTTTGTCCACTGATTTCAAATGCATATTTGTTTTCATACTCTTAGAATTATTTGCAGGACTTATTGAAAATATCAGACACATCACTAAAATAACTTAATGAAGTAAATACAGGATAAGTAAAAAAGGATCAACCTGTAAAGTTATAAGGTTCTATCGAGGCAGGAATGTGAAAAATGTACAGCGCCCTCACAGGGATCCAAACTTCGGACGTCCCAAATACATGTCAAGTGTGTTTCCAGTTACACCACAAACGCATGTGGAAAGGAGGGAGAAAATATCTTATAAACCTATTACAAATGGTTATAGCAAAGTAACTGACATGCCTATCAGACTAAAATTTGTCTTGTACATATATTAAACTTTAAAACTTTAAGACAGCCCATAGAAGGCATTAGAATATGCTGGATGGGCATAAAATCGAAAGCACTTTTTTCAGAAGGATGAGTTCAGCAAAAATCATTTTGCATTCCACAGTATGCAAAAACAACAAGCATTCCTTAATTATAGTTTAATGTAACCTTCACTGAAGATACAACTATTGAAGATACAGCTATAAGATTGAAAATCTTATTTGAAACTCTTGACAAGTTTATAAGAGTATATTACTTTGATTGGGAAAAGTGTAGTGGTGTGTGTACAGACGGCGCTCGATCAATCTCTGGCAGAGATTGCAAGCCCTTATTCGCAGTAAAGTACTGCCTGCTATGTAGATCTACTGCATCATCCATAAGGAAGTACTTGCATCAAAGTCGATGAGTTGTGAACTGAATTTGTATTGGAACATATCTTAAGCGTAGTAAACTACATAAAAACTAGGTCGCTGAAAGCCAAACTATTCAAAAAAACTTTGCCTGGACATGGAAGCTGCACAGCACTGCTACATTACTGCAGTTCACAATTGCTTTCACGTGGAAATGTCTTACCATGTGTATTCGAGCTACAATCAAGAAATTCACAATTTTCTGCAAGAGGAAGTACATACAAACTCCAGGTACTTTGCCGAACCAGACGTTTTACTAAACTGGCATATTTGTGCGATATATTTGAGAAACTTAATGCCTTAAATCTGTCCCTACAAGGCAATAATATACACATCTTGAAAATGGTGGTCAAGATTGTTTCCCCATATTAAATAAATACACACCCTCTAATGAGCTTACTATCTCTCAAAAATTACTGTCTCTTTTCTTGGAACACCTTTCAAAGCTCACTAAATGGTTTGCAAAACACTTTGTGGAAGAAAATATTGAGAAATATTCGTGAACCCAAAACACTTTCCATGATTCAAGCTCAGTCTCATCGAACTCTCTTGCAACAACAGTCTTAAAACAAAATTTGCTTGTTCTGATTTGGTGGAGTTTTAGATAATCATCAAAAATGAATATCCAACTCTAAGTTTAAAAACTTTCAGGATTTTCATTCTTTTTGAAACATCATATTTATGCAAAAACGCATTTTGTTCAAAGATCAACATAGAGCAAGAAATGAGAGTGGTAGAGTCAAGTCTTATCCCTCGCTTTGAAACCTTTTGTGCAGATCAACAAGCTCACATGTCCCATTGAATTTTTCCTATTTTCTTTAATAATAATAATATAAATTCTTGGGTATCAGTTCAATATATTCCTGAGCCTCAGATTGTGGCTGTTTTCATTTCTGTGCCTGGTCACTAGTATCAATATACAGTCGTATTTAATGAAGTGTTGTGATTTGCTATGACACTATGTAGTAAGCGGGTTGTAAAGCACAAACCGTGTTCAACATTTTGTTGACCACAACTAAGGCGTCATGACAAAATACTAAACCTGTAAATCTGCTGCCAAAAGAAAAAGGTTGGAAACCCATGGTCTAGATCACAATTCTCAACCGGTGGTAGACAAGAGAAAAATAGGTGGTACGCAAAGAAAAAAGTATTTTTAACTATTAAATACAAAAATCTCATGAAGGAAAACAAAAAATTCTGGGAAATTTTCTGTGATCGAACTCTAACTGAATTTTTCAAAAATAACACATTTTTAAATTTTTGCCTGAACCGTAAAAAAGAATTTAAAGGCATTTCTAAATAAGGCTATCAAATTTTTATTTTCTTTTTGCACAACCTATTTGTATGAACAAGGATTTTCTTCCAAGTTATATTTGAAAAATAAATGCCAAATAAAATTAAAAGTGAACCAGAATTTACGGTTAAAACTAAGTGAAATAAGACCAAACATACAGATATTGATCTCTCTTAAGCAGTTCCAAATTTCATACTAAATTTTAGAATTAAAGTAATGAATGTAACTTAAATTTTCCTAATTTAAATGACAATCAATATTTAATCTAATATTTATGTGTGCATATTTAATTCAAATATCCAATAGGTTGTGCAAATGGCAAAATATATTTTTTAAATATTTCTATTGAGAAATTGAAAAATAATCATTGTAAAATATAGTGGTGGTACTAAAGTTTTCCAGTTTTTGTTTAGATGGTACATGTTAGTCAAAAGGTGAGAACCGCTGGTCTAGATAGTTCGAATAAACTATAAAGAGCTATTTACAACCTTTACTCCATAGTTTTATCATCAGTGAAAATACATTTGGTTTGATTTATTTGATTATGGCAAATCACTTGAGAGCTACTTGTCTAAGAAAAGAGATGCCTTCGTGGAGGACTTTCTAAGAAAACTGGCTCATTTACACATTACATATCGGGAAAACTACAAAAACGTGCATTCAGCCAACGTGTTTGGGGGACTTCAGACCAAACTTCCAGTGTTCGGTTGTACGGGGGCAGCAAAAATATATTTGAAAGATATCAACCTGGCATCTTTTAGCTTATGAATAACTATAACATTAAAAAATTCTCAACCTGTTTCATAAGATTATAGAACCGTGCTGTTGAACATTATTGCAGTTTTAAAATAAACTTTTGAAAAAGATTTAATTTTTTAACATTGTTAATAAATACACAATATTTATTTTTAAAATGGCATAATCAATAATTACCTATTCCTGTTTTCAGGTAGAACATTTTTGACTGAAGTCTTTAAGTGAACTTCTTTAACGTGGCGAATTAATCTTGCAACATTTGGAAACGGTCTAAAAATTTAAAAAAAGTAATTACACTGAAAAAAATTACATTATTCTACAAACACATTAAAAACAGCTGCGTAAAAACATTAATAACAACAAAAGCATTAATAGTTTATAATGAAATATTTAGAACTTCTCACTTACGGTATATTCTTTTTTATCCTTTGACAGTTGTACCATAAGCACTGAATTTCTCCTTCTATATTTAAAAAAAAAAAAAAAAAAAAAAAAAAAAAAAACAATTTTTAACAGCTATATGCTCTTTTATATCAAAACTTAAATTTGCAGTGCTATGTGATTATTAACAAAAAATCATTTACGTGAAATACTGCAAAAAAGTATCAGCATATTATTAGAAAAATTTGAAAACATTTTAATAAAACTTACAAATGATAATCACACATTCTGGGAAACATTACTGCGCAACATTCTTATTTCATGAAACAAAAGGAAATATGGATAACACATATACCTTTATTTCTGAAAGTTTGCTGTATGTGGCCACCAGGTTCCACAGCTAAATGCTCAATGAGATCCGTCTGATCTTCAAACTGATGATCACAGCCATCCCACATGCATTCATATAAAATGTTTTCATTCTTATCCGATGTGCTTCCTTGATTAGATGCCGGAGATTGTGGCATACTCTCACTCAAAAGTTGTGCTTGTGTTTCTTCGTTTTGTTTCTGAGCACGCTCTTCATAGTCTGTCTTTTTAGATACAGGAAGATTGCGCCACTGATAAAAGACAAATTAAAATTAAACAATTTAATACATAAAATAACTTCAAAATGCTAAAAGTGTTTTCATATGATTGAAAAAAGTAATTTATTTACATAAATCATAGCCTTAAAATGACTTTAAAATAATTTTTTTTTTTTTTTTTAAAGTTTCAAGAATCCATCCTGCTAGTAGTTCTATAGACTGAAGAAACGCATAAAGCAAACTGTTTTTGCATAACGATGATGTCCAGCTTTGTATGCCAATAAAATGTCCTTAAATAATTAAGGCCATGTCATAGAAACACAGCTTTCTGCTAAAGCCAGATTAAGGGAAAAGTTTTAACTATTTTCCATTAATTTGATCACACCAGAATATTTTTTTTTAATCTTAAGAATAATTTAAACAGAAAACTGATAATTATTTTTTCTTAATTTGGCCACAACAGAAAAAAACTTTTTTAATATTAAGAATTATGTAAACAGAAAACTCATCCAAAGAGAGCTCATACTTCATCCCTCTCCCTCCCAACCAAAAAATTTTTTACATGGGAAATGAAAATTAAGATCAAGATGACAAAAGACTGTACATACTTTAAAAAAAAAAAAAAAAAAAAAAAAAAAAAAAAAAAAAATCCAGATTATAAATCTTATTTTATTTCAAAAGTTATCCAAAAAATTGCCTTATTACTTATAGAATGAAAACTAATAATAATTTTACATTTCAAATTATCAATGATAATCATTATTTTTCATGGAATATTTTTACATTTAATATAATTGCATTTATATAGTAATAAGCCTTTAATTTTGAAATTAAATATTTTAGCAAACAGCTTTATTAAAAAGAGTAGTTTGTTAATATAAAAGGAAGCAAAAATGAAAATACTAGTTACTTAACCTTCTGACCAACCCGAGCTTTGCTAAGAAAGCAAAAATTTTCCAAAACTATCATGAGAAAGAATTATTTTATTGATTTTTAATGTCAAAATGATTCTAGTACTTTATACCTGGATTTATTACTTTTAATATATTGGCTTAATTTCTCTGACATATTTCAAGATGCATGTATATTTACTTTCTTACACACATTAAAAAAAAATTCCCAAGCTGCATATCTATATGGTCTTGCTGCTCACAGCGTTAGAGAAAAATCCTCAAAATAAAATTACACATATTAGTCATTCAGAACAATATTAGATTTTGATCAACAGTGTTATAAAAAATTATGATACTATTTGATATACACTGGTGTGCAAAAATTAAGGACGAATTCGAAAAATTAGCATATCAGCTGAACGAAGAGGCAGAGCGTACAGAAAGACCAATCAGGAGATTAAGTAAGGTGATGTATGGTAGCACATGCGCAGATATGCAGGTAGACGTAATGGGGAAGTGTCTGAGTAGTACAAAGCATGTTGTCGGTGTAAGATCAGTATTTCTGGCAAAGAGATTGCACGCCGTATAGCAGTTAAAATCACACCGAGTTGCTGCCTCAGCGAGAAATGGCAAATAATCAATCTGTTAGACGATATCTAGATGCTTTTACCCAAGGTCGAATCATTGGGAAGTTGGAGGAAGGCCACAGTGTGACAAGTGTGGCTGCAGAGTTCGAAATTGCTCACAGCATCGTTTCACGACTTTGGAGACAATTTCAAACTACAGGAACAGCTATCCGGGGGTTTAGTAGTGGTCGTCCACGAGGAACCACACCCGCAGATGACCGGTATATTGCCTTACAGGCCAGAAGAAACAGGCGGCAGACAGCGGGAGAAATCGCTAGACACATGACACAGGCGACCGGACGACCGATATCGTGTTTTACCATGGCCAGAAGACCGAACGGTGGTGGTCTGTTTGCACGACGTCCTGTACGGTGTGTACCTCTAACGCCTGCCCATCGGAGAAGGCGTTCTGCGGTGCCGGGAACACCGGAATTGGAGAGACAATGAATGGGGACGAGTACTCTTTACAGATGAGAGCAGATTCGGTCTGAGTAGCGATTCTCATCGCATACTCATCTGGAGAGAGCGGGGAAGCCGCAATCATCCCTCAAACATCATTGAAAGGGACAGGTATGGAGGTGGCGGTGTTCTCGTTTGGGGAGGCATCATGCTTGGTAGTCGTACAGATCTTCACATCTTCGACGCAGGTTCAGTCAACGGAACCCGTTATTGTAACGAGATTCTTCTTCCATATGTGCGTCTTTTTAGAGGCGCTATGGGTCCGTAGTTCCTTTTCATGGACGACAATGCACCATGTCATCGCACAGTAGCTGCCGAACAGCTCTTAGAGAGTGAGGATATTGAACGTATGGATTGGTCGGCACGATCTTCGGATCTCAATCCCATCGAGCATGTATGGGATTTTCTAGGCAGACGCTTGGCACCAGTAACGATTCCGGAGCTTCGATTGGCGCTGCAAGACGAATGGGCAGCAATGCCTCAACAACTCATTGACACCCTCATTCTCAGCATGGGCAGATGCTGTGCAACCTGCCTAGCAGTCAGGGGAGATCATATCCCCTATTAAAGACCGGATGTTTCTTGCTGGACATTCATCACAGGGATGTTTCGGCCTTCAGTGGCATTGCGCTCCATGCTACTTTTTCAATAAAGCTTCTTTTTATCCCTCTGATTTCTCTTTTAGTAAGTGTTCCTTACATTACTCATGTCCTTACGTATTGGGGATCTTACGGTATTAAATGTGTTGATTTGGAAAGCTTTTGTACAAAGTTATATTGAAAAAACCGTCTCGTCCTTAATTTTTGCACACCAGTGTAGCTGATTTTATTTTTAGACATTTTCTTAAAAGTTAAAAGCAATTTAAATGGCTTTTAAAAAAACTTAATATTCATATCTACATGAATAAAACCATAAAACACAGTAAAATTTAAAATCTGCTAACTAACTGGAATAACAGGTCGTTTGGATATTTGAACAATTAGGATACAACATTTTCTGTTAGCCAAGTATGTATTTAACTATGTATTAAAAGAAACTAGTGGCATACAAGACAAATACAAATATACAAGTGAAAGAAATATTTTTATATATTTTTATTTATTTTATTTTAACAAGTGTTACAAGTTTTAAAATAAAATATTTTTATTTCTGCAAAGCATGCTTTTCCACAAAATTAAAAACCTAGCAATTATTTATTATCTTACACAAGCATTCCATTTTTACTTCAAATAAAATAAAACTGAGAAATTACAACTCATTCACAAAGGCCCTACAGCTAAATACATAATCTTTTCATTCTTTACTCACTGAAAAAAGGTTATTATCTTATTTTCATAAAACAATGCAACTAATTTCTATTCACAAAAACATTTTTTATAATATATATATAATATACCACCTTAAAATATGTCTATATTGTGTCATCACTTAATTATTTAAAACAACAATAAATATAATAAGCTTAATTTTACTTAGCTTAGAAAATCATACAACTGGATAAAAAGAATGTTCTGTAGTATATAATAAATATAGAACTGTAAGAAAAAATTTTAAACTACATACAAACACATATACTTAAGGAATATGCTTACAAAAACCATTTTGTCCATTTATGATTTATCTAGTTTTCAGCTATTTAAAAGAAAAGATCAACACAAACCTCAGTCCCGATTAGTCGACTTATATCACCAAATGATCTGTCAGGATTAGCAGCAATGACTGATCTTCGTACTTCACTGGCAAAAAGAATATAGCCAGTTACGACTCTTTTACAATTCTTCTAGAAAAAAGCAAAATTTATTAAATACACACTAGAGGTTAACAGCATTTACAGAAAATTATAATGTGAACTTTATACACGGAAAAAAATCTAATACAAAATATGATTCATAAGATTCAGATACAAAGATCTAAAATACTATTACATACAATACTACATAAAATTTTATACAATTTAAATATACTTGACAAAAAATTAAATGTGCAGATAATATGACTATAAAAGGAAAATACAACCTTTTTATCTAATTTAATTTTATTTTAAAAAACTAATTCGGGCAAATTTTCTTACAAATTCAACATTAAACTTCCATGGCTTGAGCTAATTTTCAGGTATTGTCACTACAGGTTACCTATCACCCATGAACCATGATTGCACTAAGGAAACTGTTAATATTACATACTAAACAATATGAAATGCAGCAGTACATAAACAAATAAAAAAAAAAACTATACTTAATTCTATTACACTACCAGATTATTATATTAAATTATACATTATCAGAAAAATGCACAATGTATGTGCATACTATTTGCATTTTTCTTAACACGGGGCATTTTTATTTAATTTTCAATAATTACTCATCAATTTAGGTGCTATATATATATAGATTATATTATCTCCTAATATAAATTTCTTTAGTAAATAAATTATTATTATCTTACTTTGCAGCTATTGTGGAAGTATTAGAAAAACTTGGTTTCGAACTAAGCGAATTTAAGATCATTCAACATTTGATATATATATCAAGGAGTGCAAGATTGTGCCTGTCATTGGCAACAGCCTTGAGCAGCATACAGATGGCAGTATTACTTTGCTCAGTTCCATCCCCAATTTCGATGGAGAACATCTAAGGAGGTCAAGTCCAACGCTTTCCGACTCCTCTTTCCCTACCATCAAACTCTCGGGAGAACTTCCAGTTTGTTGCATATTTAGAGTCCCCCCCCCCCACATACAGCAAAAACACTACACATTTACAAACACTGATGCCTTCTTCGGGAATTGAACCTGGGCTCTTCAGTATGGCAGTCAGCATAACTAACCACTATCTTGTTGGAAAACACACATATATATATATTCCATGTTCTGTATACTGCAGGGGGAGGGAGAGTTTTATATCTCCCGTTCTACTGGACCAATTGATGAAATTTGAATTTCGTTTTTCAAATCTCGAAAGTTTGACACAGGATATATATTGGACTTATATATAGTATTGTTCTAACACAGGTAATTCGACACAAAATAGTACTTTTTTGAAATAACATACAAATTTTTATTTTACATGTTTTGATCCTACAATTTAAAGTATGCCTAAATATTAAATTTTGTTAAATTTGGCGTGAAATTTACAGAGAAATTCACAAATTTATCTTGGCATATTTTTTTGTGTTTGTGCCCAGAATAATTCATTTGCTGAACTTCTTAATATATGACAACCCATTTCCTTTCCCTTCCATTGTGCATGAGCGGGAAAGAAAGTCACATTGTTCCTCCTTTCAAATAATTTTAACAAAGTGCCTAAACCACATTTGATGTTATTATCGCTTTCAACAAATATGTCAAATTTTAAAATGAGCCGATATATAAATTCACGTATATCTTCAGAAATTTTCAATAAAAAATTGTAATTTTTTGCAGGTATGCTTAGAAATACATCTACTTTAAGACGATGATAAAAATTTTTATAAATTATAATTCAAAATTTTTTATAAAATTACTTAAAAATACAAATTTAAAAAATAATCATAAAAATGGCAGAATTTTATTCGGAATGAACCTTGTTTTTGAAATGTGAAAGGAAGAATCAAATAAGTTTAATAAAAAAAGATATATTAATAAATATATACCAAACTCAATTAACATTGAGAAGCTAAAATTTTGAGAGCTAATTTTTTTAAAAACTACTAGGGCGATTTTTACAAAACTTGGCACTTTGGCATAATTTGAGTCATATAATCAAATTATGGAAAAAAACTGGCATGTCATTTCAGAAGAACTCTGTTTTTGTGTCAAAATACTTATATTAGAACAATGCTACATATTAATCTAATACATATCCTAAGTCATGTTAATTTCGTCAATCACCCCAGTAGAACAGGAGATATATAACTGTCCCATTTAAACATAAATAGATATAAAAAAGTTAAAAGAGCCATACAAAAATGCATATATAAAAATACTTGAAATTATTTATGTTTAGCAATAAGTTTTACATTTGACACCTAAGCATAAAAAATTATATTAAATATGTACATATATTAAGAATAAAATTTTGGTTATTTGACTCTTCTTAGTTACTTGATATATCCAATCCTCTTAAAAATCGCATAAAAGACAAAATTTTTTTTGCTAAAAATAATTACAGCTATTGCAAGATTCTATTACTGTACTAGTCAATTTCCTTTTGTTATATAATAATTTTTTAACTTTTGATTAAAAAAAATAAAATAAAGCCGGAGGAGCTCAAATAATAATAAATACCTCAATCTCTTCCATTGATTTCAAATATTTTTAACACAAGACATGAAAAGTAGCCTGGCTAGGTATTGTGGTCTAAATTCAACTAGAACTTAGCTGTATCTTTTAATGTCAGTGGCAGATTGGAGGAGGTGTGAGAAAATAATTTTAATCTTTCCAAAAGGAAAAAGAATATTTTTTAGCCCTAGACTATTTTTCACAATCAAGGTCAGAAGGAAGAGGGAGAAAAACAGAAGCTTTCATCTCATGTCAATATATATCATCTACAGTTAGTAAACATATGCTAATACAGTTCAGATCATATTAGATAAATAAACCATCTGGAGTAATATATCTTTTCCCCCTCTTTTCTTTCTTTCTTTCTTTTCTTTTCTTTTTTTTCTTTCTTTTTTTCTTTTTTTCCTTTTTATTTATTTATTTATTTTTTATTATTATTTGTAACGACTGCATGGCATATATTTTCAATACATTTAACAGTTTCATTTATTGAAATTTATGTGATGGTTTATATGGGGAGAGGGGTGAAAGAGAGAATTTATAGGAGGGCAAAAACAAAACACTAAATTAATGATTACCTTTTTAGCAGATGATAGCACAGGAGTTGCAATATCTTGCTCTGTATTAGCCAAAGGTGTGGATACATCATTTGATTCTTCATTATCAGTTTCAATGGTAGGTCTAGTCATCAATGGTGACAGTTCCTAAAACATTTCAGAAGAACATGATGAGAATTTCATAATTCATATTTGAAGATAATCTAAAAGATAATAGCAATGTGGAAGAACAGTACTATCATTTAGTAAATCTAAGACAATCTTTTAATAACAGACAAATGTCAATAATCAAGAAATTGGGGGAGGGGGGTAAATGCGGTTTTTCTACACTCATATGGGAGCCATAACTAAACAATCCCAACAAAAAAATCATGATAAAGACACAAATATCAACAGATTTTTAAAAATGCCTTAATAAAATGAATGTTGAAAAAATATCTTCCAAGACTCAGACAGAAACTACTAAAACTTACACATCAAAACAGTTTACATACTTAAATGATCTACACAGTAATATTCCTTTTTAAATGCCTTTGACCAAATTTTTTTGGATGTCGAAAAGTTTTTATGGACTTTACTACAAAATTCTTTTCACTGACCCATGATTAACAGATATAAAATTGCTACGTGGCAAAACATATAAATACTTATACTAAACTCATCCCACCCCCCAAAAATATAACAATTGAATTTTGAAAACTTATCTAAATTAAATTTACTCTCCAAGTAGTCTCTTTCTATCCCTAAACATCAATTTCAGGACATGAATAAAATATAATCTGGAATTTTTTTAAATTAAAATATCTGCACCACCTTCACTTCAGTTTAAATTTCCTCTACAAAATCAACATCCTAAGAATGTAGAGTCATTAGGTTAATTGAAAGCAAGAGGGATTGAAAAATTAAGCAAGCGCTTTCGTCAGGAATTGGACCACGGACCTCTGGAATACCAGCCCAGGGTGCAGAACCACTATACCACGAAGGCACGCTAGGAAAGTGGGAGAAATACCTTATACGCTCTCCTTTTTAAAGGGCAACTGGGGTTTTCCCAATCGCAAAATCCTGGGTTTGGAGAATCCTCATCCAACACCCTTTTAGTTCAGGCACCACTTGTAGCATCATTAGGTTAATTGAAAGCAAGAGGGATTGAAAAGTTAGCATCCGCCTTCGCCGAGAATTGAACCACGGATCTCTGGAATACCGGCCCAGGGTGCAGAACCACTACACCATGCTAGGAAAGTGGGAGAAATACCTTATAAGAATAATCTCAAAATCTATACCTTATAAGTTATAGATTTTGAGACAAAATAAATTCCACTTGAAGCCCATGTTTTCCATAATCAAAAAGATCAAAATTAAGCTCAAGTGCAATGAAGATAAATTCAGACGAAGAAAACATGCACCAGAATTCATTTGTCAAAGTTACAGTGCCAACAAATTGTTTTAGTATATAAAATGGCAGCTGAGATCCAAGATTTATTATAAAAATTATAATAATAAAAATAGCTGTGCAAGAAATAAATCTGGTTTCTTTACCACAGCAATGCACCAAGTCATAAATAATTTTAGGTAGAAATAAAACTCACAGTTGTCTTTTTTTCCCCTGCCTCCTCAACCAGTGTGATAAGACATACTGATATTCTAATCAAACCACAAAGGATAACTGACATACTTTAACTAACAATAGCACTGCAATCATATTTTCATCACCTGATACAGACCACTTCAGCAAACAATTTATCAGCAGGAATGAAACTAAAGGTTACATTTTGAGTTGTATATATTAAAAATAAATTATTAAAATGAAGCTAGATGTCTTAAACTATTTTAAGCTAAACAAAAAGTTTATCTGAGCATGAATATAAAATAATTGTGACAAGTAAAGGAAAGATGAAAAGAAAAATTCAAATAAAGTACATTTTCCTAACCAATAGACATGACTATTACACCAATTTCTAAAGAAAGGACATGCATTTAAATACATACATATATATATATATCCTGATAGCTAGTGTAAAATTAATCAGAATGTCTATTTTTAATAAAGCAGATAATGAATTAATTATATCTTTGTGCTGAAAATATATCAATGCCAATAGACCAAACCACGAAAAAAAAACTAATGTACACCCAAGATTATAAATTCTATATATAGCTTATCCAAAATATTAGCAAAAATATTGCCTACATACTACCCATTACCTAGTAAATTTAACATTAGACTTTTCCAGAGCTCTGAAAAGGGTTAATTTTAATTACCAAAAAAATTTAAGATGCTTGAGAAAGAAATATTTTTTCCAATTTTAAGCTGAAAGGAATTATCATAAACAACATGATAAAATTAAAATATTATAATTAGTATAGACAAGAAAGTACTTGCAAAAGACAAAAAAATAATTGCTAACAGTCCTATTTAATCGCAAAAACTATTCCATTAATTACTTTTCAATGATTGCAAAGCTAAAACATAAAAAAAAAAAAAAAAAAAAAAAAAAAAAAAAAAGTATCACTAAATAAGAAAATAAATATAACACAAAAAAATAGATCAACGCATTGACAGCATATGCAAATGAAGAAAACCACGATGCTTTAAAAATTATATGGGGAATGTAAGAAGCATGCTATATTACTCACAGGAGTACAAGGATTTATCTTCTTGGGAATAATAGGAGGTGCACTAATAACTTCAGTCTGAAACAAATGTGGAGAACATGCAAAGGTGCACTGAATTAGGAAACATGCAATTCATCTGTTACAGGTCAAAGATGCATACAGGTCTGACTGATATTAAATAAAATACTTAAAACATGCACAATATTAATTCTCTATAGCTCTAATATTTTGATATTATTCTCATTCATACAACTATAATAAAATACAACAACTGAAATAATTTTAAATATTTTAATACTTGCATGCAAATACTTAATTATTAGATCAGATAAACAGTAAAATGGTAAAAATATTTATGCACAGATATGAAATAAAAATATTTCTGAATTCTACAAAGCAGACTGAACTGAAATATTAACATATTGAAAGAATGAAGTCAATGACAAAGATACATGCACTTATTTCCCCAAGACTATTTTATTTTCAAATTGAATTACATGTCATACTTAAATTATGCATTTACTCTTTTTTCCAAAAAAATGGGGGAGGGAAGAAAAGCACATAAATACATATGCAATTCTTTACTCTATTAACAAATAGTCTAGAGCTGCTTGGAATATGTAGTTTTAACATGTATGTATTTAGTTTCAAATAATATTCAGCAGAATATTTTCTTCTGTGGTGGCAGAAATTTATCATGCACATAAATATATTTTATTGGCATAGATTTATACAAATTTACACGAGCAAAAATACACTTTCTGGTAATGCAAAAACAGCAAAAGTTAATTTAAAACAATGTAATTACTATAATTTTAAAATCTAAAATATAGTAGTTGATCTTAATAATAGATATAGATTTATGTATTTAAATAGCTGTTCATTAATATATTTAAATTATTAAAATATTATTCATAGCTAATACTCAGTAAATCAAAGTATGAAGCTTTTTTCAGTCATACCAAGGATGTGAAACAGATTACAAATTTTTGTTTAATAACGCTTTTACTTCATATTCAAGAATTCTTCTTTGGACATGAAACACATACAGAACTCCAGGCTTCTTCCAGTTAAAAAAAAATAGTACTTTTACCACTTTTAAAACAAATTTGAAATTTGAAATTAACGCCAAATATCATGCTGCTTTCTTTGTTTATTTAAATCAATGATATCGTATTTTCACAGAATGCTTCAAAAAGCATTGATTTTTATGTTACACAAATAATTTTATATGCTTTCATTTTTCTACATAAGTTTTCATATTAAAAAAATTCTACATTCTTATGTGGAGTTAACTCTCCAAGCTGAGAATACTGAGTACTATATAACAATGAAAACTGATTCCATTTCTAAAAAATCTGATGTGTACACCACAAGACTTCTTCGTACGGGATATTAAATTATATGCATTTTTTCTTGCATTTCATTTAAACTTATTGGATTGAATTACACCTACTTCGCCGACAGTGCATAAACCACAATAGAATAAATGCATTCTTTAAAATTCGCTCTATTTGTTTACCATAGTGACACTCTGGCGCTAGGTTCACTTAACAGTATTATATTTTGTTCATATTATAACTCAGAATGCACAAAATTTATATCATTTAAAGAATTATCTAATCGTTGCCACATGTTCTACTCAATACTATAATAAAGCTAGAACAATGTATAAAAGAAATTAAGCAAACAAAAAAGAAACAGTTTTTCGCAGACGATTGAGCATTTTTCGTTCAATTAATTCAGTTCTCACTTCGTGACAAGGCAAAAATATGGGGGGGGGGAAAAATCTCAAAATATCTGTATTAAAAATTGTTAAGTTTAAGTAAATCTTAAACACTTATTTCCTTGAAAAAAATTCCAGAAAGGATTAAGCATGATTTAATTCACATTAATAAATGAAGGCGTTATTTTTGTTGTTGCCAAGCTAAGTTTCTCTAGATTGGCAACAAATCCATTATCCTGCTGTTTCAAACCTAAACAAGCATAATGGCCGCCATCAAAAAAATTATTACGCTTAGCGGCACTTAAACAACTTTAAAATTGTTAATAATTCTAAAAATATTGCATGCAGATTTACTAAAGGCATAAAAATCTTAACTGGAAGATAAGAACAACATAATTCAATCATTTTTAAAGCAAAAAATGTACAATTTACAAACATATAAGCGTAAAGAAACCGAGATAACTGAGCTGGAACTATATTTATATACGTTTGGTGTGGCCGATTGCAACCAAAATACGAGGTGCACATCTACATGTTATTGCAGTCCTGTATACAAAATTTCAATGTTTTGAGGCTACTCGTTTTTGAGTTATGCGAGATACATACATACGTTTGTACAGATGCTACGAAAAATTCTCTTCAGAATTCATTTTAAAGCAGTTTTATATTTTTTTGGAGGAAAAGAGTCTTTTATTCTGTCCTTACGTACAGATATCACAAAAACATCGTTAAATTGTATTCGATAGCGGTCAAAATGGATATTTTCGTTGAAATATACTGCTTGAAACTTTTCGTGATTACAATACTTCCTTTTTACTTCGTACAAGGAAGTAAAAATAAGACTGTTGTTAGATTATTGATTGTTAAAATGTCTATAAATCTGAAGTACAAAATTGCTTTTTATTAACATTAATCAGCTAATTTAGAGATGCCAACTATTACACATTTTTCATAATTATTATCTATTTTTACGATCGGTTACAATATTAGAGACAAAAAAAAATGCCAATTTGAACAGAACAACTGCTATGTATGAGTGCACTGAAGTATAAAATTAATACCTACAATTGCACTGATATCGTATTTGATATATCATCTCGATTCCAGTGGGCTGCACTGACATGCCAATTCAACTGAAACTGCTGTACTGTCACATGCATATAATATGTGTCTTACATCAGAAATCATTCATTAAAGCCATTAAATATGCACATGAAATGATGATACTACCTTCAAAGAACATAACCAAAAAACTGAAATGCAGAAGAACTAATGAGACAGCTCTGATTGTGTACATGGCAAATTTTGTGAGAAGCTGTGCAAGTATTATAAAATGTCCCAGTCACAATACCTACGGATAATAGTTCTGTAATATTGTATCCCCCGTTTTTCTTATTTCATAACACAACAGCAATCAAGGCCAAATATGATCACTGTTACTGTTGTTGTGGAATCCACTGATAATTCAAGGAAGGGATTTTCAATATCTTGATCAATATTTCACCCTCAGAAGTATATACCTTGGCAAAACTTTGTCATCTACTTCTGATAAACTTTGTCGAGAATTGTAAATAGATTTAAATTTTCATTAGAAAAGTTCAGTCTTCTATATATCTATAAGAATGTTTTACTTGCTTTTTCTGCAAACTGCTCAAAATGTGTCAAGTCAGTTCATAGACATAAATGATAAACAATTTTTGATTCAAATGCATTGTTTTCCTCAGAGAAGCTTGAAATGCATACATTCTGTCAAACTGTGCTATGTTATGAGTGGAATTATATCACACAAAAATTCTTACATACAGTAAAAGTCTGAAATCTGGACGTCTATTACCTGGGATGATCTAAAATGTGAACCTCAAAACCACCAACAAAATTTTTTTCCAGTCGGCTTTAGGCATGAGCATTTAATTCCCCCTTCCACGCATAACAAAACATCTGGAGCGTCCTGATTCTTAATTTCATTTTGACACTAAATAAAATACCTTGTTATTGAAGAAACAATCATTTTAGCATAAATTTGTATGATCAGTAATTTGGCTTCATTGCTGCATATCTGCTTGGCATACTTCTCAAACCAAAACTTTCCACAAAGATAAATTGCTGATCTGATGCCAACCTGGCGAATCATTATTTATTATACATTCCTTTCATCCCCACATGTTTATCAAAACATGACAACTTGAGTAATGACTCATGTAGCGATACCTAAACAATTTTTATAATAGTAATTGAATAATAAAGGAGTATGGTAACCTTTTATGTTGACATTACGCTTGGCGATAATTGCAGATTTAAATCAAATGCGCTATGTGTTGACAACGAAAAATTTATCAAAAATTTCTTTCCATATGCTAAAAATATATTTTGATGATGATACCCATAGACCCAAAGATTACATTTAAGGCTATTTGAATTAAGAATAGCTGATTTGTTATTCACATAAACCCAGAACTAGCGTCAGGGCTCGTATGGCCGCACTGGAACGCACAGACCCACAAAGACTGCATCAGGTGGTAAGATATCTAGAGCCGGTCCTTGATAAGGCTTAAGTCTATGTCGGAATTTACTTATTCAAAGCTCTGATAAGCCTTAAGCATGTGCAAGAAATAGACATAAGTATAATAAATAACTAATACTATTCAGGCATAATTTGTCTCAGTGCGCGATAGAAGAAAGATAAATTTTATGGACAACTTGTCATTTAGTCGTCAAGCTCATGATGCACAGCCAAATATGTATAGTGAACGATGGTTAAATTTGATGATGATAGCCGTGAATTTTAAAGGTTTTTGGACATCGCAAAACAAAGGTGAAATTTTCCAATTAACGGATTTTGTAAAGAAATGTGGAGAAGCGGTAATAAATGAAGATGATAAAAATGGAAGTTTCTCATTGTGATGACAATGCTTCTCAACCATCAATCAATTAACAAATAGCAAAATCTGCAGTATAGTTCTTGATACAAAAAATACTGCTACTGATAGTGAAGAAAGTGACAGAGAAGTTACTGAAAATTAGAGAAAATTTCAATTGCAAGTTAGACGGAATTCTCGAAACAGCAGTTACAGGACTTCAATAATGTAACTAAACAAGAGATTATGTCTGTCTACAGAATTAAAGAGGATGATGACTATCACAGAATAATTGAAGTATTAGCACAAAAAACGAAGCAACTTAAACAACTTACATTGAAAGAAATGTTTAATAAGGTAAACAGATCAATATTATTATTATTATTATTATTATTTTTTGGGGTAAATGTTGATAGCCTTTAGATCATAAATACTTCATTATTTCATAAATCACAATTTCACATTTTTAATTTTATAATTTCTACATGCCATCATACTATATTTAAACTAATGATCTAATGTCCGGAAAAATCCCATATCTGGAATTGCCGAAATCCTGACGAGTCCGGATTTCGGACTTTGTACTGTATTTGCTAATTGTCTCTTAGATTCTGTTAGCAACATAACTGAACAGTTCGAAACTTTGAACATGTTCTTTCTGATAAAAGTGCTAATTTTTTTCCAATTCACAGTTTATTAACATTAAGTCACAGACTGAAAATCCTTAACATAAACTTTTACCTTTCTGTTTCCAATGATGTACTTCGTCTACTAGAAACCAATCAATTATATAGATGGAACCAGCTCTTTTTTATAGACTTAACATGTTGAATGACACACTAATTTCACATGGCTTTCCGATCTGGCCAGCATGAATTTCTCCTTATGTGTTAAATATTTTGGTGAAATATTAATTACAGCAGACAAGTTAATGAACTTTTCAATTCTTACCCTGTCATGAACTTTAAAAATGTCAAAAAAAGCTAGGATGATGCAATGATTTTGTAAAGTGTGCTACAAAAAAAGATTTGAAAAATCTAGGTAAGCTGAAGCCAAACAACTGTACCAAAAGAATTGTGATATACTGTAGAGAATGCAATGGTTCACTTTTTATTTGCTTGAAGGGTTTCAATACGACACATCATAAAATGTGCACATAATATTTTATATATACAAATAAAATTACTTTTGTATGTTCTATATTGCATTAATTTCTTCACACCATTTTAGTAACGATGACAGCCCTAAGAAATTTAAAAACATTGAAGAAAATTTACTCGAATTACGTGTTTCTAGTAATCTTGGTTTAGGCGGCCACCACATGGAATTAAGTGTGTTAAAAAGCAAATTTTTTTTAACTTGCAGCCTTTAAAGCTGAAGCTAATGATGAATCAATTTTTAATGTTTCAAAAAGGAAAAGCCAGAAAGTTGATCCTTATCTGGTAACTAGTGCGAGACTAGAACTCGCACACCTTGAAAAAAAAAAAAAAAATAAAAAATAAAAAAACTACAGCTTCACAAAAGACAGCTTTATTCCAATATAAAGCTTTCCCAAGAAAATGTCCATCAACAGTGATTTTCAAATTATGCAGAAGTGTAGGTATGTGGGACACTACAATTTCATCACTGGTCATACAGGCATACTCCTGCCACACTGATAGTTCTGCCCAAATTTTGAGGAAGAATACCTGAAGAGCACCCCTATTTCTCTACATCAACCTCTTGAGAAGACTTTCAACTTGCCATGGCAAGCTTATAAATAATCATGCTTTTCCGGGGCTCAGACCGTGGCCTTCGAGATAACATGGCCTGGTTAGCTACAAGTGACGTCACGAAAGGCGTCCGATCCTTCCGTGACTTTCTTTGCTTCAGATTTGAATGCGAGCATTTCGTTCAATGTTTAGAGTTTTTGTTTTTAATAATGCATAATAATTAAATTTCCAGAGACTTGAAAACGTATATAAAAGGTCGTATATTCATTTGCAGTTAAGATTAAAATTAATAAATATTTTTTAAGGAATAATAATGAAATTTTTCTATGCCATGTTTTAGGTTATTGTGCATTTTTTTTACACTGTATTGTAATAATTGTTAGGAACTCAAAAAAGAATTTTGAAATAAATAAGAAGGCTTTTATTTATTGCATAAAAATGCTTTACAGTTTGAGAAGGAGAGGAATAAAAAATTTAGAAATATAATAATTCACTAACAAGTAAATATATTAGCGAATTAAAAGACATAAAAATAATTTTTTTTTAAAACTATAAATATTCAGAGCTTCAAACGTATGCAAATATATTTTTAATTCATTTAATTACTATCTATACAATGAACAGAAAAGCCACAGAAAAAATTTAATCTCAAAATTTGTAATTAAATACATTACAATTTTACTGCAACTACAGAAACGAATTTTCACATATAGTGTTATCTATAGCAATAATTATAAGAATTTACATCATTTAATAATATGTACATTATTAGTTACATGTAGATGCATAAAAAATAATATATTTACAATAAAAGAATCCATATAATGTTTCACAAAACGTAAATCAATAATTGCCAAGAAAACCTCAACAACTATACATAGAACAAACTATCATTTAGTCTAATAGCAAATACTGTGCAAATTGTACTAGTTACTGAAGCATAATAATCGCAATTGATAACTTATTTGAAAATTATAAGTATTATCAAATAATAAGGAAACACAAAGGATTAATATTTAAATGTAAAAGATACATTATTGAGAATATATTTGAACTGCATCATTTAGTATACTAATTTAAAAAAATAAAAACAATGTCTTTACAACTCATATCTTTTCATCACGATTTTGACTTTTTTAAGTTTCCTTTCATTGATTTTTGTATGCATATTATTTTGAAGAACTTTTAGACAATTGTTTCAACAAATATTGAAACGGTGCTCATTATTTTTTAAATCTGCTAGAAAAGGGAATTCCACATTAAACAAGTTTCATGAACATCAAACATGTTAAGTTTAGTACATATATGTCGGTAAGTTTGACCAGTAAAGAATGCTGTCAACTTCTTTACTGGTTCTTCTTTACTTTCAACTGGAACAACTTTATCTCCTAGATAAACTGCTATATCTAATGAGCGATACAAAGACACTTTTCTCAATTTTAGGATATGGATGAAACTGAGCAAAAAATATAAATACCAGCAACAGATTTGTGTAAAATAATATATGAAGTATCTAATTTAATTTATTTGGTAACATAAAGAAAATCCTCAAATGATGCTATTTTGTCCTCTCAAAAATTCATTGAAATATGCTTCTCCATCTAGCTCTTTTTCCTCCCTGTCATCCTCTGAGGGGTTGGGACTTCGATAAGTATTTGGACAACAAAAAAATGCATGGGTAAGCATCGTTATTTAATTTAGGATGCCCTCTAACATCTGATAAAAGTACCTTCGTTTGTTGGTAAATAATCATAGCGAATAAATCATCTTCTCAAAATGTTTTTTCACACACAACGCTGCGATCACTTGAAATAAAATTTTTCCTTGGAATTTTTTTTGATCCATAAATCCCGTTTTACTGTATCTTTTGGAAATTTGAATACTGATACATATTCATTAGTGCCATCGTAACTGGATTTGCATGATGTAACGCAACATCGTGCAGGCATGATGAAGACAGCTCTACGTAGACATTGATCGTTATTCTTGTTAACAAATAAGTTAACTAGTAATCTCAATTTAAAAATGAAAATATCTTTAACAACATTACTTAAATTTAGCAATAAAAAAGACATGAATAATAAAAATATATAGCACGCAATCGATGTAATAACAAGTCTTCGCTTGCAGTGTCCACACAATGCAGTGCAAAGGGTGAAAGTTCAGACGCCTTACTTGACGTCAAATCACGTGATTCTGCAGCTGACCAGGCCATCTAATCTCGAAGGCCACGTTCAAACTCAGGCCCATTGGTACAGCAGTCAATATTGTTGGCCATCACACTGGCTGGGGAGGCAACATGCAGAAGTGGGGGATGAGAAGGGAAGCTTCATTTTCTTTTGTTCAATATGTTCAAAAACGTGTCTATTGATGCTAGCCAATAGGAAAATGAATTTGCAGCTTATCACGTCACTGATGTTGACGAGGAAGTTCTCGCTGCTTTTTGAATCGTTGTAGCATGGAAAAAAAATTCAGGACTCAAAAATGAAATTATGCTGTACAAATCTGAAAAGCTCAGCAATATTTATTTATTATTACTACTATTACTGTATCATTAGAACTCCATACCAGTGCATTAACTGAAATGATTTTTCACCACTGCACGAAGGAATCAAACTCAGTTTAGACCCAGTATTTATTGCCACATTTCTTGTGCAGAAAAATGGAATCATTTACTCACAATATGGTTTTTTACCACAATAAGTTTAGCTATGATGAGTAAGGTGTAGCAAATGCAGAAAATGGAATCACTTAAGCACAACACAATTTGTTACCACAATAAGTTTAGCTCTGATGAGTAAGGTGTAGCAAACCGTGCAACAAAAGCTGATCTTATCAGATCATAGACAGTAACATAGAGAAAGGTATCTTAAATTTTTTAACCTTTTTTTTTTGGGGGGGGGAGGGGTTTCAAAATTGTAAACAATGCTCTTTTTATGTGGTTTAACACCTAGTTTATGTTGCTGAACTCCATCCTTCCAATATGAGGAACCTTCAAGCGTCCCCATTTGTAGTTTAGTCAGGTATTACTGATAAAACTTCTCAGGGGTTGGCATCTCTACTAATTTGAAGAGACATTTCCATTTTCAATCCTTGAACAGAAAGCATGCATTGTCTAACAATAATTTATTTTCAAACTTAAGCAGGAATAACATAAGCATTTTGAACTTGCAGTATGGCATGATCATGAACAAAATAGCAATAAACTCTTATAATACTTCAAAATAAATTAATATTCCAAACAACAAGCTTCTTATTTGAATAATTAAGGTTGCACATAATTTATGAAACTTTAAAACTTAAGATTTTTGTTTGCTTAATTAAAATTAATGACATCATTATTTACTTTAAACTGCAATGAAAAAAGATTAATACCTTTTGAGGATTTATAGGCTTTCTGAAAAAGTACCATTCATCCTCAGTAACACATGAAGATAAAGGAATTTTCTAAAAAAGGAATTAAAAATATTACACATGAATGTAACCTAAATCTCATGATTATTAATTTTAAAAAAATCATAACATCTAAAAACTTCTTACACGTAAGCCTTTTGATAGCCTTCGAATTTGCCTCTCAGCTTCCATATAACGAGATTCACAAATATACACATTTTGCTCTGTTATTTCAGTAGGCCTCTCTGGAAAATAACTATAATTAAAATAAAATCTCTGAGATCTGCAGATCTCTTATGACTGACATAGAGATATTTGTACGACTATCTGTATTACTTAAATTCTAGCTGCTGAAAACTACAATGTTCTTCTAAGAACAACTTTATGTTTTCCTCCGCCTCTTCAGATCTTTAGAATTATAACAAAGATTTTATTATTTTTAAAATTTATCACTTATCATTCAATATAAGAAAAAAGATTAAACTGTTCACTTCCATTTCCCTCAAGCACTATTTGTTACACTGTGTCATACAATTTCACTTTTACATGACTAACACAATTTATCTTATAAATGGCTTATTAGTTATGATTTTGTTTCAGACATCAGCTGCAAATTATTTCACACAAATCAAGAACTGCCTGATGAAATGTTTTAATATTCCACCTTCTGCAGTTTATACAGATTTCTTTAAACAGAAATAAAGAACTTTTAAGAACCTTTACGAAACATCAATGAAAAAAGTTATAGGCTTATTGGTAAACAGAACTAAATAAATTAAAGCAACCTATACAAACAAATTCCCTATTACAATGCTATTTTAACAATAAAATACAGTATGTATCATTATTAAACAATGTAATATTTAATAAACAGAAAGTTAAAAAAAAAAAAAAAATTGAGAATAAAACAAGTTTCCAAAAAGTTTTCAAGTAATTAACATTAAACTACAACTTTTTAAAACACTTAACATTTTTCATATAAAATAGTTGTACAGATCTGAAAGAAATATTTTTAAAAATATTCTTTAACAAACAATACAACTAAAATCAGACTCTAATGAAATTCTGCAGTTTTAACTAACAGACTATTATGCATATAATTTATTACATTGATTTTAAAAAGATAACAATTATATGCATATAATTTACTACATCGATTTTAAAAAGATAACAATTATACATTAAAAGATACAAAACATTACAAAAAATCGTATTTGTATATTTTCAATCTGAAATTTTCCAGACATTTTGGTTTATTTATATTTATTTCCTTCTTTTAAACGATTGATCTAATTCCATTTGCTTTAATAAACAAACTAATGTTCTTATTAGTCTACAGGATCTGTTAATTTGTTAATATTTTTAAAAAATATCCTTTTGAAAAAAAATTTCTTTTTACTTTATGCAATCAACTTTTTCCATTCAATAATTTTTTGCTTTGAATTTTCAGATTTGATTAAAAATTTCTGTTGTTCTAAAAAACTACATGTATATAGATCATGTAAAAGAAATTGTTAAATTTATTTCTTTAGTAATTTTAATTATGAAAATAACTCCAGCAAACTTAATGAAATGATATATGTCAGATACAGAAGATGAATCATTGGCACTGTTATTTTCAACATCTTTATTAACAGAGAAATTACTTGCTATACATACTCGTTCATATGACAACAACAAAACAATTTTTGTAATTTTCCACATATATGACAGCAAAAACCACAAAAATAAAAGAAGAGAAAATGAAGGAACTACAATTATATTAAGAAAGACATTTGGTGTCAAAATAGAAAAAGTACTGTACTTCCTTATTATTACGGCCTAATGCTATTTAAATGGTACCAACAGCCCTCCTGTTAGTGAACTGCACCAAAGCAGCAACTCTACGCAGGATCACATGGCCGGCAAACTTAACCACAGTCCATCTGTGATTAAGAATGTGGACTATTAACTACACTTACTACTAACTGTAGCAGTTAAGAGTGGACCATTATGACTATATAAGATCCGAACAGAACTGCCATTTTGTCACAAACAAAGTAATCTGTGTCTTCTTACTACTAACTGTAGCAGTTAAGAGTGGACTATTATGACTACATGAGATCTGAACAGAACTGCCATTTTGTCACAGACAAAGTAATCTCTGTCTTTATCAGCTCAAGTGCTACAAGCCAAAATAAACTTGAATTCTATATAGTTATTTTATTTTATTTTGTATTACTACCACCACTTACTGCTATCAGTACGAAAATGGATTAGGTTTTGAACTATTTTCAAGTTTGCATTCCTTCAATTTTACAATTTTTGCACTGCTTACTTAATACTTCGGCTTGTAAGAGTTGGATCAATAAAGACACAGATTACTTTGATTGTTTTTCTATGATTATTTTAAAATTTTAAACTTTACAAATTAATGTCTTTGTCAGTTCAGAAACAGGCTGTTTAAATTATTTACTTCTTTTGTTGCACCAATGCCCTGATGATGATGCAGCGAAAGACATAAATTTCATTTTCATTTTTGGTTTCAGTATGTTTTGCCTCTTTTCATGCAGTTTGCCACTGTGCTTCTTTTCTTTCTTTCTTTTTTCTTTTTTTTTTTCTTTTTCTTTCTTCTTCTTCTTCTTTTTTTTTTTTTTTTTTTTTTTTTTTTTTTTTTTTTTTTTTTTTTTTTTTTTTTTTGTTTTTTTTTTTTTTTTTTTTTTTTTTTTTTTTTTTTTTTTTTTTTTTTTTTTTTGTTTTTTTTTTTTTTTTTTTTTTTTTTTTTTTTTTTTTTTTTTTTTTTTTTTTTTTTTTTTTCTTTTTTTTTTTTTACATGTAATTTATTCTGAATTGAATATGTGAAGAATTTCAAACATATTTAATTTTTTTTATATTTTGCATTATATATATATATATATGTTTCCCATTATTTTTTTTAAATGATGGAAAAGTTTTAAAAAAGTTATCTTATTTGCAATAATAAGCCTATGTACATATGCTGAAAGTTCCAATCAATATGCTTATACTATAGGTTAACTGGTGCTTGGCATAGGATGCTGTACAAGTATATTCATAGCTGGTTTGAAAGGTTCACACCTAACTATGACCATATTTGTAACTACCAATAAATTTTTAATAGTTATAATAATGTATGTATTTTTCATACTTGTGCAATAATCCTTGTACTCCAAAACAGCACAACGTCCAATCACACTAAGCAAAGGATTTGTGTCTTCTATAGAACTTAGGAATACTTCTTGACGGAAAAACAGTCTTGTAGGAGGATGCTGTACCTCCTGTGGCGTCACAAACCACGGGCCATGATAAAATGCATTACCCCTAAAAATGATTGCAGCATGAAATAAATCTCAATTTATTTTTAATAAAAATTCACAATACAAAAATTTTAAAAATATATTTATAATGAAAAGTTACACAGAAAGAAAAATTAAAAATTTAGTTAAAGTAATTATATGATTACATGCCAATCATCAGATTCCTAAGAAGGATTATACAGTAAAATCTCTCACAACCAGAAAAACAATTGCAAATTTGAAAGTCTAAATTTAAATCCAAAATTTTGGTCTATGAAATTTAAAAAAAAAAAAAAAAGTATTGAATGGGCTAACAGCGTGAAGACTTAAAAGTTGAATGCTTCTGCTACCCCACCTAACAAGCCTTGTCCAACTAGTTATTCAAGGAATTACTGATTCCTTTCAATGCGTCCATGTGAGAACTTTGAAAGTAATGCTCAAGATTTTCAAAAATAATTCACACTAAAGAAAGTCTTACTTGCTTTGTCTATGGTCTGAAAAGATCTAACAGAAATTGTTTTATGTTGCTAGTGCTGTAAATTGTGGTCTATGATGATGTTCACCGAGTCATGTTCATTATGTGGTAAGTCGACTGATAAAGATTTTTCTGGTTTTAAAACACATCCAGTGCCTGCGTCAAACATCTTGGATTTTTTTACATATTTGGAGAAGATTAGTATTAGTGAAGAAGAGGTGCAAACTTGGATGAGTGTAGATATTTCTATTCCTATTGCATTTTCTCGAGATGAGATGAAATTACAAGACATGCGTGAGAGAAAATGAGGAGGTGGGGGGGGGAGATGAAGACAACACACAGAGCACAAAATTTAAGTGGAAGGAAGCTGACAAAGAATTGCAGACTTTCGTAAGATTTCCCTAGAAATGTTATCTATGTCTTTATGTGCTATTATGAAGCTTCATTGCATGCACACCAAATTTTAAAAATTACAGTGACACTCTTGTAAGCAGGCAGATATTCAAAGTTATGTGCCATCAAATTAAGAAATTTGTAGTTTTCATGTCATAATAAATACAGTAGTTTAAAAATATTGTTTAATTTTGTGCTTCTGAAGTATAAAATCATATTATGAGTTTTAATTTTAAATAATCTGCACAAGTTTTTTATATAATTTATTTAATTGTGACAGACTAAAAACATTAAGGACAGATTACGCATGCAGCAATTTCTACAGATGGCATTATAAAACAAGAAAAGCAAGAAAGGTCTAGAAATATATATTGAATTATCCAGAATCCACATGGCCCTGTTGCTGGTGGTTAAAAGGTATTCTACAGTAATAACTATAGTTAAAAAAATATATATATTTTAGTAAACTACAATAAATGATTACAGATGAACCAAAAGTATTTTATTAATAAAACAAATACAGATTTCATATTTGCCACTTTGTCAGAATGATTTTTGAATACATCAAGGAAGACACAGAAACTGAATTTTATAGGAAAAACTGTCATATAATTGAATATTTTATGAGGGGGACTTAAAATAAAAATCAAAATTAGACACATGAAATTAATTTTACTATTTTTACAATATTTATTTATTTATTTATTTATTTTTTTTTTTCTTTTGTTAAAAAATAATTTGGAAACTGGGTTTTACCTCATCAGTTTAAATTTTATAATCCTCAAAATGAAAGATAACATTTTAAGACAAAATGGAAGGAAACAAAAGGGTTATTATTAAATTTTAATGTGTAATTATTATTTTGATGAGAGCATTATATTAGCATATTTGTTAAAAATTAAGAAACTCACAAATAAAAATTTATGTAATTGACCATTTTAAAATTTGATAAGCAATGTAAAAGAGAAGAATTCAGATTTTAAAAACTGATAATCTTACATTTGATATACTAAAAAGAAAAATTTATATGGCAACATGAAGTCTGCCAACGCACATGCTAAAAAACAGATTTGGTAACAAACTGCCACAATTTTTGCAACTTAATTGCAAAGTTCACATAAAAAAATTTATTTTATGCATAAGACAGTTAAAAGTAGAGCAGTTTTCATATAATTATGAAAAATTCATTTTCATATTGAATAAATTTTAAATGAGGAATAAATTAGCAAATTTTTGCCAGAACAAAAACTTACATCTTGTCTATCCACATTTTATCAATTCGTCCAATCAGTGATTTATTGTGCTCAGTACGGACATAACAACAATCACCTAAAAAAACATTTTAAAAAGATAAAGATTTATCCTAAGTGGTATGCAAGCATTTTCTGATAAAATTTCATATATTTCTCATGCATAATTACAAAATATTTTCTATCAATACAAGCTTCATATATACCACAAGCAGTTTTTTATTAATTGTAATATTATAATACTAATAAATCAAAAGATTTATTATATGTAAGGTATGTTAAAATATACAGAAAATGAAAATATTAATATGAAAAGTTAAAATTATTCATTATACATTGAATCAAATTACTTATTAAAAACATGAGAAAATCTCTATGAAATTCTATAACCAAAAAATAGATTATTCCAATATCCCTTTCTGAACGGATGGCCCATATATACATATTCCTTACAAACATTTCTCCCAGCCAAACATCCCACCCATGAATCATTGGAGAATGCACTTAAGGTCAGGTGATGGGTATGTGCATTTTAAACTGAATCATTTTTTAAAGACCATTTAGATGGCACTCTGTGTCTATTACTTTTGAAATCAAGATAGCTGTTGGATTCTGACCTTCAGTTTGATCACATTCCACCTAACTTTGGTGTCAGCTGTTGCAGGGAGGTGGGAAAAGTGTAATGTAAACAACTAAAGCTCCACTCTTTAACTCCTCCTTGACATAAGCATTCACCTTTCTGATATCCCTTTGACTCTTTTCTTTTATTCTTTTCCCACTGGCATGCAGGATCTTTTAGGGTTACTATGTGAGGTTCTGTTACACTTTGCCTTGCTTTATCAGGAAAGTTCTCACTTCAGTTTATTATGCGGAGCAAGCATTCTCTATCAGAGGAAGGATATACTCGCATGGTAAATGAGCCAATTAGTGACACAGATGACAGTGATGATTTATTTTCTAAAGAGTTAGAAAGCGATATTTCTAGTAATGCTCATACTGACATTTTTTCAGAGACTGAGCTCATCGAGTTCCTGCCTTCCATTTCCGTGAAGATTTTATTTCTTCTTGTACATAGCCTTTGTTCTATTTTTTATTAAAATTTATTAATGTATTTTGTCAATTAAAACTTTGGAACAATTTGAATAGTGCTTCTGAAAATTAATTCTCAAAGTAAGCATTTTTTGAGAAAAAATTTATTAAATGCTAATTTTAATGTATACGATAGCTTAAGTAATAATTAAAATGGTACCAAAAATTATGATATTAGTACTGTAATATCTTGTTATTTAATAAATAACTATATTTATTGCTGAAGTGGCAATGCCATATTTGTATTATGTAACCGTTGCTCAGCAACGTGAGAAATTGTTTTAAATTAGAATTCTGAAGTTTTTACCAGCTAGTAGTAGTATGAAAGTTTTGCCACTAAAGAATTTCTTATTAAAGAAATTATCTATTTCTGTTAACTAGAAATAAAAATTTATGTTCTAATAAGAAGATTGCCTGTTTTGTCAATTACTGCAAAATACATTACAGTCTTAATTAATTGGAGGTTCCACTGAGATACTGGAAATTAGGAGTGCAATTATCAATTTCGATGGTGCTGGTCTCCTAATCCCAGAAATTTGCTGAATTTTTTAGAACAAGTTTGCTAATACCAATTGCCGAGTTTGTTTATTTCAAGGAGAAATGGATGTAAGAAGTCTGCCGTTTTCAAGCCAGATTTGAAGCGGATCATTCAAAGGTTGTCTTCTGTTCTTCTATAACTTGCGTCCGAGCAAAGAATTGTCAAAAACAGAATACTGCTGATCTTCCAAGATAAGATTAACTTTTGGTTTCATAAAAAAAAATTTGGTTGAATTTTAGTATTTCATTTCAGAATTATATTTCAATAGTAAACGTTTCTGTGTAAAATAACTGACACTAAAAATATTAGGAGTAATTTATAATTGATATTTGTGGTAGAAAAGTATTTTAAATTATTATTTAGCCTTTACTGTTATTTGTATTGAATTTTTTTGCTGATAACTGATATACGTACACCATCACGGCATTTATATAAAAAAAGAACCGCTAGCCGAGTTTTTGAATTTGTTGCCAAGCAGGCGCATGGAAAATAAGTAGTAACGTCAAACTGACGAATTGTGATTTGATTATACTGCAGAATTGGCAAAAGTTTTTTTTAGTTCTCGCTATCCAGGCGTGTGGTAGATAATAAGCAGACAATTGTAAAACTACACTAGCTTCTAAAAATTAAGTTATATTTGTGTTTCAAAATTAATTTACACTATATGCATCAAATTCAAGGTGTGGCTGAAAATGAAAGGAAAGTTTTCAATTCCAAAAAAATAAATTATGTTAAAAAAAGGAAGGAAAGAAGAGAAAATTAAATTCTACGTTACCTAGCTTGTAAGTTCCAGATGGAATGGTATACTGCTCGTAATAAGTAGCTCCTTCTTCAGGATTTTGTACTTCACAAACCAAATTCTGTTAGACATAAATAAGTATTTTAATAAAAATGAATAAAAGCATATTAATATTATACCTATCTAAATCTTTCACATCTAAAAAAATTTAAGCAATTTTTGCATTAAAGAACAAAAGGTGAGGGAAAAAAATCAATTTATATTATAAGGATGTAATAAATTTCAAAATAAATAAATAAATAAATAAAACATTGAACTTTTTTATCATACACAGAATACAAAAACGAATTCTTAGTTTGTGCACATGTTTAAAAGCATTTATCCTTTTTGTATTAATTTTGGTGATAAACAGTCAAAGGTCAATACAACACTTGTAAACATTCTAACTTGTTAGCAAACTAAGATTCTTAAAAAATAAAAAATAAATAAATAAATAAACTATTCAATATGTATTCATACATTTTTAACAGATTTCCTCCCAGAAGAAGAATAGAGACTGGTTGGCCAAACAGAAGTTTTTGAAAACTAATGTCCCATAATGAGCTAAACGTTTTCATTATTGCTAAAATGCTCAATAATGCAGCATGGAAAATCTTCCTTGGCCATGACAAATACTCAGAAAGAATTCTAGGATTTACAACAGATTTTTTAAGAGAGGAAATCACAGTTGGCCATCAAGACTACATAATGGTCATGTTCAGACCCAAATTCATAAATATGTATTAAATTTTTTAATATAATAATTTAAATAGGTTAAAAAGTTTTCATTAAAATAAACTGCACATCAAACTAGTGCAATAATCCTTGTACTATTTTAATTCATTGTTGTTTACTCATATTTTTAATTAACCGTTTTATGATTTCTTTCCCAATTTTAGTCAGATTTACAGTTGAAAACTAAAAACAATCATGCATTTAAGTTATTCAAATTAATAAAAAAACTTTTTTTTTTCAATTGGGAATGACTTTAAATCACACACATAGGTAGGATCAATATTCACCGGTCGAGGCTTGTTGACTACATCTAAATCCGGTTCATCTGCATCATTGCTCTCATCTTTCGGCTTTTCAAATCCATCTTTAAAGACAGATGGAACTCGAATAGGATCAACTTGTTCTTCTCGAAGCACAATGTGAACGTAATTATTTGGAGTAAAATTCCAGATCTAGAAATAAAAATTAAACTCATTCTTATTACTAATACTCTTTTCCTGTATAATAAAGTTACTGCTGAATAGTGCATTCATAATCATACCCTGTCAAATAATTTCATAAATATATACAAGTTAAAATTGTAATTAAAAGTTTATTTCACCTAAAAATAACACAAATCACTTTTCATAATTTTGGTAATTAAAAAATCTCAATTACTAGTTTTCTTATGAATTACTATAATATATTTTCAATTATATATCGAATGTCTTAATGCATAAACAGGTAAGCTTTACGCTACTTTCAGACATAATAACATCTATTACACAGTCATGCCTACAACCACAATTTCATTTACCTGCAATTTCTAAAATTTAAAGAAAAAAATAATCTACGAGTTACAAAAAAAAAAAAAAAAAAAAAAAAAAAAAAACCCTCTAAGAAAGTACGAATTGTAATGATAAAAATAAGGCATATATGTCAAGTGCAGCCTTTAAGTTCAAGTCAAGAATGCATGGATACATGAATCAAACTGATGTTAGACAAAACGTCACAGATCTTGACATTCACATTAAAGAAACAAGGAGTAAATGCACTGCAAATTATAAGACAGCAGGTAGTAAATTTTACTATATCTAATATTGTTTATGTCAACCATCCCTAACTTTTTAGCACCTTAGAGCACATTTTAGAATATCAATGAAATGGCAGACACATTTACTCTTTCCAAGGTAAATTTATAAGATGAAGTAGTTAATAGTATACATAATTTACATATATATATATATATTGTTGTGAAATGCCCACCTGTGGTGAGATTGCTTCCCTGCAAAGCAGAGTTAGGGCTGCAAGAAAGTGGCAGGGAAAAAGGAGTTGCCTCATTTGGCACAAAATTGACCCCTTGGCAATGTGCCACAGATAGAGTAATAACATTCTAGAAAGCATTCTTACAGGTTTTTTTAGGAATATTCTCGAAGGTAGGTTAAAACTATATATACCCTGCCTGTACTTGGAGTAGTAGTGTTTTGAATTCAGAGATTAGCTTGACAGCGATCGACTGAGTTGAGAGCTGTACTTAGTACTTTGTTGTGAAGCTGTCTTCACCGTTACAGCCTGAATGCTGTGTTGCTGATTGTTGCAGAGTGTTTACCGTAATTTTCCAATGACTGTAAATGTGTCTTTGGAACTTTTCTGTGCAATGGAGCTTACTGGCGAATAAATTGTGTTTTGGTTCTTCATCAAGTGTTATCATCAATTACTCCAAATCCATGAACCCGTAGAACACAACAATATAATTTTAAAACATAAAAATTATTAATGCTATTCTTATGTGAAATAAATAGTACAGACATAATAAATATAATAATAATAGACATAATAAATAATACAGACAAAAATCTACAAATTCTTTGGTTTACAATCTGTTGGTATAAAATTTCTTTATAAAAATGTAATTTGTAATGTCAGTGTGATATTAGGCATTTCATTTCATAGCCACTGCTTTGTAATTAGGAAAGTATGATGATACTCCAGCTTGTAAGCAATCGTCAAGATATTCATCTAAGTCGAGATCTGTACTTTGATTTTATGATACTCATTGTAGTAAACAATAATATTTGACATTTGTTAATTTTTAACTGGTCAGGATGTCAGGACCACATCTTCAAATTGGGACAATTCCGATCAAACCAGGACATCTGGTAAGTCCATTTAAAATTATAAACAAGTAATTTTTTAACAAATATCCTCATATTTCTCTCATTACTAGCTATTAAAATTTACACAACATTTTATTGAAAATCTAAATAATTTGTTTATCGTAGTTGCATAGTAGCAAGCGCACGTAAAATTGTTCATGGGTACAATGATGCCTCTGGGCATAGTGCTGGGACCCCAAAGTCTGGGCATAAATCGGTCAAAATTTAGAGTAATTAAGCATGTTAGGATTACCAGATTGAAATTATGGATACAGGACAGCCTTCCTATACAAAAAAAACAATTTGAGGGTTTTAATGATAAAAGGTGAAGAAGGAATTTTAAATTCATAGAAAAAGGCTGGATGAATGTTTTATAAATTATATGCTTCACCAGCATGTTCTAAAAAATGAAATCTTCCACCTCATTACAAATGCTCCCTATTCACCCATAACAGAACTTCCACAAAAATCTTGATTAATAATAAATCAGAGATTATTTTCTTCCTGACAATAAGAACTTCTTTAAAAAAAAAAAAGGAACAGACTGTGAAAGAGTAGTCGATAAATATATCTTCAACTACAAAATTCTTGAGAATGCTTACATACCACACAATTATTCAGCATTACATAAACTACCTTAACAATGACTCCTATTTTGTTCCAAGGCAACATTACAGCTAGTTGAGTAGTAAGTATCCTGGGCTTCGATACCAAGGATACTGAATTTGAATCTCAGCAGTCAACTTCTTATTTCACAATTTTTCTCACCTTAATATATCTCAAATCCTTACATTTACCTAACCTGGCTTTTTCTCATTTATTTTAAAACTTTCTTCCTATATTAATCAACAAAATTTGATTATTCTTTTGCCAGAAATTTGTTTTCAGCAACCTTTGTGTACTGATTTATCTGCACAATTTTGAATAAACCATATTTTATTTTATTTTACATATAGTAGTACATAACTTGCCTAATTATATTCCTGATATAAATCCTACATGATTACATTCATAGAATTAAATTCTTTCTGTATGAAAACACTATATCTCTATGCTTTATTACTGTTCTGATGCTTCATAGAAATCATATTTTATTGCAACTTCTACCTTTTTGTATTTTTAAAATTATTTATAATGTTTGCATCCTATTATACCCAAGGTAGGCTAAATTATGGTTTAAGGATTTTTTAAAATTTATTGAACATATTTCAATACTCATTTTGTATTATTTTCTCCTCACTAGCATAAAATCCTGATACATAATCATTTATCAAGCTGCTTAAAAATTGTTTTACAATGTATCCCTTGTTTCATCTTGTTATGAATTCCTCACCAGTGTTTATTCACTTTCTTGTTCTCAAGTTAGCATAATTTGCACCTAAGCTATAATCCACAATAAATTTACGAGATGACCCTTAATTTTCTGATTCATATATGCAATAATATTTGGAGAATGATCAAGTTACAAGACACTTTAGATTTTTCTTTACGACCACTAAAATATTAAAATCAATGGTAAGAATAAAATCTCATGTTGGATTGCGATACAGTGATCATGATTTGTTGTTTGTTATGTGGTTGAAGGATATCCAATCATTCTATTCCCCCATATGTGTATTTTAGAACATTTCCATTAGTTTTAATTTGCCTTCAAGTGAAAGTGTGTGTATAATAGTTTACTCCTATATGTTCTGCTGTTAATTTGTTTACTAATTGCTTGACATCAAAGTATAATTTAAAATCTAATAAAATAAATTGAATGTGACATCATCAAAAGCTTTGTGCTTATGAGCATCTGTGTGTGTCATAATTTTCCTCCCCTAATAATTGTATTGGCTAAATATGGGTTTTGATTGCCCCTCCATTTAGGAAAATTTTTGCCAGCAACATGCATTTCATTTTCTGATTTATGCAGTAAATGTAATTGTACAGATATACCTTTAAGGACCATTTCCACTATGGTTCATTTGAGCTAACAGATACATTTGGCACAGCTGACATCACTCTCCAGAATTGAAGGGAAAAAAAAAAAGTTTTTTCTTCACTTGAAAAATTTGAACTGCATGCATAACAGAACAAGTCAACACACAGAATCAACTCCGTTACCTCAGATAAACCTCAATATAAATGGCCCCTCACATACATATGTTTAAATACAAATAATATTTATAAAGAATTATCTAATATTTTAGACTTTTTAACATTAAAATGTCTAATTAGGCATTTCAAATATTGTGTTTATATTTTGACTTATGTGTCAGCAAACATGCGTATTAAATAAGTAATTCTTTTAAATAAAATTTTATATCTGGCATTTCCTAATATGTATTTATATTTTAAAGTTCATTTTTAAATTTTTTCATAAACAAGCATCTTTATACCCTAAATAATTAATTTTTAGTAAACAAAATGGCACAGAATCAGTTTAATAATTAAAAAAAACTTACTTTAATTTTTTTAAATGCTTTGGCTTTAGCAGAGTATCTTGACTCACAAACATACACATCTTTGAATTCAAATTCCTAGCAAAAGGAACAAAGCAAAATAATAATAATTTTATAAATTGACATTTTAAAATAAAGTATTTTCGAAACAGTTTAAATACATACAGTTGGTTTAAACTTGAAGTAGTCTTTTACAAACATAACGTAGCATTTCCCTATGACTTGATTTAAGGGAGTACTATTGTAATTATCACTCTTAAAGACTTCCTGAAATATAAACAAAAGAGATGTAATTTATATATATTAACTCAATCTAAAAACTATAATACAGAGCATAACAATAAGATAAATAATCATAAAAAATATTAAAAGAAAATACTATATTAAGACAATAAGCAAGTGCATACTTATTAATCACAATATTTTAAACAAGAAAACAACCACTTAAAAAAAAAATACAACTAGCACAAAAAAAAAGACAGAGTGTATTTTATACATAACTCAATATTAAATTTAATTGCAAGCTAAATAAAAAAAAAATTATGTGTAAAATAAATGTAACTAATGTTTGCACAAAAATGCCAAAGCTATTATTGCACTAGTAGTTATTTTTTAATATAATTAATCCCGAATTCCAAAATTCATTCCAAAAAGAGTTCATAATTCACAGAACGCATAAAATTAAGAGAAATAATCATAACAAATATTAAAAAGAAAATGTTAATGATGCAGCGATGCATGGGAGTTACACCAGATAATGAAATGGCACTTGCGAATAAATGCTATGTTTGTTTTATATAGTCTCATTCCCTGGATCATTTTTTTTTTTTTTTTTTCTTCTTCTAAATTCAAGCATGTGAACTAAGGCACACGAAACAATGATATCAAATAAGATTACAGATAAGTTTAAGCCTTTTTTACAGCTTTTGATTATACATTGTCTTTTATTTTTTGTACAATGTGGATGAAGCAACTGTTAAAAGGTTTCGTGACTGTGCTAGAATACATAGTCCATACAATGCACAGTTGCTTAAGATTCAAAGAATTGATAATGCTTTGAGTGAGTTTGAAAAATATGATTGTTTGTTAGATGACGATATCTCTGAGATAGAGGAATTTGAGGAAAAATATTTTGCATTTAAAGGCTTTTACCAAAAGGCATTAGATAAATTTGTAGAAAGTTCTTTCCTTAATCAAAAATTTTATGTAAAGCTTTCGTGGTTAAATATTAATTCTTTTCAAGGAAATTAACCAGACTGGCCTTCATTTAAAAGATTTATTTGTATTAATAGTTCATAATAATCAATCTTTCAGAAATTCTCTTCTCTTTGAGGTTTGCTGCTTGAAGATGCAGTGAAATGAATTAAATACATTCCTATTACAGAAGATACCTATGAGGAAGCTTAGTCTAGGCTGTGTAAGTGGTATGATGACAAAAAGCAATTAATCATATCATTATTGAAAACCTTCTTGGATCAACCATAAACAAACCATGCCAACCATTTGGCTTAAGACAGCTGGTGGATATTTCTGATGAAGTAATTCATAGTTTAGATTCCCTGCACACAAACACTTTCAAAACAACTCATGGTTAATATGTATATTGCTACAAAAGACTGACACTGATACACATTACATATGGTCTCAAAAGGTAATTAAGAGTGACTTTTCCATATTTGATAACTTCCTGGAATTTTTGAATAATACATGCTCTTTCTGAATTGAATTGATAATTATCTTGAAAATGCCTTCTATAATATTCTTCTTCATCTGTTCTCCCAGTTGTATTAATGTTTTTTAATGCAATTCTTCAGTTTCTAAAATGCACTTGAAGGTTTTATCAAGGGTTAGCTCAACATGAAAGCTATGTAATGCAGCTGAGAACTGATTATCATGAACTGAATATTCAGTACTTCCAGAAAGAATCCAGCCAAAATATGCATTTTTAGTTGTTACTGAATAATTAGAAAATTGTAATTTTGAATGTGAAAAGAAACCTTTGAGAGAGAGACCAAAATTGTTTCTAATCCAAGCATAAGGAAAGCCAGAGCTAAAATTGCTTCTTACCAGCATAAAGAAATTAAGTGCAAATGCTGTAATGGTATCCAATCTTTAAGCAAGTGTGTAAAATTTAAGGAATTGGACATAGTGTCTAAAAAGGATATAACGAAAAAACACATATCGTTCTTTAATTGGCTTAATGACAGTAATCAAATTGGTAGATGTTTTTTGAAATTTAAGTGCAATACTTGCTCTTAAAAAAATACATTGCTTTATAAAAAATATCAAGTCATCTGTGGTTACTGCTAAAGAGGATCCAGTTGTGATTTTAAATTCTAGTGATTTAAATTTTAATGCAGCATGTAATGGAAAAGACCTAGAAAGTAGTATCACTTCCTACAAAAACCATTTCTGTACTCGAATCATTTGGCAAACACCGTAATTGCTCTGTGAATGCAGTTATATCTTGGAGTTGCCCTGCGAAGAACTAATGCTCGATTTCCTGTTAGGAGTTTAGCATCCAAAAATGCTAGCACTACTAAAGGCATGGTGTTCAAATTGTCCATGATTCCAAAATTTAATTCTAAGAAGGAAGTTGTAATTAAGACTTACGTCTTACACAAGTTCATCTTCTCCCTTCTATCAACTGAACACACAATGCTGTGCCATTCATAGATTCTATTATGAAAGCTGATCCAGAGGAAACAAATTGACATTGTTAATTGGTGGTGATTATTTCATTTCACTTTTGCTGCCAGGCATAATTAAAAATTCAGTAGCAACTCAAAATATGTACTTCGGCTGGATTCTTTCAGAAAGTATTGAAAATTCAGTAATCAAGCGGCAGTTACATTACATAGATATCATGTTGACTGATGAAACCCTGAAGAATTACTTCGAAAGGTCATTAGGGTAAACACATGAAGAGGAATATTGTGAAAGGCATCTTTTCAAGATAATTTCAGAAGGTAGATTTGTCTTCAGGCTTCCATTTTGAAATTCCACTGTAAAATTAGGAAATGCAAGAAAAGCAGCAGTTCATATTTATTTCGCATGGAAAGCAAATTTAAGCAAAATCCTACCTTGAAAAAAGGTTATACGGAATTTATGGCAGAATATGAAGAGATAGGTCATATACGAATATAGTTAAATCAAAAATCAGTTTCTAAAAATAAGTTACCTTCCACACCATTCAGAACTTACATTGGATAGCATTATGACAAAATTGTGTGTAGTGTTTGATGCTTTATGTAAGTCTACTAGCAGAAAGTCTCTGAATTCTATATTATGTAGTGTCGTGAATTAACTATTTACCGTGATGTAGTGTCGGTGCTTAAAAGTTTCAGAACACATGCTGTAGCTTGATGTCACCAAATTGTACTTGCAGATTCTTATATCAGAAGAAGACAGAAACTCCAAAATAATTATCTGGCGAAACAGCTAGGAAGACGAAATACCAGAATATCGATTAAATATGGTAACTTACATTACAATATAACACCTTATTTTTTTGCAACAAGATGTCTGAGAAAAATTACCATGGATTATAAAATACCTTGCCATGTATCTCCAAGATAATGAGAAATGACTTCTATATGGATGAACTTTTATCTAGTTGAAAATGTATTGAAGAAGCTTTTGACATTTGTGGACAGTTATTTGACACATTAAAAACTAGAGGTTTTAAATTAAGAAAGTGGTGAATCAATTCCCTTTCTTTAAGCCTATATCTGTTGAACAACGGAATTGGTTCACTGACCTAGAACTTATGAATGTTCTAAGGACTTAAGTTTACACACGGATTCAGTGTCAGATTCTTTTAATTAGCTGTTGAAGAAAACCTTACAAAGTGAGGGGGGGTAGTTGCAGTCAACCAAGATCATTAGCCGTTGGCTTGGATCATTGGCTTGGTTTGCTATCACTAGCTACAATAATGGTGAAGATCACATTTCAACAACTTTGAATTTCTAATAATGACTAGGATGATCCAACTCCTTATGATTTTGTAATGGATTCAGTTTGAATGATTTGTCAAGAAAATGAACTTGGTTTCAAGAGAAATTTCCAGCTACTGAGTCTATTAAAATTCCTAGATATATTTATACAGAGAAAATGCAATTACACTTATTTTGTGATGCTTCAGAACTTGTATATGCAGTAGTGATATAGCCCAGCAAGAACTTGAAGGGAAAAGTAAATATTGAAGGGTAAAGTAAATATTCTAGCCACAAAGAAAGGTTGTTCCTATTAAGCCCTTATCTGTTCCTTTATTGAAACTGAGTACAGTTCATTTACTATCGAAGCTTGTTAGTTCTGTGAGGAATATACTGAATAACTGCAAATTTGAAATCTTTGCATGGACTGATTCTATGGTTGTACTAGCATGGTTATGATCACCTTCTCATAGATGGAAAATTCATTGCTAACCAAACATCAGAAATTGCTGATCAAATTTTGCTGATATTTCATTCGATTATGTTCCATTGAAATTCTGGAAGATCTTGCTTTTATATCAATTTTCCCAAAACAGTTTGTAATAAATTGACTGTGGTGGCAAGGTCCTAGCTGGATGAAAGAAACCCTTTGGCTTGGTCATATTATGAACCGAACATTATGGATGATCAGGGTATGTTAAGTGAAGAAAAGATTAATACTGTATTTTCATTTAAAACTGATTTAGAAAATGAAACTTTGGGTATTTTTTTAAATGACTTATCTTCTCTATCAAAAAAATTATGCAAAAGATTTGTTTAAAATTTCAAGGTGCAAAACCATTTGTCAAATTGTAAGCCTTTGAATGAAATCTTACCTATAACTGCTTTAGAATACAAAGAAGCATTAAAGTATTTAACATCACAGGTATAACAAGTGTATTTTAAAGATGACACACATTTATTAAATTTTAAGAAGCCTTTGAAAAATGGTGCATTATCAGCAATGAGGCCTTTCTTTGAAGATGATCTCTTACAGGAGGGAGGTTACATTCATCATTCTATGTTAAATTATAATACTAAGCATCCATTGATTATTCCATCATCTAGTAGACCAAGTGAACTATCGATTAAGGAATATCATATTACAGAGTTAGCCAAACTTCATGTCAGTAGGAGCCGCACGTTTGAATTAAGAAATGTTCGAGAGGCGTATCTAGATTTTCTGAAAGCCACAAGTTCATATTTACATCATTATAGAAGTAGTGGAGGAGGTTTTAAATAGAAAGAAATCCCTGATAACTTTATAAAATGAGTCTAAACTAATTAATTACTTCCTTTTGGACACTGAATAGTTTTAGTTTACCATATTTCATATATATGTAATTTATATGCATGAGCCGCACAAATTGCCTGTGAGAGCCGTATCAGGCTTGCAAGCTGCACTTTGGCCACCCCTGTCATATTACTTACTTACATGAAGGATCTACAGTGTTAGATTACATTTTAAAACAAAATTATTAGCTCAATGGAGCAAAGAAGCTCATTAAAAGTAATACCAGCACTAGAATTTTCTTTTGAAAAATATCACTAAACCTTGGTGCCTAAAAGCATGCTTTATCCTTTAAATAATAACTTCATATTGGATCAAGTGCTTTTGCAAACTATTTGGTAACAAATTTTTTTTGAAAGTTTTATAAATTTTATTTAAATTCTATTGAATAATAATCTAGAAAGTAATAAAAAATTAAACTGAAAAATATTCTATCTTAATTTGAAAGAACTTATATTTCTAATCATGGGTGGAACGAATTCTGTATTTTATGAATACTGTCTTTACTTATAGTTATTTAGCTATTAAGCTAATTTGTATAAACTTTGTAATCAGCAATATAAGTATTTATATTGCTGATTTGAATAAATTGGTAATATGTATTTTATAGAACTATTCAATTATTAAACTGTTCAGCAAAACACTTTATATTTAATACATAATCAATTACACAGTATTATATTTATGCATTTTAAAAACTGTAGATCATATAAAATGCATAATAAAGCACAATTTTAAACAAATCATGGTAGGTAAGCACAATTGTTTTGATACTTACTCAGGGAAGATATTACAATAGACTTTCTTTAATTTAAATATCAGAAAAACAAAAGTAAAAAAGTAAAGCTAAGCAAAACACAAATGCTGCATGAAAAACTACTTTTTAAAAGTAGTTTAAAAAAAACTTTAAAAAAAAGGAAATGTTTACTTTTTCCAGGAACTTTCTAGTAGCTAAATGAAATGTCTCATTAGGACGGTAAAACCAACATCCATATAACCACTGTTCTCCTTGGTTATCACGCCATAACTTTTCCACATGCATTATATGAGGTTCCATACCTTTTTCTCTGAAAAACAAAGTATCATAAGTATTCAGACAAGCAGTTAATATAAAATTTTAACTTTTTTATTAACCATATATGGTGGAAATTGTTGATATGAATTCAAACAATTTAAATAACACAAAATAATAATAAATAACTTAATAAATATATATAACCTCAATGATCACACAGTTCAATGAATTAAAATCAAACTTGAAACAAAGGGATTGCAAGATGCACTCTCAAACTCTCATGAATAATAGTTACAGCACAAAATCATAAATGATGCTGGAATGAGCAGCTAAGGCAACGGGAAAGCAAAACTTTTGTCTGAATTACAAATACCTTAAAATACTGCCTCCACAGGCTAATATGCGAGAAAAAGTGGGCATCGTTGATACATGCAATATTAGACAAGGAACCTCAGAATAATGCATTTTCTTTAATTTAAATACAGTTCTTGAATCAGTATTTCTCAATTCATACTGTGTGCCTCTGTGGTGTAATTAGAAGCATGTCCTACTTTCTGTCAGCAGAAATGGAGTCTAAATCTTAGTGATCTTAAAACTGCTGAATTTTCACATTTCCTACTCTGAAATAAACGTAACGACTTTACAAAGAAGTACCATATCATGAGGATGTTCACCTCACTAAACAATTTCACTATTAACAGTTCACTGGTAATGAGTGCTATAAATCATGTGCTTTTCCTAGTTGAACACTGTCTTTCTTTTTTTTTTTTTTAAATCTACCTGTAGTTATTCTAATGCCATTTATAGTTTCTTTTTTTTCTTGTATCCATCACAGAGCAATGAAGAAAAGTGAATGCTTCTATTCATAGCAAGCAATCTAAGGATAAATGGGAAAAAATTCTACAATTTTTCTGACCTGCTGAAAAATAGCTATAGTACGAACAATTACAATGATCGCAATAATAGGCGACTTGTGACCAACGGCATTACTCCAAATTGCCTTTCCACTATGAAAAGTGTTATTGCACACACAGCAGTCTAGTGTGGGGTGATACATCAAGTCTTTCTCCATCATAGTGATACTGTCAAGGCAGATCATTATGATATAGCTGAACCTTGGCAATCATTAAATCAGCAGTTCTCCACCTATTTTGTCCCAGGCATTCCTTATACCATTGCTAGAAGATCATTTTAATCCTCCTTTCCAAAACGGGGAGGATATATATTCCACATTTCCTGCTTTCTTTCCTACATTTTTCACATTTCCTACTCCGAAATAAACGTAACGACTTTACAAAGAAGTACCATATCATGAGGATGTTCACCTCACTAAACAATTTCACTATTAACAGTTCACTGGTAATGAGTGCTATAAATCATGTGATTTTCCTAGTTGAACACTGTCTTTCTTTAATTTTTTTAATCTACCTGTAGTTATTCTAATGCCATTTATAGTTTCTTTTTCCTCTTGTATCCATCACAGAGCAATGAAGAAAAGTGAATGCTTCTATTCATAGCAAGCAATCTAAGGATAAATGGGAAAAAATTCTACAATTTTTCTGACCTGCTGAAAAATAGCTATAGTACGAACAATTACAATGATCGCAATAATAGGCGACTTGTGACCAACGGCATTACTCCAAATTGCCTTTCCACTATGAAAAGTGTTATTGCACACAGCATCTAGTGTGGGTGATACATCAAGTCTTTCTCCATCATAGTGATACTGTCAAGGCAGATCATTATGATATAGCTGAACCTTGGCAATCATTAAATCAGCAGTTCTCCACCTATTTTGTCCCAGGCATTCCTTATACCATTGCTAGAAGATCATTTTAATCCTCCTTTCCAAAACGGGGAGGATATATATTCCACAGCGAGCAACTTGAAATCTTAATAACCAGAAGATTTCTGAGAGAAATTCTACAGAAACTGGTAGGTTGGGACTGCAAAAGCATTTTTGAAGGAGCTCCAAACTGATTTTAATTCACTTTATAATAGATGGTTCAGGTTACTGAACTATTTGTAATTCAATTCTGATGTATAAGACATTAGCATTTAATTGGATATTCTAAATTTTATGTCCTATGGCAAATTTCATTTTTTAAATTTTCTTTGACTTTTAAAGCGAAAAAATTTTAAAAAGTGGAGGAGAGTTTTATTTATCAAAGAACTTTTAAATATGACGGAAATAAAATGAATGATTAACATACATAGTATTTGTGTGAATAAACATAGTAATGTACCATATATTGAAGTAAACAAAATTAAATGCAAATATTAACTGATTAAATATTGCTTAAATCTTCATATAAAAATCTAGAAATGTCTACAGTAAATTAAGAGAACCCAGATAAAATGAAACTTAAAATGAAAAATTTGATAAAATCAATAAAATTTAATACGAAAAAAATCAGTTCAGCTGAAATAAAAATTCATAAGAAAATTATTCTGAAAATCATTGCAAGTGGAGAAGGATGGAATTTGCCTTATTTAAGTTTCATTAATTCAATAAACTTCATTTATTGCTGGGAAATATTTTTCTTAGAAAAGGCTAAAAATTTAAAAAACAGGAGATTCGGAGATCTACTCGGAGACCAAGGAGCCTCCAAGTAAAACCAGGAGAGCTCGTAACTATGATCAACATTTATTTAGATTTATATTATTTTCAACCGCACAGCAGGAAGTATGTAGAGTCAGGCTGACTGCATCTACCCCATGAAATTCCCTCTGGTTGAGAACACCTCGTATTAAATGCTGAACCTATCAGCTTATTCTTGGCCGTCCAGCAATAATCAACAGTGTCACGATGATTTCAGAAAAAAGGAAGTATAAATTCTGAGTGAATTAGTATGAAACCCTTCCTCACCGACTATATTTCCCACAGATTATGAAGTCTGAAATAAAATTTAACAAAGATGATAAAAATATTTATGCCTCCATGATGCAGCTTGTTTAAAACAAAATAAAAGCATAGTGAAATGTTTTTATTGCCTATTTTGTAAGCATCTTTACTCCATTCTCTAAGTTATAACATTCTGAATTCTAAATATTAAAATCCCATGCTTTTTTTAAAAAACTAGAATTTTACCATGAAAAAAAGACATTTCAATCAATAGAAGTTTTTAAAAAAAATGTTGGCAGGATGTGATAATTGCAAATAAAACTAAAATAAATTACCTGGGTTCAATGTATACAAAATCACCAACATAGTAAGTTTCAGTTTGAAATGTTGCGCTATCAGAACTTGATATTTCATTTGTTCTGGATTCATCCTGAAATAAAAAATTAATCTTGAAAGGATTTGGTACTGCTCATGATCAACAAGTTTAAAGACTAGAAAACTGTACATACTCTGTATTTTTGTAAATATACTCAGGTAAGATAATCTGGATTTTTGAATTTGTACATAAAATTCTAGTTTTAACTTAACTTTTTACACTAAATCCAAATGATCAGCAAGAATGGACCATTCAACTTGGTTTGGTTTGGCTTATTTAATTATGAAAAAGTACTTTAGGACTATCTGTCTATGGGAAGGATAACTTCATGGAGGATTTTCAAAAGGAAACTAGCTTGCATACATGTTACACATGTAGAAAACCACAAAAATATCGATGTAGCCACCGCATTTACTTGGAATTCAAACTTACAGTATTTAGTGGACTTTACTGCTCGGTCGCATACGAGCCTCAACCACTCGGATTTCAACTAACAAAGTGAACAGTTTGTCCATTTGAACTCATACAATAAAATGAATGAATTTTATATATACTGAAAACGGCCATCAAGAATATGCCGGGCTACAGTTTTAAAATTAGGACGAGAGATTCATAAGATTCTCAGAAAGAAATGATTTCGGAGTAAAAAAGATAGGACCACTTTTATTTAATATACATTGAATCACCCAAAAAAGCTTGTATAGGCATACGTAAACAAATAACAGAGGTATAGAACCAATCACAATAAGGTGCGGTAGTCAGCAGCACCAGTATAAAACAACAACTGTCTGGCAAAGTTGTGAAATTGGTTACGGCTGTTACAATGGCAGGTTATCAAGATTTTAAAGTGAGTTTGAACATGATGTTATAGTCGGAGCATGAGAAGTGGGTCATAGCATCTCCAAGGTAGCAATAAATTCTAATTTTAGCATACGACCATTTCACAAGCATACCATATCAGGAATCTGGCAAAATATCAAATCTCTGACACTGCTGTGGCTGGAAAAAACTCGCAAAAGAAGGGACCAATGATGACTGATGAGAATCATTAAGTGGGACAGATGTGCAACCCTTCCTCAAACTACTGCAAATTTCAATGCTGGGCACTAACAAGTGCCAGCGTGCAAACTAATCAATGGACCATCATTAATATGGGCTTTCGGAGCCAAAGGAACAGGAACATTTCTGAGCATATCTGGGATGCCTTGCAATATGCTGTTCAGAAGAAATCTCCACCATCTTGCACTCCTATGGATTTGTGAACTGCCCTGCACGATTCATGATGTGAATTACATCTAGCACACCTTCAGACATTAGTCAAGTCCATGGCATGTCGTGTTGTGGCATTCTGCATGCTTCTGGGGGCCCTACACGATACCATTTTTTTGGATCTTCAGTGTACATGGGATAATGCATTACATTAGGCAAACTGGCATTACATATAACAGCTACAATCATCTTGAAATGCAACAGAGCCTCCTCTTCTACTGAAATTATCCTATACTATCACAATATATTTTCTTGAAAATTATCACTCCATGCTCTCTAAACTTAAAGATGCAATTCAGCAGTAGTGTATACGGGTATAGTTAGAAGCATGCGGAACAGCAAAAATTCAGGATTGGCAATGCAGGTGTATACAGGGTAGGTCCTGTCAGACAAATAGTGTAGTTCCAGACCAATTTTGAGGAACAACAAAGGAAGTCCTTCCACTCTTTTCCAATGCCACCAATGTACTGTGAGGACCTTTCAGCTCGCCCTGTGTTTAGGGTGCCCCCTTGCTGCACAGATACTATATGCTTACAAACATTCATACCTTCTCAGGGATTCAAAATCAGGTCTATGGGTATGGCAGTTAATACCACATTATACTGGCTGGGGGAGGGGCACTAAAGTGACTTTTTCAATCCATTCTTTCACATACTGAAATTCCCAGTAAACATGCATTATCCCAAGGAACTTCCAGGTCACAGCAACAGATAAATTATTTGTAGAATACCAATTATATGTAGGATTGCATTATCTTGATGAAAGAATGTATTTCTTGATGCAGAAAGGGAATAATGTAAACTGAATGACGGTACTAATGTTCGCCTTCAAGGTATAATTAGGAATAAGGTATCTCCATCATCCAGCTGAAAATACCAGATTGTCAAAAAAAAAAAAAAAAAAAAAAAAAAAGGGCTATAGGAGAGATGAGATGTGGGTGATATACACTTTTTTTGTGATGCCAGATGTAGGACCTTAGCTATTGGTTGAGAGTAGGGAGTTAGAATACAAAATACACTGGATCAGCGAATAAGTTCAGAGGAAGGGGGATTCATTTCAGAGCCATGTAATTTCAGGAGGGGGAATAAAGATAACCAAAATAAATATAAACTGATGCAAAGAAATAACAAGGAGCAACTGGGAAAATAAATAATTAATGCAACAACCGAGAATATTTTTTTTAATTAAGCGAAAAATTAACACTATTTGAAAGCTGGATTCGAACTGCAGACCGTTTGATTCATAGTCTTATGTTTAACAATTAAAGCTAGTATCGTGTTCAAAGTTGAAGAAGAAAATAATGTTAGTCTAAATGTATGAGCACCACTCCAACTCTTTTTCTTTTAGTATTTTCATCATAATCAAGTTTAGGAAATGACTCATTAAGTTTTCCAATATTAATGAAAAACTTTCATGTGGTTTTAGCCGAAAAGTTTGCTTTTTTTGATATCATAAACATCATGAATGGCACCATTCCTAATGAATCACCTATTGTCACATTGTCTATGTGTGGTATTTTGGAGTATCTGAAAGTTTATGAATATTTGTTTCACTTGCATAATCCCAAACAGGACAGGTAGGACACTTTGTTCCATTAAAAACTAGTCAGAAAAAACCCCAAAATTATAATGGCGGTATTCTTGTTTGGGCAGGAATGCCATATAATAGAAATACACTAGTGCATATGCTTACAAGATATGTTGCAGCTGAGATGTATGATAATTTCTTACTGGATAAAGCCTTGCCTTCGATGAGGAATTATTCAGAGATGGATTAGTCAGTTCTTCAACAATATAAGTTCACAGCGCCAATTGCATTAAGACCATGTTTGAGAATAGGCTTGCAGACATTTTACCTTGGCCATCTCATAGCTCTAAGCTGACAGGACAGTATTGAAAATTTATGAAAGATATTACTGGTCATCATTTATGAAAATGGATCATTTGGCCATGATGAACAACTGTGGCAAAAGATGCGATGAACTTTAAAATAAAGCTAATGACAAGGATAAAATTCAAACTTTATTTAACAGTATGAACTCAAGCTTTTTGCAAGTGATAGAAAGTAAAGGGGGAAAATTAAAATATTGAATGCAATTGAAAATTTTCATTATGTAATTTTATATATTAAAACTTACTGTATATGAAAAGATTTTACATTTTCCTTTTAATGATGAATTTCAAAATCCTGTAATGTACTTATTATTTAAAAGACTTTCTACATTTGGTCTAATATTGCTGAATAATAATAAAAAAAATACTACACTGTTGACTCATGAGTAATGTATTTTAGAACTGACACTTCAAAGAAATATACCCGTTTTGTGGTTTGTCTCGTAAACATGTTAAGTACTGCTACTAAAGAGTCCCCTAAGTTAGTCGAGTCCTAAGCTGTTTTCCAATTCATTTCTATTTAATGTGTTTCAATTCTGTGCTAAACCAAAATTACTCAGAAGGAAGGTTTCGGTTTTAAAAACTGCATCATTTATTTCATCCCTTTTATGCATAATTTGGTATAAACTGCAAAATACCAAAATATTACAATAGCATATTACTTTTTGAATGAAACTATATTTGAAATAACTTGGATAATGTAAATGTGCAAAGAAGTATTTGCAGTCATTGCTGGATGAACATAAAAACTGTTAAGGAAGTATTTTACAGTTTTGATATGTTGTCATAAGAACTGCCTAAGATGGCAATACTGAGTTGATATTGTAGAAACTGTATTTGAACCAGATGCCACTGTGCGTGCCTGAATTCCTTTGAGTATTTCTTACTTTGAGTCGTTCAATACATTGTTGATTGTGAAAGATGTAACACAAACGCGAAATACTAACTAAATAAAACAACGCGAAATACTAACGCGTTAAATATAAATAATAAATAAACGCATAACACAAACGCGAAATACTAACTAAATAATAAAGAAACACATATAACTAAAGTTATATGTGTTTCTTTATTGTAAATGTATTTAATTGTGTCATCATTAAAATTGGATAAAATGACAAAAAGAGAGGATCAATGCTGCATCTGAGAGGTAAACGAAATTTCTTTATTACTTGATTTGAATATTGAGTTTTAGAATAAGGCAAACGTGATATTAGATGTATATGCGTATTTACAGATGCTATTATTTGATTTGAATATTGAGTTTTAGAATAAGGCGAAAGTGATATTAGATGCATATGCGTATTTACAGATGCTACTGGAGATTACTTTAATTGAACAGGTATTCTTATTTTCTTATTTTTTAACTGTCCTTAAAAACAGCTATTTCATTTGCAATAACTCATGGAATAAAACTTTGCAGGATACTATAGAAAATATCCTTACCTTCTCTTGCTTGGGTTCCAACTCAGCTTCCTGTTGTTCTCTGGGCAATTTTTGAGCTCTAAGAGTTTCTACACTAGCTTGCAGATCAGCTTCTGTGTACTGAAGAGCAGGTGACAGCAAAACTTCACCATTTTTACAAAGTACATCACGTCTTTTAATGAAAAATGATTGAAGCTCAACAGAATCTTCAAAAACTTGAGAATCTGTTCTGCTCAGATGTCGAACATGTTCAAATACTTCAAACATATCTTCTTGGAAGCGATCAAGACGTTTATATTTTCCCTAAGAATACATTCGCATTCACATATAACAGATTAAATTAAAGTAAAAAGTATTTTTCCTTTTCATTTAAAAATATTTTAACAACACAAAACATATTCTTTTTCAATATTTAACATTACCTTGTCTAAATTTCGTTTTATCATATCTAAATTGAGAACTTTCCTGAAAAGTGAAAAATAAAATTTTGGATTAATTTTACATGGATTAATTTTACAACAACAATAATAATACAGTACAAAATGAAGGAAATGTAAAATAAAATTCATTAATTAAATAGCTGATAGTAATTTCAAAAACAGGTCTTAATAAAAAATAGAATCATAAATACAGTGCTACACACAAGAAACAATAATATCAAATTTGCATTACCAGCAAATCACATATTTTGAAGCTTAAAAGAGTAAACTATCTGAAAATGTATGAGAAATTAAAGATAATAAAACAAAATAAATTATGATGAAAAAGATCTTTTATTTTTAGATGAGTCCTCTCAATAATTGAAGTTTCTTTAAATGAAATTTTGACTGCCTTTTAAATCAGCCAACTTTAGGCAACAGGGGAAAAAAAAAGGGGGGGGACCCCCCCAAGGTTCCATTTTGTACTCCCCCCTCCAAAAAAAGAGATTTTTAAGAGCATTAACAAATTTAAGGTTTAAAATATTATATATATATTTATGAAAAATTTAAGTATGACCATTAGACAATTCTCTAGGATCAAGAATTGGACTAAATTCAATGTTTCATTTTCATTTCCCAAAAAATAATATAGATGATTACCACTACTTTGTTCCAAGAGGTGGAATTTATAAAGATAAAAATATGTTGCATTGATTCAATTAAATTAATTTTCTTTCAACTTAAGGTTGAATACTTATTCATTTTTTAAATAAATCTGAAAAATTTCAAGAAATAGTATATATTTATTTTATTTCATGATAAGAGTTTTTATTATAATACAAATAACTATTTAAAAACAATTAAAATCATTAATCAAGAACCCAAATAACAGAAATATATAATGAACCTGAATCTTGTATTTTACATAAATTTGGTTTTTATAAATATACATCAAACTTAATAAAAATAAAATAACTAATAACTGATTTAACAAATGAATATCGCAATTATAAATATACATCAAACTTAATAAAAATAAAATAACTAATAACTGATTTAACAAATGAATATCGCAAGTTCAAAATTTCTGAAGTTTAACAGAAAACTTAATTAAGTTTTAAAGAAATTTCATATTCTGAAAATTAATTTCAAATTATATTCTTCATTTGCTGAAAACGATGTAATATATCATATTTCCATACTTATCCCTGTAACTGCTGTCTTGAAAAATAAATAAATAAATAAAATACATTTTGAAAGATAACTTAATAATTCTTAGTTCCTTTGCTAATAAATAAAATATCACTTACTTGGTAGGATCACTGGATGAATCCGTTTCAGAAAATTCAACTAAAGAATCACTAAAGCAACGTCCTTCTTCATCCTATTTCATGAATTCAAAGCATGAAAAACAAAGTTTTACGCCATTTAAATATTTGCACAAGCTTAAAGCATTACATGAAAGTACAGAACCAGTTTAAAATAACTAATTTTATCATACCAAACATAGACAAAATTTTTCAAGAGAACTTGTCATACTAGCATAATTTTGGCTCACTTAGAAAAAGCATTAAATAAATCAAAAAATGGTAAAAATTTTAATAATAAAAATTACTTATTTGTTGAATGTTGTCAAATATTAAACTTTCTTTAAAGTAAGACTTCTAAACTTCATTACCAACAGCAAAATAGTTTTTGGTTATTTAATCAATATTTATTTCAGCTATGTCACTGATAATTGGTAACATAAGCTATTTTTGATTGTAAATGAAATTCACCAATAGCACAGCACAGAATTTTCAATGTTTAAGAAAAATTTAAACAATAAATTCTTTAAAAATAAAATTTTAAAAAAATCCACTAAATTTTTCTTAAGTGTAACATTTTATCATATTTCTATAAAAAGAAACATAAAAAATAAGGAATTTTGCATATAACAGGGTTAAAATTATTAAGTAATCAAATTATATACCTACTATATTTTATGATAATATAACCAACAAATAAAAATTATCAAAAACCTCAGTCTAATGACCTGGCCAATTTAACCTGCCATAAGAAAATCCCAGTCAATTGCTGTTGGATTAACGAATTTCTCTCAATATAGCAACCCACTAATCAGTTAAAATCATATTATAACAACTTTCTTGAACAGGTTGATAATGTAAAAGAGCTCTTTCAGAAACACAAATAATTCATTGTGATAATAATTTAAAAAAAATGGTTTTCTATTTAAATAATAAAATTAAGCTACTGAAGGGCAATAAATTGCCTAAATAAATACCACACTACAATTTTAACATGTTCAGCAAACTAAAAATATTTTAACCCTTTGATGTGCGCGATATTATTTTTATAATTTTTTTTAACTAAAAACTCTAGAAATTGAATATTATGATCATAGAGACAAATAATATATGAATAAAAAAAATCTACTCTTGCACATTGTTCTGTGGGTGGTCGTTGCACTGTGAAACCATCGCACGTCTAGGACATTAAAACTTACTGAGGTAGTAAGGGGAAAAACTTACTTTTTTTGGTGTGTGTTTCCAATAAACGACAAAATTTACGAATTTTAAAAAAGTGTATGTAAGAATTGCATTATATATAATTTTTTTACATTATTTTACAAATCATCAGAAAAAATTTAAAAATAAACATTTATGTAATTTTTCTACAGCCGTGAAAATATAAGTACCTACATAATATGGACGTTCGGATAAATGGGGGGAAAACTTAGTAAAATAAGGATAAAAAAACTTAGTGTTTTTATTTTATTTTATTTTTTTTTTATTTCAAAGAACAAATTATTTTTGTGACAAAAGCATGTTTTGTCTTTTTGGTAAATGCATAGACCCATATTGCACGTTTCTTACGTTCTTTGAGGTTTCTTCCTTGTGCTACAAAATGTACACTGCCTGGATCTAAATTTCACTGGTATATGTCCAACGTTATTTAGTTTCTTTTCATCTGGCACATGAAATTTGTGGGGGGTTTTTATGTTAATGGGGGGGGGGTCGGCCTTTTTGGCTTTGGTACGGATCGTTCGTTTCCCATTCATACTTATTTTATTCATATTTTGTCCAAAAATATTCAGAAAATATTTTAAATTTGTATAAAACTTTCCGCAATTTCTATTTTTAATTACAGCAAAGCATAGTAACATTAAATTTAAACCACACAAAATAATTTATAAAATCACAATGCTAGCTTGGGGAGCAAGTGTGTTGAGGTCAGAGAAAAGTCTCTGGAAAAAAAGGGCCTATTTACTGGGCAGGTGCATGTATTGTTTAGTAATAAAATAACTCTGTGGTTTCAAAGCCTCTTATCTATATCTGGGCAAAAATAAACATTCCTATTTGAAAAGCAAGCAAATGCCATTGTGAAGAGCAGTGGTTTCAAGGCAAGATCACCGAACCTCTAGAGGATTGTGATCATTGTGACAGAATGCTCTATCAGCTCAGTGGTCGCACCCTGAAACCACAAAGCAAATATATAGAGGGTTTTTTTATATATGCAGTTTAATTATTGAAAATGTTTATTGTTTATGATAGAAATCCTGATGTACGATGAATAACTTTTGAAATTTAAAGTTGTTTATATTAACGAAAGGAGGTTATTTTGTCTCATTGAAAACAAATTTTAAAAGGCATCTGATTTGAATTATTAAACATGTATGATTCTGCAGTCATATATGTTTAATACTTCAAATCAGAGCTATTTTGAGTTAAGATCAGTTATTTAGAGGTGTTTGCGTTATTTAGAGGTGTTTGTGTTATTTAGAGGTAAAAGATCAGCAATCAATTGATTTTCACTCAAAAATTTTGGAAAATTCGAAAATTGGTGGTTTCAGGGGGCAACCACCGCACATTCTACTTAACCAGCATGTACAAGCTCAATCCCATCAATGAATTCACTCTTTTTCTCCTGAAAAACCATGAGCAATTAAATTCAAATACAGAAAGAACGTGATGGTCATTATTTCTAGTTTGGAAGGAGAGGAATAGTCCCCACAATGATCATGTCTTTTTCCATCTTTCACATAGCTCAATTGCTATAGTGAAACGTCAAATTTGATGTCCTCACACACTTAAATACCTTATTGTATGAAAGATTCAGTTTTGCCTTACTTTCTCCCACTAAATGCTTGTCAATTCAAAGCTCAAGACAACTTTAATTGTATACTGAAAACAAAATTTTGCATTGAACTTAAATATTCTGAATTTTTTCAAGAGCTTTTGGAGATTCATTTGATTTGTTTCATAAAACTGCAAAAATCTTGAAAATATCTAAAATGTCACAAATAAAATTTCTGTAATTTCTTTCTCTTTTGCTTCTATCATTTATTTACTTTGAAATTAAATTTTAAAAAGTTATAAATCCTCCTCTTTAAGAAAATTAATTTATTCATTTTACTCAAATTAAAATGATTCCTAGACATACAAATATTTTCACTGCCCCATTTTTTAACTTTACACAAAGCATTAATTGAAGTAAGGTTTCAATTATGCCTTATCATCAGATTCAATGTCATACAAATATCTAAGAATAATTGATATTTTGTCAAATAATGCCCATAGTTTGGGCCGAAAATAATTTTAGATACACCAATAAATAATATATATATATATATATATAAAAAAACTTGAAAGTGAATAATGTTTTTAGGTAAGAATATGATGAATTTGTTTACCCTAATAATTTAAAACCTAATCTGTGATAGCAAATTGCATAAAAGAAAGGTACAATGATACATTCAGTCCATAAGCAACTTATGGTACATTCACATTTCTTTGGCACATCATCAGACTACATAGAACAAATAAATACTTAGAGAAAACAATAAATTCGAAAATAATAAACACCTTTGAAGCATTTAAACAAATGTAAAACAGAATTTATGAAATTAAAGTTAAAACGTATATTTATTGCAGCTGAAATATTATCTTTTCATATAGCTTAATGCTAATACTATTTAACTAATTTAAGAAAGAAATACTTTTTAAGTATCTAAGCACAAAATAAAATGTTCAATATCTGAAATAAGCCAGATTCCAAAATTTTGAAAATATGCAATAAGGGTATTCAATTAGTGTATTCAATGGATTATTAACCCTCTGAGCGGCCCGGGCTTCTTTTGGATCTGTCATAAAAACCTGTACTTAATAAGCCTTTATTAGCTAAATATATGTATATTTACCTTTTTTAGTCTCCATTTTCATAAACTTATATTCATCAATATGGCATTTATATTATTAATGAAAGAAAGCAAAATATCTTAAATTATAAGCTAATATATAACAAGTGACAAAAAATCTCATAATTGGATAAAGCCAGTCATGGCACTCAGAGGGTTAAATAGCCATTTTAATATACCTGATGATTATAAGTTGAAATAAAAAGGTCAGTCAGAAGTTCTTGAACTAAAGCTCTAACATCAGGTACACCATTATTACAATCTTCGCTTAGTTCCAGTTTCGTCTGCAAGGTCATCCGTTGCATAGTCAGTGCATCCTAAATTATATTTTAAGACGGGAAGGAATTTGAGATCATTATCTAGTAATAAACTGAATTATTCAATGTAAAAACATGATGATAATAAAAAAATTAATATTCCAATATATATCTTCTTAAGTATTACTGTTATACTGAAAAGAACAGGCTAATAAGATTTTTCATTTATATAAACTATTTTACTTAGCACTTTAAAAAAAAAAAGAGCATGTCAACAAGACACATTTAAACTGCATGTTATTTTCATTTCTATTGGTTTTGGAAAATTGCAACTTTTGTCTTTGGCAATTTGTCAAATGTAAACATTATGATTAACTCTTATGGAACATAACATAAAGCAACACTACATTATTATTGTTAAAAAAAATTCAGCAGAAACACTCTGTGAACCTTTACACTTTCAGTTAAGAATTATGGACCAAATCTGTTACACTAGTTAAGAAATTAACAGCACTGTATTCAATTACAAACATCAAAAGTTTCATAATAATCAGACCAGCCAGTCTATAAACATTGTTACACTCATGAAAAAGATTCTAAGTCCAGCAATCACAATTTGGCATTGCTCACAGCAATTAGCTAGTCATGAAAGCATCACATAGCAACTGTCATAGCAGATCTGCATCCATACAAGATTCATATCATGCAATACTCCAGCTGAAAGACCAATTACAACATCAAGATTTTGTCAAATGAGTGTTAGATAACTAATCAATAATCACCAATTTTCTTAGGAAAATCATCCATCAGTGATAAGGTATACTTTCAACTGAAAGCATACATAAACAACAAAACTGTTGGACTTAAAACAAATAAACCACAGATAATTTATAATAATAATTTATAATAAGGTATACTTTCAACTGAAAGCATACATAAACAACAAAACTGTTGGACTTAAAACAAATAAACCACAGATAATTTATTAAAAGCAACAGTCACAATGTTACTGTCTAGTTTGGATTTTAGGCTTGAAGAGTGGCTATTGCATTGAGGAAGGCTGCCAGAGTTAAGGGGGCATATATGCAGATATTGTGTTCCACATTTAATTGCTGTGTTCTTTGGACTAAAGTAAAAATATCAGCAATTTTTCACAAATTGTTTTTTTTTAACTAAATTGAATCTTGCATTCTTTTGGAGCACCTTTTATTATTAAAAATTTTTTTAATGCTACAGTACTTAATCAACAGCACCATTAATTACATCCCTTCATGAAGTGTATTGCATTTACGGCATTCGTTAAATTTTTAATGCACAGTTCAGCTTTCTCATTTATTTTTAAAAACTGCAGATTATAAATGCAATTTCTATACTAAAAACATTGTTAAAGAGATTTTTGTTTTAATTAAAAGCAAATTTATCATCACTTAATTTACTGTGTGAGGAATATCTTCGCCTAGGCGAAGATATTCCTCACACAGTAAATTCAAAATTGGTCATGCAATGAACAAAAGTGTAGCACAAATCACTTTTATAACAATCCATACACTAAAAGCAGCATTGCTTTTTTACTTTTAAATATTGCAATAAAGCTTTATTGACTAACCTAGCAATAGTCAAATGTCATCAAGGAAAAAGATAATGATTAAATTAATGTGGCAACTCAAATCATTACAACAAACCACTTCCCAACATAATTAATAAACTGTTACATGTGATATTCAATATCCTGGCTAATGCATACTCTAGTAGTAGACTATTTGTTGTTTAAGTTTAATATCATACTTGTATAGTAATTGCACAGATACATTACTATATTTACAGTGGTGGCCAAAATTGTGGACACTTTTGGAAATTTTTATGTTTTTGAACTTTGTATGCACTGAATTCAATACAAAACACAAAATTCAATTATTTGCAATACAAAAAAAGTTAAACGATAATAGTTATCGATATACATTAGATAGCGATGATTGCAGTGAGTTATCAGTACTTAGTAGGGTACCCTTTATTTTTGATTACAGCTTCACATCGACGTTTCATTGGGCTGACAAGAGTTTTAAGCTCATCTTTCGTTATTAAATGATGCCAGGAAACAATTATAGCCTTAATTAGTTCCCTTTTATTTGATAGGCTCCTCATTAGGACAAGAGTTTTCAAACGGTGCCACAAATTTTCGATAGGATTGATGTCAGGACTGTTTCCTGGCCATGACAACAATTTAATGCTCTTTGTACGAAACCACTCTTTCGATATTTTGGCCGTGTGGCAAGGAGCAGAATCTTGCTGAAAAATAAACAAAGCATTGTTGGGAAAGAGATCTCTGATGGAAGGTAGAAGTTTTGGTTCTAGAATAGTGTCAATGTATTTTCTGGCATTCAGTGTCCCATCGATGACATGAAGGCGACCAATACCATCTGCTGACATGCATGACCAAACCATAACACTAACTGGGTTCTTCACAGTTGCTTGAATGCAGTCAGGATGTAGCTCTTCTCCTATTCTACGTCTTACATATTTTCGCCCATCACTACCGAATAATGATATCTTAGTTTCATCACTCCATATAACTTGTGACCACTGATTATCTGTCCAATTAATGTGTTCCTTTGCCCACTGTAGTCTTTTTTTCGTTGCTGAAAATTAAGATAAGGCTTTTTTCGTGGAATTCTACCTCTCAGTCCAACATCTGTTAATCTTCTCCCGATTGTTCTTGAACTGACAGAAACACCAGCATCATTCAGATCATTTCTGATGGCCGCTGATGACATTTTTCTATCTTGGAGGCATAGTCTTTTTATTCTTCTCTCATCAATAGATGTGGTGCACCTTTTTCGGCTTTTTCCTTCTTTGGTTTTTTATTGAATTTGTCTTCTGATATCGTAAACAAAAACTTTCGGAATCCAGATATAGTCACTGAACCTCCCACCTGTCTTGCAATTTCAGCATAGGAAAGACCACTTTCTCGTAACACAATAATATTACATCTCTTTCTAGGTGTCTAATCTACTCTTTTATTTGATGTCATTGCTTCTTGACTAAATATTAAAATTTTTTACAAAAATTCCTACTTTTAATTGCAGTGTATAAGAAACAGGTCCTCCTTCTACAGAGCAAAGCAAAATAATGAATTGTTTCAAGTGTAAACATGATGTCAGCTTCTACTGGCAGTTACTAACATTTGATTGGTTCTCAGAACAAGAACAGTGATTGGCCAGGAAAGCTAGACATTACAAACCACTTCAAAACTATGTTTTTTATTTATATTAAAGTACATATAACGTTTTTTGTATTGCAAATAATTGAATTTTGTGTTTTGTAATGAATTCAGTAATAAATTCTCTTTAAAATGATATATACAAGTTTGCATTTTGCAAAACATAACATTTTCTATAAGCATACAAAGTTCAAAAACATAAAAATTTCCAAAAGTGTCCATAATTTTGGCCACCACTGTATGTTCATATCTCTAACTTGCAAGTTGTTCATACATGTAAAATGCTTGTAAATGAAATTTAAAGAAATGCATTATTATTATATTATGGCATGAGTTGATTAAAGATTTTCTGTTCTGAGATGCTTATATTTTTTGAAGCATAGAAGAGGAATCAGCTTTTCGATGAAGATAACAAAAAAAAAAAAAAAAAAAAAAAAAAAAAAAAAACTTGAAGAATTTCTAGTCTTTATTTTCAAGCATTTAAAATATATGTAAATATTTATAAATTAAAATGAAATCTGCTGCATTTCTATGATTCATTCATAATGAAATATAAATTGTTATGTACATTGGTTTCTTAAAATTAAGACATGGGCATTTTAGAAAAGCGAAGCGGGAAGATACTAGCAATGTAGAGCTAGACAGAAGAATGGCATAATTATTGCACCAAGAGTATTTATACCAAGTCTTGGGTATAAGTAAAGCTAGTCTGTGATTAGTTAATTTGATGTTGTTACATAACATAGAAAATTCTCAAATTTGGGAGAACAGATGAATTTAGAAGGATATCATCAAATCAAGAATGTTAATTTTGAGGTCGGCAATTCTTTCTTTTAAAGTAGCTATAGTATTTGGTGTCCGCCGATAACATCGTGACCGAAAACATCACAGAGAAAACAAGGCAAGGCGAAAACGTCATGTTACAAAACATCGCAGTTCTAAAACATTGTGGTACAAAATATCGTCGTCGAAAATAAAGCGGTTCAAAAACATCGTCGTTGAAAATATCGGGGTAAAAATAAAGTACCTACAAATCATCGCATGACGATAACATCGCAGACATGCTTTTTTTCAAGCTTTCATAATTGTAAATGGATATTCGCTATAATGATTTGTGAGCACAAGAATGGAAATGAAGGATAAGTTTTTACTTTCATATGTTTTATGAAACTAATACATTTTTGCTGAATAAAGTAAGAAGGAAATTTAAGCATTCAAAGACTGAAACTGATTAGAAAAATGCAACTTATAGCACTTAACAGATAGTGGAATTAAAACCGATTTTTATAGTTAACTAGGTAACATAAAGGTAATTATAAATTAACGATCTTTTTATGAAGTTATTACTGGTAATTTTTCATGAAAAGTATAATCTAAAAAAATGCATGTCTGCGATGTTATCGTCATGCTGTGATTTGTAGATACTTTATTTTTTACCACGATATTTTCAATGACGATGTTTTTAAACTTTTGAACCGTTTTATTTTCGACGATGATATTTTGTACCTTGATGTTTTAGACCTGCGATGCTTTCTCTTTGCGATGTTTCCTCCCACGATGTTTTGTAGCACGACGTTTTCGTCTTGCGTTGTTTTCGTTCACTATGTTTTTGGCTGTAACCATCGTATTTTGTTATATCATACATATAAATATATGCGTGTAAGACAAAAAAATACGAAAGCAAACTTCTATTTTTAATTGGCTATAACCTCTTTTATTTTTTATTTAATTTGGAGACTTCCTCTCTCTATCTTAAAATAGCGCTATAAGTCTAAACTGCGTCTTTCAAATTAATCATGCGATCCTATGTAACACTTAATGCAGATACCTCTTGCCCGATCACTAGATAATTGTAAACCATACTTCTTTTGACTCCCTCCCTTTTTCCTCTGAATTGCTGCGACACTTTCGCTTACGCTTCCCTCCTGGCCAGTTGCTTTGCGGCTACCTTCTTTGTTCACTGAATATGTGTGCTAAGCTAACAAAATTGTAGGATGCATAAGATGCCTGTCTGTATGTGAAGCAAATATTGCAAATCCCTAATTGCTTTCAATAATAAAATTATCTTAATTATTAACCATGTCTGTCTTGCCAAGTTTCTTCGCTAGGCATCTATTACGACGTCACCAAAGTTCCAAATCATTCATATCATGTCATATATATATATATTTTTTAAGGTTAGGTTATTTGAATAGCACACAGGAACTATCTGTCTAAGGGGTTGGAGGACTTTCTGAGGGAAACTGGCTCATTTACATGTTACATATGGAGAAGACCATGAAAACTACCATGAAGGCAGACCGTTCACCTGGGTCGAACCACCAGTACACAGCGGCCCCATAATTGCTATATTGGGCATTACCCACTTGGCAATAATGAAGCCTTCTTTCTTCAAAAATCTAGTGATTCTGTGAGGGAGAAAACAGTCTAAAAGCATCTGATGTCTAATTAGTAGCCAAAGGAATAATTAGAATTTTTAAGGGACGTTTCAAAATTCATATTCTTAGTAGACCAACAGATATTCAGCTATACAGTGATTGTGGATTGTTTGTCATTTCACTCATTATGAGATATCTGGAATGTTGAAACATATTCAAGCAATTTTTCTCTCTTCTCTCATATCCAGAATCACAAAAAAAAAAAAAAAAAAAAATGCTGCACCTTAATAACATTCTCTTCGACAGATAATAAACTTTGATGAACTGGACTGGATTATTTTATTACACTAAAGCATAATAGGATTATTAGCCTTTCGAAAGGACTTTCTGAGAGAAAATTACCCTTATTTTACACATGGGTGAAAACATAAATACCTTATGCAGCTAGCCCGTTTAACCGACAGGAATAAAATCCAGAATAAACTATTAGTGCTTTGTGGCTTTTATCATTAAGCCACTGGTGGGCTTATATCAGCCTTCATTTGTAAACACTATCACTTCAATACTACTAGAAAAAAATATTTTTCTATTCTTTTAACAATTAGCTAACTTTAAGAATATATTAATCAATGGGATAAATATAAACAAATAAATTGTAAAATTAATAACAAATTAAAATAAACAGTTACACATGAAAAAAAATTAATGAGTTGGCATGACATGCAATTGTAGAAGCACCAAGACTAAATTATTTTGCCCAGAGACAAATACAATGAACAAGATCATTTAGTTACTTGAACAGTTGTTATGCTATATATAAACTACATTTCCACTACTACATCAATTTAATAAAACAGTATACATGCTGTACTAAATAAAATTTGCTAGGCATAAATGTGTGATTTAATGGTGTGTTAAGATATATGACATACATACACAAATCAGTAGTTCACAACTTTTTGCAATCAAGGGATACAGACAGAGTAATCGGACTTTCTATATTTAAAATCAGCATTTTTATTACTATTATTTCTTATATCTACATGGAGGGCTAAAATTCCAATAAATTATTTTTAAAATTGAAAATCTTATGTATATATGTTAGTATAAGATCATTATTTGGAAAATTAATATTCAATATCTCTCCCCCCAAAAGAACAATTTTTAGGATTTTTCTTAATAAATTAGAAAAAAAGAATAATTTTTAGGATTTTTCTTAATAAATAAATGAACATTGGTAAAATTTTACTATCTATTTATTATTTTTTAAAATTTTATTTTCGATACTTTTCGATTAAAAAAATACAAAAATTTAGTATACCTAATCTTCAATAAAGACAGGAATAGTTTTAATGGCAGAACCTATATAAAGCTTACATTAAAAAGCAAAGTATTTTCATGATTAGCAAATTCATCATGATCATCCAGACTAGAATATCAAAGAAAGCTTCGTAATAAATAATGGCATAAAACACACAAAAGTTAGGATTTTAAACAATTTTTTTAAGTAAAATAAAACTGCGTAACCAGTAACCAAAAAAGGGGATTAGCCAATTTGAATTGCTACAGTAAAAAATAAATGGGTCTGTGTTCTAGTTTAGTATGGGCTTCAATTAAGGTTTAGTTAAAAAAACGATGGCTAAAAATTGAGCTTAATGATATGTTACCAAGCAACATTAAAATATGCTATTCACATCACTTACATATCATAACTAATATTGTGTAGCTGACGTTATTTGGTTATTTGTCTTATCATTTGACTATAGGCTGGTATTTTGGAATACAGACTTATTAGATTTATTATTAGCAGTTGTATAGAAAGAAAAGATGAGCTTAAAGAAAATACTGCAAAACTGCCCAATTTCACATATGTGAAAAACATATAATGTTTGCTCCAGTTACTTATTCATCACTTCATTTTATTAAAATCAAGTCAACTTTAAAATTCAAAATATACTTGAATTTAGAATGCAGTCTTTAAAATAAATACTGAGCTATTATATTAATACACATTGTCGCTTTAAATATAATGCAACTTAAACAATACATCTTTTGCCTAAAAATAAAATAAAGCAAAAAAAAAAAAAAAATAAATAAATAAAAAACTTTTTAACAATAACTGGAATCTGTATGTTGATGCTTTTAACGATATCACTTAAAAGGATGCAGACAGAATTTTCTTAATAACTTTTTCAGTGCAGCACATAATTTTTTATGCAACATGTATATGCATTTAAAACATTTTAAAACAAAAACTAAAGAATTATTACATTTAAGAAATTTCAAAAAATTTTTAAAAGTTCTTTTGCTAGACAGTTAATTTAAGAAAAAACTTAGGTGTTTCAGTTTCCTCTTTCAAATTAAATTTAGTTAACTGCTTTTAATCAGAGACTTTTTAAAAAAAAATTCATAAAATTTGACTTAGGATAAAAAATTAAAAGAATACACTAATTCTACAGTAATGATTTAAATGTAATTGAACACAGTCTATCAAAACATTGCACCCATAAAAGAAAAGCTCAGTATTTGCTTGAATTCCAGTCATATGCTTTAAAAAATAGCTCTAATAAAATAACAGGAATAATTACTTCAAGAAAAAGAGAGGATAGAAATATAAGATCATTTGAACAATAAACTAAAATATTTAAAAATAAGGCTGAACTTTCTTACAACTACATACATGTAAAAACTGTCTAAATTGATCTCAACTAATAAAATAACTTCAAAGATTTAATGACCGCTCACCTTATAAATCTGCGAATCAGGCTCATTATATTTACAAGCATTATCAAACATTAACACAAAATCTGAAAGCATATCTTCTAATGTTTCATATTGTCCAGATTTCAGTTTGGCACCAATTTTGTCAAGGTCTATAGGTCTTTTGATAACCTCATAATAGTCAGGATAGTCCTATAATAATGCAATAAACTGTTAAATTCTTTAAATTAAAATCTGGAAAGAAAATAGTTAATTTTATCTAAAGTTACTGAAACTTGCTAGTCAATGGATATGAATTTTGACAAAAAACTTCACAATGGACAATTTCATAAAGGATAGTAAAGTCTTTAGTTATATGCAATAAAACTCTACCTTAAACATTCCTTCTTTACCTGAGAATATAAAAATTACATTCAAATATCTAGTACTCCATACATTTTGAAAATTTATTAGTTATAATATTTAACACCATTATATTAAAAAATTTTACAAAATAAATACAATAAAAATAAAAAAGTACTTATTATTTTCAGATATGCCGATAGTTAATAACAACATTAAGTTTAAACAAAAAAGCAAAAGAAACAAAAGTACTTACTGTTTTCGATGGCAGTTTATTGAATATTACAGACAGTTTTCTTCCTCTGTTGTCAGTATATTCTTTGACAGTGTCATAAAATGTCTTTAGTTTTTGTTTTATGCCAGTGAAAACTGTGTTTTTATGCCTAGAATTTTAATTAATCAAAACAAAAATAATTACCAATAGCTAAAATATTTAAATTAATTTTCTGAAATAATCCAAATTTAAATGTCAGAAGAATTTTTTCACAAATTTAAATGATGAAGTATCTGACATACAGAACTCTTTTTGAACAATTACAGCAAATTAAACATAGTTTTAAACATAAGCAGACAAAATAAAAATTTTATATTTCCCTATGATTAAAAACTCAATACCCAATTAAAGAAATTCAGAAGGAAAAAAATAGAAAACAGAATTAGAAAAGAAAATACAAACAAAAATAAGAGATAAATTTATATGAAATTATTTAATGTTATATTATGCATGATAAACAGCAGATATAGTACATTTTTCCCCAAATAAAAAGATTAAATAAAATCCTTAATTCATTTAGCAAAAATATACATAATGTATAACAATTTTTTAGAAATTTTTGAGCAAAACAACTCTGAAAGTTAGAAGAGGGACATTTCTATACACTGAGAGACTAAACAACAGTTAATATATTACATGCATAACTAATATACTGGACACTAATCACCAAATGACTCTTCAGTCAATAAATTTCTAGCATTCAATATGCAGTAATCGATAATTCATGTTGCTAAATACCGAAGTTTTATTACAATCTCTGAATTAAGCATGATAATCAGCAGCAGCAAGAGGTAAATATCAAAGACCATGCAGAAATTTTGTTTTCTCAGTTGTATTTCATTACATCATGTCAATATTAGATCATGTTACATAATATTATATACTATGTTTTGTATTCAGAGTTTATTGTAATAACGGTTATGAAGAAATTTCCACATACATAAAATAGTGAACATGCAAATGCTATGAACATTAACACCAAATTACCAAGCTGAGATGCAAGAAACTATCCATTTGGAGTCAATTAATTACTGCATTCTATCCTACACCATCCAATTGAACAAACATTATGAAATTACTGCATGTTTCAGTGCAGGTCAAACACAAAACATCTGTGAGAGGACTACTTTTTGCCACATATTCTTCTGCATATATTTAGTATTCAATGACCTGAAACTGTCATTTCTTTGACATTATTACAGTGCTCTGAAACTAGAATTAGCCCTAAAACATCAGGAAAAGACAGTCAAACAACAGAGAGATTTAGGTAATATGATCCAACAAGAAAAGATTTCAGCTATTTTGTGCTGAAAAGTGCTTCATAGTGTGGAGTGGATTCCATGAAGCTAGACTCTTCCAAGTCTGCAAGAAACACTTGAGACTGGAAAGAGTTCAGCTCTAGTGCACAATGTGTTTATGTGGTCTGTGTATGATCCTCTAGGCATATGAAACCAACTCCTGACAGGTTTGAACTATTAAACTATTCTGCAGTTTGTCTGCTCTTTGTGAACAACCTGACAATGATGGCAGTATTCCAACAAAACAACATCATTCATTTCTCACTGCAAGAACGTAGGTCAAACAGCATTTCATTTTGGTCCTTGCACTCCACTGATAAGAAATGCAACTCTCTGGGAACAAGACCATAATCAATAAACATAGCACCATAAAATTTAGTATAATTATTATCTGTAATGAGTTTTGTGAATGATTATCCTTTATACCTGTGATTTGTTGACTCCCTGACCATTCTATGAAGCTCACTGATGCGCTGAAGAAAGATTAACCCATTCCATGACTTCTGGCTTCTCCGTATACAAATCACGTTGCTCTCAAATCACATTGCTGCAATATGCACATTACTAGTGTTACAGCGCCACCTATTGGCAACTTCTTGTACTAATTTTTTTTTTTTTTTTTTTTTTTTTTTTTTTTGTGTAATAAATCTCGGGCACATGATCTGAAGTGTCTGTTTTTAAAATTTCATCCCATTATGACCCATACTACAACACTCTGCACAGGCCTCTGAGTTGGGTAAGTTTAATTTGGATAACCCTGTATATGCCAATGTTGACATACATATTTAAAAATAATTAATAACATCATTTGGAAATGGATTCTCTGTCACATCAAATACACACAAACAGATGAGGCAATCATATTTTAAATACAGTATTTTCCTACACAACAGATATGGTTACATTATAAAAAGAGTAGCGTATGATTACTATTTTATAACTGACAGATCTAAATATATGCTTTTAGATATTTTTATTTAATAGCTCCTTTTGAGTACGACTAAAAATATCCACTAAAAGTATTAAATAAATGCACTGCAAATCATAAAAAAATACATATACTTAACATAAATTTATGAAATGAAGGTATACTCAACAACAACTGTTATAAGACATAAATTTGAAAGGTTGAAGCCATTGATTTTCGGTAGTGAATGTCTGGTGGTATATTTCAATAAGATGGCAAGTGACTGCATGATAACATTTCATTACCCATTTGCCAGACATACTGCAACTGAAATTGCATAGAATATAAATACTCATTAACGGCTCATTATTGTTCTCCAGTAGTCATAAGAAATTGTAAACTTAGACTGAAGCAAACAAGTGAGCAATACCTAAGATCACATTCCAAGGCTTCCCTGATTTGATGCCACAACATATAGAAGCTCTTATTGCCACTCAGCAGCTTCACAGAATACTGATTTTATGTACTTAATATAGTTCTATTGGTTTAAAACTTGAATCATTTGGATTACCATTAATAAAATATGGCAAAATTTTCTTTTTAAATTCGAAAACTCCTTCATGATGCTGAAATTTTTACAAACATGAATGCATTTTAAAAAGAAATGTTCTGAAGAAAGCACAAAACCATAATGACAGTCCATTAAAAGCTAACAGATGAAACAAATTAACCAAAACCGAAATTCCTACATAAATAAAAGCCCAGATATGAAAACATAAATGAATTATAAAATGTATTCCGAAATCTCAAATGAGTACAAAATTATTTTTAAAAGAAATTAATAAGCATGAAATGATTTTCTTAGTTATATGCATTTCTATATCCACTGTTAAAAATGAAGTGGATATTATGATAAAAGAGACATCTTCTATAACCAAAAATATTTTAATGAAGTGGTAAACATAATAATTATTTGGTTAGTAAAACTAAAAATATAAAAAGCTTTTAATTATTAATACCAGCCAATATTAAAAATAAGTTTAAAAATAGAGTAAGAAATAATTTACAACACTCTAAATTTTATTTTGCCTCATTTAAAGAAATTATTCATAAAAAATTAGTTAAAAAAGAAAAAAAAAAGCATCGAAATGAAAAAATATGTTATTGGTTTACATACAACTCTTCTTTAGCAAACTCCTTTATCACTCTGAAAAAAAAGATAAAAAAAATATCAAGCATGAAATAAAAATAAAGAAATTAAAAAAAAAGAAGGGAAATTAACAATTTAAATAAAACCAAACACAACTTAACACCTATCTTTTAACTATACAATAAATATAACTAGATATGATGTAAAATTAAAATTTTGAAAAAAAAAATATTCAAAAATTTAACTGATGTCCAATTTTTAGGAATGACATTAAGAAATAACAGTGAAATAGAAAGAAAAGATATTTATTTGAGGAGACCTAAAAACAATCACCAGTATGGAGCAAGGGGGGGGGAAGAAGAAAAAAAAAGAACCCACAATTCAATAAATAACATAAACTCCAAATAAGATCCCTCCCCAATACAAAGAAATGCTTAAATTATGATAAAAGAAAATTTGAAAAGGAGATTCACATAAATGTCAGCAGTATGCCCTCCAAGCATCCCCAACATTTCAGAGTAAAAATGATTTTTTTTTTTTTTTTTTTTTTTTTTTTTTTTTTAATTTTGACTTAAAAGCAGTGCAAAATTGGTGGAAATCAGATTCTCCATTTCCAGTCCTATTTAGAGATAATTACTATTTTGGAAAACAAAGCACTTTTGGTTAAGAAGCAAATGAAAATCTGGTGATAACAATTATTTTACTTTGCTAAAAAAATGTTTCTTTCTTTAAAAAAATTCAAAACAAAGTAATTATATTTGGTGAGGGAAAAATACATTATAAAATGAATACTTCAACAAATGAAATAAGCACTAATGACCATTTTGCGTGCAAAAAATGACAATTTCTTCCATTTAATTTTAGCAAAAATGTCATTTTTTAAAGACACGATTTTTCCAATTCCTCAAAAAGAAAATGTGTATCTATCTGCATGTCATTTTCTACAGAATTAATATTGTTCCTAAGCCTAATACAAATTTTTATTTGTCAGTGTGTCAAATATACACCTACTCTACACATTTATTTAAATGTGAGTTATACTTTTAATTTTAATAATTGATTTTCCTTTAAATGGCAAGTTTGTTGTTTTTTTTTATATTCATATTATTTCTATTAAATCATTATAATAATTATAGATATGATAGTTTCACTGATCCTTTTCCTGGTTTACTTGGAATGATGAAAGAAAAAGAATGAAGTTAAGTAGGATAGAGCTTCTAGTTAACCAATTTGAAGCTAAATAAATACGATTACTTGGATGGAACTATCATTCTAATTATTCAAAGTTAATGCTCACTGCTGTAACTTCCTGTAACAAAATTTTGCCTTTCTTAATGTTATACACATATATATACCAATTAATGCTTCAGATAGCCATAACTGACACTCCAAGCTCAGGTGAAGTCCAAGATAATCAATACAAATCTCAGGTGTTTTGCCTAATAGATTAATCAAAACCTAGAACACAAAACCTAAATTCTCTTTTAAGTTAAACTTAATTTCCTCCCCCCCTAAGTTAAACGGCCCACCAGCGGCCGAGCGGTAAAGTCGCTGAACACTGGTAGTTCGGTCCGAGGTTCGAATCCCGCGAACGGGCTGGCTGCATGGGCGTTTTCCCCATGTGTAACGTGTATACGAGCCAGTTTCCCTTAGAAAGTCCTCCACGAAAGGCATCCCTTCCCTTAGGCAGATAGCCCTAGTGTGCTTTGCCATAATTAAATACACCACACCACCACCTTTTAAGTTAAACAATTACCATTCAGCTTGGGTTTCAAACTGAAAAGAAATTTCACAAACCAAGCTTAAATATGAAAATGGATTTTCTATAAATCAGTTTTTAGGTATGCTTTTAAAAATAATTAATATAGAATGACAGCTTGCTGTGCTTAAATGTAAAATTTCTAACAAATATAAATACCAAAATATACAGAATTTTTCATAAAATTCCAAAACCTCTTATTTTACATATTCCAAAATAAATGAGATTTAGAAATCATTCTTTTATATAATACTCTGATAAGAAAATGTACAATTAAATACATCAAATAAATTTACAAAATGTAATTTCGTTTAACAGTTGTAGGGTTTTTTTTAATTTGCATAACAAATTTATTTTAAGTTTACCTGTTCTCAACTTTTCAAACTTCCTCTCACATTCTCTCGCCAGGATGTAAATTTAAAGTTAAGTGAAGTGCTATTTAAACATGTGACTATCTCAGTTTTATTCAGAGCGTGTTTCGCTAGCCTAGCGCACATTTCGTTGTTATTTTTGCAGTAACTCGAGTTAGGCCCTTTGACCGTTTTCAGTTTAGTATCACACTGGTTAGATCTCAGTGAGTCCATCTCTTAGTAGAAATTTTGAAATGTGTTCTTGCACTCGTTTTATTTTTCAGATTTGATTTTGTATTCTTGTCTACGTTTAAGTTATTGCTGCAAGTGAACGGTGTTTTTGTAAAGCACAAAGTCCGTGCTGTCTGTTATTTTAGTTTGAGTTAATACAGGATTCTTTTTCACCCTTCTTCTGTGCTGGTATTTATTTCCCGCCTGTACGAGAATTCGCCAGGTTCATCGTAGGATCTAAGTTAATGCATGTGGACAGTTAGAGATAGATCTTACACAGTTACTTCTCAAACAGAGGAGGGGATATTTAATTAAAAATTACAGACTAGAAATAAAAACTCACTAAAGTAACAATGACATACATTTACACAACAGCTTGCATTATACATGTCTTACTGCTATTTACACCTCAAAAAACAAAAAAAAAAGAAAGAAAGAAAGAAAGAAAAGCATGACACATTCTTTCTCCAGAATTATATGGCATTTTAACAAAATAATCTGTTTCAAATTTGGAAATACAAATAATTTACCTTGGACATCAGTTTTATTTTTGAATTATGTGCTCTTTTTTACTTCACTGAAAGCCAGTCTAACTTTGGCTTACATTCAAGTGCTATTCAAAATTATGCAGAATTGTGTGGGGGGAGTGCAGGTTTCTATGTATAACTTTTCCAATAAAAATACAACGATACCTTTTCACAGGCATACGAATCTTGGGAGTTTCAGTGACACTGCCACCAAGTTCTTGTATTTTTGCATTTAAAACATTTTCAAGAGTCTCAGCATCTTGGTATATTTGTGAACCTTCTTCATTATAATGTTTGCAATTAGCAAACATTAGTCTGAAGTCAGCAATCAAATTCTCTTCATTCGTGTACTGAAAAACAAAACAAAATTTTTTTAAAATGGATACATGAATAGTTAGTTATTCTAAACAATCAAGAAACATAATACCATGAAAAAATTTTGCTTTTAGAAATCAGTTCAATTCAGTATGACAAAAAAAAAAAAAAAAAAAAAAAAAAAAGGCTTATAATTTTCAAAGCAAATTAATATGGAATGCATCATTAGGGAAAAAAAAAAAAAAAAAAAAAAAAAAAACACATTCCCTGTTTCACATTATACCTAAACTCACAGGACCACATGAATATTTAATGCACATTTACATTGCATAAATCAATAAAAAGGTATAAAAAGGAATTGCATATAATGTCTATCTAGAGTCATAACTAACATTTAAGTCACCAAAATACAATAGAAGGTAAGTATAAAAGCAGTCCCTGGTTTTATGTTGGGGAACTAATCAGTGTTCCATAAACACATGCAGACACAGTCGTGACAAGCTGAGATCAAGTGAATTTATAAGAAATTTTTATTAGTTTTTGAATCGTTTAATGAACTTACTTTAGAAAAGACTTAAACAGTATTTTTACATAATTTAACTCTGTTATTTTTGGTAAAGATTGTAAAATGATATAATTTGTTTTGTATTTTTATTTTTGCTTTGTATGTGAAGATAAGTTGTATTTTGAGTTAAAGCAAACAGATGGCAGCTGTAGAGTGAAAAAGAAACTCATGTTTGGATTCCTTTCATGATACTGGCATATTAACATGTCTTAAAATTTTGGGACAGTGAAAAGTCTTGAAAAATAATAAAATTTTTATTTTTTGAAGTGTGTTTGTTCCATGCTGTGATATAAATCTAAATGTTAAAAAATGTATCAACCTTATTCATTTTTCTATTGTATAAGCACAGCCTTTGGTATTCTTCAATACTACCCAGGTAAGCCAGTCAGCCCCCCCCCTGCTGAATTGCTGTATGCCTTGAATGAGTGAAAAACGTTTTTACTTGTAAAATTTGTTTTTATTCTGAAACTCTTTACGTCAGTAAACATTCTTGTTTCTAAATATTAAAATTTATTTTGGTTTCTTACTGTGTGTCGCAAATCAAAATTACTTTCGTTTTGAGTATATGCTTGCTCCCAGAATTTCCTAGATTAACATCTTAAGATGTCTTAGTTACTGGAATATTTTGATAAAATTTTGCAAGAGATGCTGATGCATGCTAAACTTTCCAAAACAAGTAGTGTTGTGATCTGCAGGCAGTTTTCTGAACAAAACGGATAGGATGACCTGAGTTCAACAATCGGCATTTTTGCAAGTGGGAGGGGGGCAGGCCCATATCTTTCATTCTATTTGACTGATGAATTTCAACTTTCATTTTTCATAAGTCGCACTTTCAGGATATGAAAATTCAGGATATGTTTTAAGATTTACATATAGCTTTGTTTTAACATACGAATTTAGCACAAAATTGAACCTTCCTGAAGTGACACGCCAATTTTTTTCCATATTTCAATTCTATTCTGGCATAATGACACATGCAAAGAGAGGAGGGGGTAACTTCAGTTGATTTCTCAAGAGTTAGCAGAAAACACTCCAGAGTGGCTTTTGTTGTAGTAGGGTACAATCATTAGCAGATGCTTTTGAAACTGATATAGCTGATTTAGGCTCACTAAAAACTATACGAGGAATAAAAATATTGAAACATATGTATGACTAAAATTTTTTCTCTTAGTTTAAATAACGTATAGACTTACAATTTATAAATGTTGTGAAACGTGGATTAACTGAAAATTGTTAAACACCACAACAGCTAATGTGCATAATAGAACAGCAAAGTCTTAAGATTGTCAAAAGCTGTGGAAAGAATTACACTCACAGATAATAACATCATATCTAAGAGCAATTCTGGTATATAAGAGTGATTATCAAAAAACAGATAAAATAGTAACTTTTTCACCTTTTCAGATTTTATGTTACTGTCAATAGTCTTCATGTCTATAGGGTTAGTTATAATTTCATAATAATCAGGGTAGTCCTTTTTGGATGGCTTTTCCATAAAAACAGAGATTAGCGGGCGTCCTTCTTCATCCTAGGGGGGAAACAAAACATATAGACAAATAAAGGTGTTATAAAAAAACTTGATCTGATACAATACAGTTAAAAGCCAATCAATTAACAGATTTTATGTACGAAGGTCAGGTTTAAACTTCCAGAACTTTTTATCCAGAACTTTTAAAAGAAAGAACAAGCAAACAAAAAGTAGTAGTTATGGGCACAAAATTATTCTCTAAAAATTGAAGCTTATACCTCCACATTTATTTTTTACCATGCATAGGTTTATAGAGCCAATTACTTTAAACGGAACTTGTAATGCTGTAAAATATATATATTTACATTAGGATGAACAATGCTTTCCTAAAGTAAAGAACAATAAAAGTAACATTGATAATAATGGTAAATTAAAATTCCTTTATTTTTCTGTGCACAGACTGAATGCAATTAAAAAAGTTACTGCATTAAACAAATACTAAATTTTGATTAAATTAATCTGTAGGCATAATTGACAAAGTGTTGATTGCATGAAAGAAGAAAAAAAAAAGCATCATATTTTAACAGAAAGACAAATGAGAATCCATATCTTAGATAAATATGAAGCAGGTCTTCAGATTCAGGAATTAAATTATAACACCTTCTACAGTACTGAATCTGGAATTATCTAAAATTTGGACCTCAAGATCACCAGGAATCTTGCCCCCTTTTTTTAGAAAAAATTTTTAATGCTTTATGCTTGCGCATTTGATATTTTTTCATAATAAAACAACATATGAAGACATCCTTGATTTACTTTATTCATCCACTTAATGCAACTTCATTACCAACTCATCACTTTCACTCAATTTTAAATACGATTTCCGCAAAATAAAACAACTGACAACTCACCTTTTTGCACTTAAACAGTGCCTATCTCTTCTTAGGGCAATGACCTCGTCTTCCACCCCTTCCTTGACCACTCCATGGCTCTCAGCTAGTGCTTTGTTACAAACCTCACTATCTTTCTCAAAGACTGACAAGTGAGTCGCTCTTCTACCCCATCAGCTGTTCTAGTCACCATAGCAACCATTCATGCTACTCGCGTGCCCAGTTGTTAACTCTTTCTCCTTCCGACTACTATGCTCACTCTTATTCAACTGCTCTCTCTTATTCAACTTATTATTATTTATTATTTTCTATTAACAATGATGTGGAGGTAAATGCATTTATTTGCAAAGGTACTCCATAACAAAACTCTTTGGCCAACATGTGAAGGATTTTAAATTTCACTTTGACACTGACACCAACTGCGAATCAGTAGCACAAAGGGCGTTAGCCCAGAAGGGCTATTAATTTTGTTTTGGCATTTTGCGTTGAAAACTTTAAATGTCGGTTCACTTTTCAAACTGTTGCCATCAAATATTACAGCACTGTATTATATTTAAAGAAATTAAATAATGAAGAATCTGCATAAATAAATGTATGTTTCTTGTTTTGTGATAAAACGACAGTACCTAGAGCCATCAAATTTTGAATAACGTATGTTTCCACATGAATATCGGCATCTGGAAGCCCGAATTTTGAATTTGTTTTTTTATCTACTTCCTATTTTGTAAAACTTTGTAGCAAATTTTTGATTACTAAACTCAACAATTTCAAAGCGAGCAATGGCAACACTGTACGAGAAAAAACATTTTTATCTCTAGCGCGAGAGTCTGTGTATCAGAAATTCTAAAGATATGCTCATTTTAAAATTATTTCAATATTGCTGTTGAACTGAATTTTATGGTTAAGCGCGAAGAACATGATATTTAATAAATATAGGTAACCGACAAAATGTTAGAAAAATGACCTTTTGTGCATAATGTGAAATCTGAAGGCTTTCAGATTTTTTTATTTTACATATTATTTTCATCACCACATAACTATAAACACAGTGCAGCTGAGAAAGAACTCATACAGTGATGTCTAAAGAATATTTTTATTTATTTACTTTTTAAATATTAGTAATTGAATGCCAAGGAGCATGGTAATCATTTCTGTTGACATCACACTTGGCAATGATTACGGACTTCAACTAACTTCATTGTGCAGTGTTAACGAGGAGAAATTTAACAAAAATTTCCTTCTATATGGTGGAAAAAAATTAATGATATTTATCAGCAAAACGATTTATAAGCCAAAGATAGTACTATTTGAATTGAAAATAACTCATTTGTTTGTCACTCAGTTATGCTTAGGACTGGTACCAGAGCTGGTACAATTTAACCGGGAGGCAGAATTTAAGCAATTTTTTTTTAATTTAATTTATAGAAGCATCAAGCAATAAGAGATGGCAAAATCTTTAGGGAAAACCTCTCGGCACAAAATATTTAAAGGAGGCTGCTTGGCAGTGTTCATATCCACAGAGACTGCACCATGTCATAATGCTTAGTGCCAGCCTTGATAAGCTTCAAGTATACGTGGGGAATTTATTAATTTGGGACTAAAAATTGCCTTGAGCGTTTGCTGCAAATAGACATAAGTATAATAATAACTAAACAAATATAACTCAGGCTTAACTTTATCTCTGTGCCACAGAAATATGATAAAATTTAGTGGCACAACATGTCTTTAGTCGCTAATCTCATGATACATTGGCAATAGTGCATAGCAGATGCTAGGTAAATTTTTTATGATGAGTGAATTTGAGGTTTTCAGACATCGTAAACAAAAAGTGAAATTTTCCAATTAATGGCATTTGTGAAGAAGTATTAATAAATGAAGATGATATAGGAGTTTTCCATTTGTGATTATTAGTATCATTTGTGATGACAATACTCCGGTCATCAATTAGCTAACAGAAGGCTAAATCTCTAATAGCACATTTTTAAATCCAGGAAATAATACTACTGATAGAAAAGAAAATAACACAAAGATTGTTGAGAATGAAAAAAAATCAACTGGTAATTCAATGGGAATTCTAAATGAGGCAATTACAGGACCTAAACAATAAAACTTTATAAGTGAGCAAGAAATTGTGTCTATCTGTAAAATTAATGAGAAAGTGTTAGCACAAAAAACAAAGCAACTTATATCACTTCCACTGGGAAGAAAGAAATTTAATAAGGGGGGTTAAATTCTGATAAATGCTTTACTATTACATAAATCACTATTTCAGACTTTTTTATTTTATAATTTCTACATGTTGTCTTACTAGATTTAAAGTGGTAATCTAATATTCGGAATCGCCAAAGTCTCAACAAGTCTCTGCATTATTTTATTATAAGAAAACATTTGTTATTCATATACAATATCTGGCAGAAGTAATGCCCCCTTCTATAGAAGCAAAGTATAAAGTGAATAAAATAGTCAATGATTAAGATATCTGTGCAATAAACAAACTCCATAACTTCTAACACATGATTTGAAATACAAAATCTGGGAAATTTTTGCTGAAAGCTGACATTGATGTCATTTGAGGCTTGCTTAAGTATAGTTTGTTAGGACCATGAATATCACACAAGATGGGACACATTTGAACATTTCAGCTAAAACACAGTACAATGTGTTTCGTTATTACATGTTTATGAATTACTAAAAATCTGCAGAACTCTGTAATGAAAGATTTGGTTTATGTTACTAACTCATGAAAAGACATTACTCCTGTTAGATCCTGTACAGCACATGAAAAATCAAAAACACTAGGAAATGTGATTAATTATACTCTTAAAAGTTTAATTCAATGAAAACTTTTCTATGGAAAAGAAAGTCTACTGTAAAAATTCCTATACAGAAAAGAGATTAAAAAGTAATATACTTAGTAAGCATACCAAAATATTACCATAAAAACTTACTGTATAATCATGTAGAGTTTTGTATAAAATTTTAGCCTTCTTTTTAAGACTAGGATCACCATCTAAACTTCTTCTCATCTTCTTTATTTCAGGCAATGGTGTTATAACTAATTTCTTAGCTTTTCGTTTTGAAGCTCGGTCCTCATCATCATCACTTTCAGAATCCTACAATAAGAAATTTTATAATAAAAAATATATTCAAAATCTTTTCCTCCTTTCCTTTTAAGATTGTAAAACTTTTCAAATTAGCATTACTCTTCACTTATCCCCCCCCCAACAGCAGAAAAATCAATCAAAATACATCAAAGATTTTTATTTCTTCATTCCTCAGACATAAGCATATTTATATTTCATGCATATCTCTACTTTTACTGCTTGCAACAATTGTATCAATTAATTTTATAAAGTATAATATATATTTTTTCCTTTTTTTAAATTATTATTATTATTATGGTACAAGACACAGCAGCAAAAAAATGGCTTACTGTAATCGCTCTAAGTTACATAATAACTGCATTCAATAAACCTTTACATAACTTGAATTTGCAAATTGTTAAGTATAATTTTGTAAGAAACTGCAATACCTATTATTATTCTTACATAGATATAAACATGCATTTACATTATTTACACATTATTATTCTATACACGAAACAACATACAGTAGTATTTGTTCAGATATAAACTAAAAAATATAACAATATAGAAACAAACTGAAATAATGATTTTAAAATTTAAAAAAAAAATTATGACAGCTAATTTGGCTATGTAGTGGGAGAGTCAGCAATGACAGCGGATAGTTGTAAACATAAATTCTGCTCACAGTCAATTTCTATTCCTCATGATGTTGAAGGTTGGAGTAGTCAGGATCATCGGAGTTGTCATCGTTAGCAAGTCATATGCATTTTACTTGCAGATTCAGTACCTGCACCCGCTGTCTCACCCATGACTTTGTTGCTCTATAGATATGTACATTTCTTGAAATGCATGAATCACAACTCTAAAAATGATGATTTAATTTCCAAATTTTACTGCAATAGCACATGCCTTCAAATACCATTTACTAGGCATACTCCAAATGCATAAACATATGTCTGAATACCAGATGAATATACATAACTTCTCCATACAAGAACATCTGTTCATCCACAATGCAATAAAGAGCACCTTTTATGTGATTTCAAACTGCAGCACTGAGAGGTAAGGTCACAGCAGAATGATTATGAAAATCCCATGTAGTAATTTGCAAGTAAACTGTACAATCTTTAATCTCCATCTCTAAAATAAGAATGAAGTCATTTGCAGTTTATTTACTCTGGCTGTATAAATTCAGATTTATTTAATCTCATTTTATCAGTTTCTTGGTTGCTCAATCAAATTAGCGAGTCAGTTGCATTTCTATTTCTCTTCTGTGATATCAATACTTTACACAAACCCTCATGGTTAACCAGTAGACATTCAACTGCACATTAATTACTCTGACTATACAGTTAAAATTTCAGATTCCAACTATCACACATAATTCCACAGACTCAACTTTTTATGTTCACTCATTCTAAAGTAGTAATAAAGCATTTTTATCTTCCCTTTCATAATGTTGATCATATGCGCCTACGTCATATAAGCAAGTGAACTTGGTGAAGTTTGGTTATACAGTACACTCATGCATATCAAAAATATTTTTAAAAAATTCACTTATTAGTTATAAGTATTTTTATACTTTGGCAACATAGCCAAAAGAAAAATTTAAAAATATACAAAAAAATTATTATAATTTTTGTCAATCATAATAAATTGATACCTTCATGTGCAAATTAATTAATTCCCTTGCTTTTGCTTGCATTATCTTCTGAAGCTTCACAGCATCCTAGCAAGTAAAAAAATAAATAAATATGTTATAAAACATATTAAAAAGACATCTGATAAATGTATGGATATAAAAAAAAATTATCCTAGAAATAGTAATTTTTCATAGCATATCAAACTAAACTGCATCATTTGAAATGAATCAGTACCATAAGATCTTACATAATACTGCAGGCAGACACATTTCAGCCAATCACTGAATCAAATTTCATCTGAAACTGAAAACTTGTTGAAACTCTCCTTTGCTTCTCCTGAATGGTTCTGCTCTATATCATTCATTGTGTTCCAAAAATGAAGGATGCAGACTGCATGCATGATAATACATGAATCAGAATATCCGTCTCAAGGATTATTTTATATAAAAAATTCTGTGGTTATCTACAGTATGTTTGTCTGTAAGTTTCATCCTTCAACTATGCAAATGTTATATTTAGGAAAAGGATATCCGTTAAATCACTGAAAAAGTGATGGTACCTAAAATTCGTTGGTATAATATTAACATGGATGGTACTAGACGCATAAATAAATAAAAAATAGTATCTACTCAAATTATTATCTGAAAACTCTGAATCATAACTGTGTAGTGAAGGAACTGTGCGACTTACCTAACATAATTTAAGTTATGAACTATTCTGAGAATCAATTAACTCAATCAATGCAAATTCACAAAAAAATTTAACCCGAAAAATAAAGAGGTAAAAAATCTTTGCTGGCGCTTGGGCAAACATAATGCTATTTCTCAAATTAATCAATTATTTCAATTCACACATATTCATGAATTCTTATAATTTAGTCAAGAACAACAAAGTTCAATTCCATTAATTTACAAACTCACCAACACCAGAGAAGAAATACTTATGCAACAATCAATCAATTTCCCATAAATAATAAATTCAAGGAGTTTAAATACATTGCTGACACCTACTAATCATTTCAAATTAACAATAAACATTCAAATAATTATATTAAATGGTTAGTACATTAAATTAAAAGGATGCATTATGAAACCCATAAAAATATTAACAATAACCCAAGTGAAGTCTCCATGTCTTCTAAAAAGACTTACAACACAAACAAATGGAATGACCAGACAAACCAACAGTAAGAATTAACTCAAAATAATGCATATGAACATAAAATATATACGGTGAAAATTGTTTAACACGAAACTGAGCAGACAGAAATATTTTTTTGTGTTAAAAGAATTTCGTGTTAAAGGATATTGAAAGAAAAATATATATTTAACAAAATTAAGTTTATAAGCGTTTATTTTATTTACATAGCTATGTATATATGCATGTATTTAATAAAAATCAATGAAACAAAGATATCCACAAGAACTTAATGAAATTTAATGCAAAATTTTTAAGTCTTTTGAAAAATACTTATTGAGTTTTTAGAAAATAATCTGATATTTTTCTTTGCACTGTCCTTTTTAGTATCAAATTGTTCAATGTCGTCCATTTTGCTATTCATTTCATTCACCATTGGAATGTGCGTCTAAATAACTACACATACTTTTTGTGATGTTCCTCACTTCGGATGATGTGGGAACAGGAGCTGAATTATTCATTTCATTTTTGTCTGCATTAATGATATTTTTTTAGCTTTGAACAAACTCCAAAATGTCTTTGTCTGTCATAATTGGGGCTGTATACACATAATAATCAACTACTGCAGCGAATTCTTCCGATAATACAGTAAGACAGTCCTTTAACGCAGAAACTTTCTTAAACATTTCATTAAGTGTCAGCTCGTTCAATATCCTCTTCTCCATTTCTTTTGGAGCCAAAGAATCTGATACTATAGAGAATCGTGCATGACAAAAACAATTTTCATTCATCCTTGGAGTTACTGAATTCCACACAAAGTGCAACATATGAAGAGACAGAAACATGCAGAGTGCCACATATGAACTAAATTCACTGATTTTTACTCACACTGCGAAGTACTTGTCACCAAATTCCAAAGCCAACTGATGAGAAATGAGATGTCCGCATGGTGTTTGTAGGAATTTGGAAGGTGAAAGTAACTTAGGTAAAACAAAACTGGCTCGTGTCACAGGCTATCCCGAGGGTATTTTAAAGACAAGTTAGCCTCCTTTCTACGAAAAATGTGAAACCACCTCTCTTTCATTTCACACCTCGCTTAAATCTCGCCTGCGAGGCGGTGTTTTCCGTATTTTGTTCATTCCCAGAAAGGATATCTTTTCATGTTAAGCAATTTTTATTTCGTGTTAAGAGAAACAAAATGAATGAAAATATATAGTAGTTTGTCGGGACTGTTGTATTGTTTTATGTTAACCGATATTTCGTCTCAAGCATTTTCGCGTTAAAAGTATTTCACTGTATATCAAAAACATTTATTAAATTACTGGAATATCATAAATTAAGACAGCTGGCCAGACTACCCTTACATCCAATAGTAAATAACATTCCAATCATATTTTTTGAAGCATCATTTATCAAAATTAGATTACCAAATTAACATAATAAATGATTATTTTGATTGTTCTAGAACATTAAATTAGTTGTTTAAAATAGATCTCACCCCAAAAAAAAAAAAAAAAAAAAAAAAAAAAAATTCTATGAAATTTCAGTCTTAGCTTAAATGCTGAAAAGCAATTATCAATTGATGTAAGAGATTACAATTAACAGAATTACACATTTTATAAATACTAATTTTAAAGTCACTTTACGGCATAATTCATTTTTACTATTATCAAATTAGAAATACACTTCTACCAGTCATGCAAGATAAATTAAAATTACTCCAACTTGAGAAATCACTACAATAGTAAGAATAAAAACATAAGATAACTCATAGGACTTCCGCAATCCTTCGAACACAAGAAACTCCTGCATATTGGTGACATCATCGGAGGATTACATTATCGAACGCCTGAATTAATCCTTCGCCAATCCACACATAATACTAGATAAATGAACTCTTGCAGAAAACATCAAGGAAGAAACCCAAAATAACAAGAATTCTGAAGTAATGGAAAGCAGATGAATGAAGAAACTGTAACCGACAGTCTCGGAAAAACTAAGATAAGTCAGCACTCACAAGGTGAAGTCCATTTTCCTACTAACTGCTGGGTATGAAGCAAGGATATTTAAATGCTGGATTAATGACCGAGTTCACAACAGTTTCCTGTGAAGGTATGGTGAAACATAAGAGAAATACTATTATCTCATACAAAAATGGGATTTTCAGAAACACCAGATGCTGGATACTGATAAAAATATTGAAGTGCAGGATGAAGTAGAAAACGTCAGATCTAAATCTTGCAGTAAATTGCTATATCGTTTCAAAAAAAAATTGGCCGCCCTTCCTAAGCAAGTTATCGTGCCTCCCCCCCCCAGCCAGTTAGGAACCTCAGTGAGGCAGCGCATGTTCCCGGCCCATCAGTAGAAAAGAAACGCAGCCCCAGCCCGCTTGTAGAGACAAGTCTGCAGCAAGACAAGCTGACCACAGAAACTCTTTTTCGGACCAACTACTAAAACCTCAATCCAACTGACTCAAGCCCCAAAGAAAACTCGGCTTCTCCACCCACCCAAAACTATAGGCTTAAAAATTACATATAATATTAAACTTGACCAAGCCGAGAATTTCCCTTTTTTATTTTGTTGTTAAAACTTCACTCCCTTCAACAAAGAGATAAATAGATAGATGAGATAAAAGAGATGAATAGATAAATAGAGATGCAGACCTCAGATGGACAGCTGAAACCAGTGAGTCGGCCAAATGAGTAAGAAATAAAATTCAACCATGGTTATCAAGTGGAAAACCAGAGATACAATCAAAGCTGCCCCAAAAATAAGAAATTTACACCCTTTTGTCCCTTCCATTCAAAAGATGGTTTGGTTTATATAACTATGGCAAAGCACACAAGGGCTATCTGCCTAAGGGAAGGGATGACTTCGTGGAGGACTTTTTAAGTGAACTGGCTCGTATACAAATTACACATGGGGCAAACCACGAAAACGCCCATGTAGCCAGCCTGTTCACGGGATTCGAACCTTGGACCGAACTTCTAGTGTTCAGCGACTTTACCGCTCGGCCGGTGGTGGGCCTTCCATTTGAAAGAACCCATTTATTCAGCACTTACGGCATTCACAAAGAAAAGTGAAGCAAAGATGCCAATTAAATCTTCTTTTAAAACCCAGTAAACAAAACCCTGCAGCAACAGCTCTCTGTTATCATAAATGCCATTCACAATCAGCTGGGGAACACTAAGAACCTCCGCTTCCGCCAGATGTTCCAAAAGAAACACTCCCTGCCTTTGTTAGAAAGTCTGACCATAGAAAAACTGTTAAAAAAAATATATATCCACTCCACTCTTTACAATTTCAATTAAATAAAATACCTAAATAGTGATTAATTAAATAACATAAGCACAAAAAAATTTGTGACAAAACATTAAATATGCCAGCATTATCTATAACTAATGATTAAAAAAGTTATTTGTGTCATCTCTAATCCAATCTTAAATTATTACATATACACATATAATATCAACAAAAATGAATAACAGATTATATTTTTTTTTAATAACTGAAAAATTATACCTAAGAAATAAATGAATATCAAATTTTAAAACAAAATTAAATTCATACAAACACAGATGAAACACATTTTAAAATACACACAGAAATAACAGGTCAAAATGTCTTACTTTAAAAAGCTTTGAGTCAGGACGATTATATTTCTTAGCATTTTCAAACATAAGATTCATATCATCAACAACATCATACAGACTAGTATACTGCTTCGACTAAAATGAAAAGATTTAAATAAGAAATAGTACAATAAACTAAGATCCTTTATAAAACACTTCATAAAAAGTAAAAAAAAAACTTATTTAGTAAAGAAAAAATATACTTAAAGAGTTGAATGACCATATACAGTAATATAAAATATCAATTGTACATTTTTAAATGATATTGATTAACACTTTAGCGACCGATCGGCTATTAATTGCCTTTTTATAGCCAACGTCTACTGACTGATAACCTATTAATCGACTTTTTATCAGTAAAGTCTACCGACCGATTGTCTGCTAATCGGCTTTTCTTTGCCAACGTCTACCGATCGATAGCCTATTAAAACCTAAAAATAGCCTATTAATCAGTAGCCATAGGGATAAACAATTGTCATATGTTATATCATCTGATTTTTATTAGTAGTATTGAGATACATTGCTCACTTGCGTTAAGTGCATTGCTTCGTAAAACTTACACTGCTTTTAAAAAAATTACTGTTCACGATGAGCAAAAAAAATGGTACCGGAGAGTTTTATTTAGACGATTTATCAGATTGTCTTGACAGTTATTCAGTACAGGGAGAATCTGTGGCTGAGCGCGCAGATCGGATGTGCGTATGCTGTTGAACCGCTATTGGTCGGTAAATTGTTAATGGACTAATATCTCATATGTGCACAAGAATATAAATATATAAAAATGTGTTCAATATTTGTGAACTAAATTCAGCTACCATTACTAAAACAACAGCATTTAAATCTGTTCAAAATAAATTTAAGTATTTTTTTCACCATACATATGATTTTATGATGCTTTTGGCAGATATTTTCCTAAATACATATTTTTTTATTTAAAGCAATAACTAAGATATATTTTTAAATGTCAAAGGTTAAAAAAAACTGTTTCCAAAATTTATAAAATGAAAACAAGGGTGATTTAATTCTTTGACTTCTACACTGGCAATATACCAAAATCAATTCAGGCATACTTAAGCACAGGAGGGATCTCTGTGCGATAAAAGTAAATATGATTTTTAAAACTTTTATGCCCTTATATAAATAAGGAAGCACAAGAAAGGAAGAACAACATATGAAATACTAATTCAACTTACCTTAACTTTTGTCCTTATTTTAAACAAGGACATGGGTTGCTTTATTTCTTTATAATAATCAGGATATGACCTAAAATTACAATTGCAGCATAAATATATATTCAGATAAATAACTGATAAGAATGTTTTACATCAAGCTATAACCTGTATTCAATTTTTAAAAAAATTTGCTTGTTTGAAGAAACATATATCGACTTGAATTTAACAAATATTTTGACATTTGCATTTTTGTAACTAAACAGGGGGAAATGTTTTTAAAATAATGCAGATGTATTGTAGGGTTAACCTTAATTTTACTTACAATTTTTTTTTTTTTTTTTGAATTCTCTTATTTCCCCTTGGATTTCCAGGATTCACCAGGATGCAAATTAAGTAGGTGAACAAGAGTATTTAAATGGTGGAAACGAAAAGATTAGACAGAATGTAATTTCGCTATTGAAGTGAAAGTTTGCTATTTTGTCCTCCAGCTGTTAATCTTAGCAGTGGCTATGCAGTCTGGTCATCTAGTTAGTATATTGCCAGTGTAGGTTTCTGACCCAGCCTTTTACATTAAATTGTGTAGTCTAGCACTATAATTCTCACCTCATCTTTAGTTCTCACCACAAGTAGTTGGTGCTACTGTACACACGTTAAGTCCATGTCTTTCTATTAAAGAGTTGTGATTATAAGAAGGGCTTTTAACCCTTCTCCTGTTGTGTTCATCTTCACACCTGTGCGACAAGTCACCAGGTTTGGCACTGAGATCTAAGGCCTCATTCAATTGAAACAAAATTCAAATGTGGGTAACATAATCTAAGACTACACATTCAATAAAATAAGAATTAAGTTGGCTCAGTTATTTTACTAGCAAGTAAGTTTAAAGAATCGGCTAGTGAGATGCCAAAGGCAGAATATCATTTAAAATACAGTTGGCAAAAAACTCTCCTTCTGGGATTCAAAACCGTCAGCTTAAATACAATCACAGCTAATTTGCATAATGCTAATTTGGTGAGGAATACAGGTAACAGTAATGGAGGACATAGGCACCATTCCCTTACCATAACGATTCACTGGTTTAGCACCATGTCCGCCAATGGTGAGTAATACAGAAGGAAGAAGTTATAGTAAAGATCTAAAGGTTAATCCCGAACTTACAATTATAGAAAAGTGTCAAGTTGAAAGAAGTGCCTGGCCAAGATGAATTGAACCTTAATGAAGATGATATTGAAAGTAGTTTTGATCCTGGAAAACATGACCAAAAAATGAAAGAGCTTTTTGATTATGATTATTATGCTATCCAAGAAGAAGAATGTTCAAAATTTCCATATGATGAGGAACTCGATAACAAAGATTGGGACTATTGGATTGGACCAAGTAAAAGTGATGAGTGTGGTGAAGAACAGCTTAAAGAAAGTGCTTCTGAATGATCAGATGTTGAGGTTTCAAATTCTAAAAGTTATTCTAAGTCAGAGTTTGAAAAAGAAACAATTGTGCCAACTCGCACAGGAAGGATAAAAGTTAAAAAGAAATCCTTATTTACTAAAGTAATTTCTAAACCTAAACTAGTTTGTGATCCAGATGGGAAAACATTTGATGACTATTTGGTTGAGTCCTATAGAATAAATTATAAAGGTATAATTAGTGATATGCCAGTCAGATTCGAATATAAGAAGGTACATAGTGCCAAATAACTTTGGGCTGGCTGTTGATGAAGTCTTAAATAGTTATGTTTGTATTCATGATTAAATGTTTTTTGTTTTTTTATACTGTTTTAGTCGATTTCAAGTAAAGTACTTTTTTTTACACTGTTTGAGCACCCACTTGATTGGGCAGGTGCGAGGCACTAGCGTCCTCTATGAAACAAGAGGACACCAACACCAATGAAATGCAAGGGAAAAAACAGTAAAATGGACCATGCAAAATAATTATTATTATTAGATTGTAATTCAAAATGGATCATGCGCGGAATGGTTTAAAAATAAGGCAAAAATCTTTAGAACAGTTTCGTAAGTTACATGAAAGATATAGTTGTACTGGATTACTCTGAATAAAAATGTTTAAAAAGCAATAGTTTATTTGATGTTTGACGGCGAATAATAAAAGAAAAGAAGCCACAATCCTCGGTCATAATAACCAGCAAGTTTACAGAATCGGCTAGTGAGATTCCAAAGGCAGAATATCGTTTTAAATAGAGCTGGCAAAAAAACTAACAGCAAATGAAAGTTCCAGAAGCTCTTTCCTTCTGCAATTCAAAAGCCTCAGCTTGAATATAATCACAGCTAATTTGCATTCTGGTGAGGAATATAGAAGGAAGAAGTTCTAGTAATGATCAAAATCACAATAACTAATTAGTAGGCATAACATACTTCACAGGTGTAGAAAAAAATTAAATAAAAATATTGATTAATTAAATGTTGGTCAGATCTCTATGCTTATACAGGAAAAGGTGTTAGATTTGCAGCTCCTCAAGTGTCTCAACAATCATTTATTAATTAATTTTCTAGAATCTTTTTCATCAAATAAGTTTAAAAGTTTCACAATCCTAAAATAGAAGCTCTCGGTTTTCTGTATTTGAGGTCCAATAAATAATAATTATTATTATAATAAAAGAGAATTGCTTAGAATAAAGAAAATTTATTCATATTTAAAAAGTTACACATATAACCCTTTCTATTGCCCCTCATATACGGAATTATATTTAAAATGTTAAGCACGTCCCACTGACAGTTTTTACTAACCGCACCAAATAGAAGAACAAAAACAATTCCTCCATTACAAATAGCAAACTTATTGTCAGTGATATGAGACAAAAAAATAGAGAATTCCATGAAACATTAAAAAATTCTCACGCAAAATGTTTTTAAGACATAAAGATTTCAGATCGCATCAAAAATAAAAATTCTTTCACAAGCATTCAATAATAATACAACAGTGAACTTTAAAAAATTAAACATAATAATTTATTAGTTATTTTTTCTCATAGCCTCTATTAAGACTAACTTAACATTAATTATGGGCTTACTATTTTTCCAAACTGGAGTATAAATAAATTGCATCATTAGCACCCCTCCCCTAAAAAACTTTGATAAAAATAAGATTTATTCCCATTAATAAATTTTTGCAGTTATAAAACAATTTTTTTTTTTATAAATGACAGAAAAATAACTGCAACATATCGCTAAAAAAATAATAGTGTAATGTAGCAATACAAAATGGGGAAGGGAATGCACACAAAAAAAAAGCAAAACCAAGCAGCAAGAAAAGAGCAGAAAAATACAGAAATTAAAGCATGCACAAACTCAATGCCTTTTTCAATATCATTTATTGAAATTATTACTTTTAATTCTATAACTAACCTCAACACCCAGCTGATCTTTTCATCTGTTTTTGCCATTTTTATTATGCAGCCATGTGACGCAGCAAGTCTGAAAAGAAAAAAACTTCCCACATGTGTTCCTGAACAAGAAGTTTGCTGTTACTTAGTATTTGCTTTTATTGGTTATAGAAAGTGCCAATTTGCAACTTCTCAAATGTATGTACTTAATGTTGGAAAGATTTACGAAGATTTTTAAAATAGTGAATAAATGATATTGAAAAGAAACATGCATGAATGCTGATAGAGATAAATAATAATAAAAAAAAATGCATGCTTTATAACTTGAAGGTATATGCAACAGGTATTCAATAATTACAATGAAAAAAATTAATTTATGAGGGCTATCCAGAAAGTAGATTACGTTTTGGAATAAAAAAATAAACAAAGTATAGGAAACAAATTTTATTATATACAGATGAAAGCCACACTCAAATACTACTTTTCTACATAGTCACCATACAAATTAAGGCATTTATCGTAGCGATGTACGAGCTTGGAAATTCCTTCGTCGAAAAATTCGGCCGCCTGCGCCTTCAACCACTTCGTTACCTCTTCTTGCAGCTGTGCGTCGTCATCAAAACGCTGCATAGCCAGCCACTTCTTCATTGCTGGGAATAGGTGGAAGTCGCTCGGTGCCAGGTCGGGACTGTACGGCGGATGAGGAAACAACTCCCACTTAAAAGATTCAAGAACTTTACGAGTGACATTTGCCGTGTGGGGCCGGGCGTTGTCGTGAATCAACAAGATCTTAGAGCTCAACATTCCTCTGCGCTTGTTTTGAATTGCTCTTCTGAGTTTTTGGAGAGTTTGGCAATACCTTTGAGAGTTTATTGTAGTGCCTCTTTCCAGGAAGTCCACCAAAATTACACCTTTTCTGTCCCAAAAAACAGTCGCCATCATCTTCCTTGCCGACATTGTTTGCATGCATTTCTTGGGTTTTTGGGGAGAACTTGTGTGCCCCCACTGCATTGATTGCAATTTCGTTTCACAGTTCACATGTTTCACCCATGTTTCGTCACCAGTAACGATGCGATCGAGTAAAGAGTCACCATCCTTATGGTAAGCGTCCAAAAAGTTCAACGCTGCAGCCATTCGCTGATTTTTGTGGTCCTCTGTCAAGATTTTTGGAATCCATCTTGCACAAAACTTGTGGTAACCAAGCTTTTCGCTGATGATTTCGTGCAACAAACTTCGCGAAATTTGTGGAAAACTCAAAGAAAGTTCCGTTATTGTGAAATTTCGATTTTCACGGACTTTAGCATCGACTTTTTCGAGAAGTTCGGCGGTCACTATGCTGGGTCTCCCACTTCGATCTTCGTCGTGAACATTGGTTCGGCCATTTTGAAATCTTATGACCCACTGACGCACTCCACCTTCAGTGATAATGTTGTCCCCATACACTTCACGAAGCTGCCGATAGATTTCTATCGGTTTACAGTTTTTTGCAGTCAGAAACCTTATTACTGAGCGCACCTCGCAGGATTTTCAATTAACGCAGACATTTCAAACCGTCACAGTATCTGAACGGAGCACAGCACGAACCTCTCACTAGCACGGCTAGATGCAGACTGAGCTGCGCAACGCTCTGACCCCAAGATGGCCGCGCTAGCCCCGCCCCTAGCGGACACAGACGGAAACGTAATCTACTTCCTGGATGGCCCTCGTAAATGTTAGAACAGCTACTTTAAAGTATTGTATAACCATACTGGCCCAAATACAGCAAGAAATTTTATTTTTCAGCTGTGAATACGAAATTACTTTGTTAAAGTAACTGCCAGAGTACAAAGATACCATTTGTACCAATATATGATTAAAAACTAATAATTTTTAGCAATAAATTTAAAAAATAGTAGCTTCTCCTAAAAATACATGTAACATGATAGTAAAAATTTTAAACATTTGAGTGATTTCCAAAATTCTTATTGAAAAAAAAGAAATTTCTTTCTAAAGGAAAGTGATTAAAACTAAATGTATAGGTTAAAATTTTAGTCAATTTCATAAGGTTAAATAATAAACAAGCACAAATAGATGACTACATTTCACTACATGTCTGTTTCATTTTTTTTAATGCACATAATTTAAATTGATACTTTTTAATAACGGTCCAATACACATTTAAATAATACATCTAACATTTCAGCTAATAAGTTAGCATTTTTTCTTCATCCACATACAAGCAAGTTTCATCTCCATGTACAAGCTTGAAAATATCAGGTTTTAACGAAAGTTTTCGCAAATATCATCTGTGTGAGTTCACATTGACATATTTAATCATAGTTTCTTGAACAATTTTTAGCATTTGAAAGAAAGAGACACGCTTCAGAACACTGTACGAAATATGTAAAAAAATATCGCTTATCATTTTAAGTAATCTAAAATTAAACTATCACACTACCAGATTAGTACCATCATTTACTTCCAGTTCTGTTGGGAAAAGTCAGCTACAGAAATGTCATCAAATGTGTACAGCCTGAGCTATTAATGTTGCATCAAATGACACTGTGAAGGTTTGAAAGTTCAAAAACAAGGACTATGACATTCAAGAAGCAAAGCACTCTGGCCGGCTTAATGATATTGATAGGCCTGCCTGCAGGAACTTGTGGAAGAAGATCGGTATGCAACTACTCAGGAGCTTGCTAAGGACTTAGATGTTAGTGCCACATCTATTAGCCACGCTATACATCACATAAACTTGGCGTACAAGTTCAAATGCTGGGTGCCACACCAGCTGATTCAAGCAGATACGGACAGACATGTTTGGACTTGCACTAATCTGCTTGAATATCAATGCAAGGACAAAATTCTGGACCGGATCATCACTTGTGGTGAAATGTGGATATACTTCAACAACACAAGATGAAAGAGGAGATAGTCTGCGCCCAGTGATCACATCAGCAGTGTCTCAAAGTGCTATTTGACTAACATAAAGATCCTGCTTTGTATCTGGTGGGATTGCCATGGTATTATCCATACAGAGTATCTGGAAAAAGGTAAAACTCTCGACAATAAGGTGTACAGTAGTCCATGTTGATGCTCTATCAATGAAAAACCTCAAACTGAGTTCTGGCACAAAAAGGTAATGTTCCATCAAGATAATGCAAGACCATGTGTGTCTGCATTCACCGGCTGGACTCTTTACTTTCTTGAATGGGATCCATACCCACCATATAGCCCTGACATTGCTCCTTCGAACTTCTACCTTTTTCCACACCTGTAGCTACATCTTGCTAGTGCTATCTTCCATTCTGTACAGGTTGTCCAAAATGAGGTTGATCTGTTTTTGGACTCGTGGCCACCAAGTTTGCTTTCAAAGACTAGCAAAACTTTGGCAAAAAACAATAGATTTAGGTTGTGATTACTACCCACACTTAAAGTTACTGCTTTCATGTTTTTTCTCTCAACTTTATTAATAATGTTTTCTGGTGGAAAACTTTCGTTACAATCAGATATATAATTCAGGCATAATCCAATGCATTTAAAAATTTTATATAATCTTAACTTTCAAAAACTGTAAATTTCTACTTGTGACACTCAGGTATGGCAATTCAGATTTGAATTCTTTGATTCTTTCCTTTACAAGTACAGTAAGACCCCGCTTAACGCTGTTTCGTTTAGCGCTGTTTTGGTTTAGCGCTCTTTTATTTCAACCTGGGGATTCTCCGAAATTGTGCGCAGCGCTAGGTTTCCAAATAACACATCCGAAACAGTGTAGTTGTGTTTCTTGCTTTGTGGATGCATTTTTATCATTTGAAACATTTGTTGACATTATTGTAAGTTTAAATTTGTATAATACTATAACGATTAATACAGTGACAAATATTATGATTTTTAGTTTTTATCATGGGTGATAATAAAAAACAAGAAAAGAAAGCAACCAGAAAAAGCATTCACTGGAAACCCAAATGCAAGTGATTAGAAGATTAGATTCTGGTGAATGTCAATCTCAAATTAGTGCTGCATTGATTTTGGCAACTTCAACAATAAGGACAATTCTTAAGAATAAAGAAAAAATACTGTCATCGGCAACTGCAACTACGTCAAGCTCTGCAACTAGAATTACCCGTTCTAGAAATAACATTATAGAGGAAATGGGAAAACGACTGTCTATATGGATTGATGACAAAATTGAACGCAATATGCCATTAAGCCAATCTATCATAATGCCTTCTTGACAAAAAGGCAGAAAATTGGAAACCCAGAATAGACTAAATGATCTGACTGAGAATTTTATTTGTTTTTAAAAGTATATGCGTTTATATTGTTTTTTATTTTGTAAGAAATAAATGTTTGATTTTATTTTTATTAAAAAAAACATTATTAAATTTAATGCCTAACCATTTTTTATCCGTCTTCCCCTAACCCCATTATTTATATGTTAAGATAGCCTCGCTTAGCGCTGTTTCGCATTACGCTCTACTTTGATGGAACGTATCCCCCGCGTTAAGCGGGGTCTTACTGTATCCTCATTTTTAGTCCCAGGTCTCAAGCCTCAGTTTTTTGTCTGTATCACCTTTCAAATGTTATTGCCACATACTTTTAAAGAAATAATATAGCAAATGCAAAAAAATATATGACAACACAAAATAAAAAGATGTTTCCACCAAATATTATCTTTAAAGAAATAATATAACAAATATTAAAAAAGTATGGCAACACAAATAAAAGGATGTTGAAACAAATGGTTATAGCTATAGTGTATTATTTTTTAAGAAACAATATTATGCGAAAGAAAAAAAGTACGGCAACATTTAACACTTTATCAGGAATTCTAAAGATATCTGATATAAAATATTTTCAACTTCCATGCGCTAGTTCGTTGCCATTTGGCAAAGCATATGATATATAATTTTCCTTATAAATTTAATCCATCTGTTCCTGATTAATAACCTTGCTGATTAAAAAAAAAAAAAAATAAATGCAGTGCTTTATCTCTCTTAACAATTACCAGCTAGAAGTGTGAAATTACAGGCCACACCAGCAGATAGTTATATGAAAAGTGAAAGAGAAAAGTTATTCGACACAAAAGTGAGGTTTCAGAATAATATCCCTTCAGGGCTAAAAAATGTATGGCAACACTTAACAATTCAGAATTCCAAAGATACAGCACTTTTAAAATTTTTGTGATTTTGTTGTTGAGTTTTATGTGATATGCCCAGTATGTTTTTCCTTTCATTTTATTTATTATTTTATTAAATTATTTTAATTTCATTTTTATTTTATTTTATAAGTATATACTGGCAATTGTTAAAAGGCAGGCAGAATAAAGTGATTCTTATATCAGATTCTTAATGTACCAATTTTTTTCTTAAAAAAAATGAGTTTCATATTTTTAGTTTAAATTTTGAAAGATGCATCATATTTGGGCCATTATAGTAAAATATGCAAATGAAACAAAATCAGCCACTTAGGATCTTAGTGAAGATGCATGCAGTTTCAGTAACATACAGTTAAAAAAAAATACAGGTGATATATGTAGTCAATGTTTTAAAGCTACTCAAAGCATATACATGATGCTCTTTATGAAACTTAATTCTTAATAAAGTGCTAACATTTTCAAAACATCTATACATTACCTCCTCGATGGCAAAGTCCAAAATGGTTCAGATAGTTGGTAGCCTTGAGGATTAACATAATTTTTCACCGTTTCATATAACTGCCACTGAGGATTATTATGTGCATCTTCTGGATCTGACTCATTACCATCATCTGCATCTACACTCTCTTCAGCTATTTCTACCGATGCAGGTGACGCAACTTCTGAGGTAAGGTCGACCTTAGGAATTGCATCCGTCTCATATCGAAGGGCTGAAATGATAGCAGACCATTTCTGTCCTCCTGCTAGCCGTTTATTTCTGAAAATATATTCAATCTTGCATATCACACAAATAAAAGATTGCTAAAATTTAATCTAAAAAAAAATAAATAAACAATATACAAGTACATGGATAAAAAGTTTATAAGGTATTATTTCTCCTGCCTTCTTGGTGTGGTGGTCTGTACATTGGGCGCGTATTCCACAGGTCCGCGTTTCAATTCCTGGTGAAGGCAGTTGCCTATTTTTCATCTTGCCTGTTTCCAAAAAATACCTACAATGGCACTTAACTAAAAGGGTGGTGGAACCACAGTCGCCCTTTAAAAGGGGGAGTATGTAAAGTATTTCTCCCACATTCTTGGGATGCCTTCGTGGTGTGGTGTTCTGCAAGCTGGGCGCATGATCCAGAGGTCCGCAGTTTGATTCCCAGCAAAAGTGGTTGCATACTTTTCATCTTGCCTGCTTCCAAAAAATACCTGTCTCTACAAGTTAAGGCCAAATATTATTTTTTTTTAAATCTAAAATTAAGAAAAATCTTTAATTTCATTTTGCATATCCATAAGGGAACCAAAAAATCAAGCTATGTATGAAAATCATCAAACATACTGTTTTCAATGGCACATTGTCACAGACTAGTGATTTCCAAACTCTTCACTGTGTGGTACTATGGGTGGCTTACCAGGTTGCCATAATATATTCTAATACTTTCAAAAGAAATTACACTAGAAAAATAATTACGTAATGCGGGCATATCCATATCAAACCCAAAGCTGAATTTATTTCTACAAAAAAGGGTCTAATTGAGCTGCCTTGCAACAAAGACTGAAGATAACAATAACCTGATAGGTACAGGTTGAAGCAAAAGCTGCACATACCCATAGGTATCGCCAAGCCTTGCTAACTGTTAATAGCTTCTACCCTAACTTTGAGGTAGAGTACCACCAACACTTCAAGAGGACTTTCAGTTCACTGCATACTTTGGATGCTCATTTGCTGCACAAATTCCACACACTTATAAATATTTATGCCTTCAGGATTCAAATCTAAACTCAGCAGTATGGCAGTCATATCAGCAACCACTATACTGTATGAACAGCGATGACATTTGACAACAGGGAACTAATTGATTATGCTTTTTGAACAGCAATGAAATTTGACAAGAGGGAACTAAGTGATTTTGGGATATTATTAAAAGATGAATATCCATATGCAACATCATCTTTCTGCAAAGCTGGGTTTTCATAAGTTATCTGCAAGTGCCCGACCACTTGATTAAAAAAAAGTTACAGATAGAAATATGATATAAAAACTTACCTCCAAAAATATTTATGTACATCACATCATTTACAGTGCTAGAAACCAGTATTTATATTAAACTGTTCTGAGTCACTTTACAAGGTGGTTTAAGCTCGAATGACTGAACAGTGAAAAACGGAAACAAAGTGCAATAAATATTGTATATCTTTTCATAGTGTACAAGCTGACAGAATATGAGGGAGTGAACCTGCTGAAAGCAAATACAAAGAGAGCTCCGATTTACAGCTAAATCAGTGTACAACTATTCTTATATTCTGATTTATTGACAAAAATCTTTAAGCTCTATGTGGAAGTCTGCTTTGATAGGTTCAATGAGTTATTACATTTTACAGCACTTTTTTTTTTTAAATTTTTTTTTAATATCTAATAGAGTGCTTTGCCAAACAATACAGTCAGATTATTGTAATGAATGAAATTAAGGTTGAGACAACAACAATTTCCTTTCCCCTTCTCATTAACCCAACAATATACTCGTCAACTAACCAGGTCTGTGGATTCGGATTCGGTAGGAAAAATGACCACTCTTGGAATTTAGACTCTGATTCCCTCATATATATATAAACATATACACATGGATTACAGCTTATGTTTTTAATATAAAAGAAGTAATAGATGCTACAGAAAAAAAAAAGAAAAGAAAATTGATGGCATAGCAAATTATTTATATTAATTAGTATTTATTATGAAATGGAAAAACTGGCATTAGTTATTTCTAAGAAACAGTATAGCTTCGGCAAGACCTTCCTTGTTGGAGAGCCAGAGATCCGAATGGATAAACTTCAGAGCTGAGAAGAGTCTTTCCACATTAACTTGACTACGAGGAAGAGCTGTTGCTGTTAGGGATACTTCTTTTAACTTTTCAGGATAGACTTTTAAAAGTTCTAAAAGAGATGTCTTGCAAGCACAATCACATTTCTCTATTTCTTCAAAGGCCGTGTAGAAATCTTGTTTGTATTTTTTCATTTGTATATGTAAAGACTCTCGGTTCTTTATTTCCCTTTGTTTTGCCTTGGACTTTTTAATATTATCTAAAAAATTTCTCAAAATCTAATTCATCTTTGGAAGAGGATGATAGAGACTAAATTGCAACATCTGCAGTTTGACTGTCCTGATTCAATTCTCCCATTGTTCTCAAAACAATTTCATTCTTAATGAAATTCAGAAAGGACAAACATCACATTCTTCCATTCTCACCTCCTGCCAATTCTTCAGATTGCAGCTTTTTTGTGGCTATATACGGTGTAGAAAGAAGAGTTTCCAATTCTGCAAGATCATTCCACAGTCTTTCTGTTAGTGAAACATTAGGGTTATCTACATCGCGTAAAAAAGTTCTTAATTTTAACAACCTCTTTATCATCAAATACGTACTTCCTTATCGAATATCAAATATGCACCTCTCTCCCACCCTGCTGGCTATGTCCATGGTAAGGTATTAAAGACTAGAGTTAGATTTGCACAGTGCAGTACCTTAATAAACACATTATATGAAAGTGAATAAAATAATGTTCAAAAACTGAATGCACGAAATGAAAATTGCTTTTTTTTTTTTTTTTTTTTTTTGAATGAATGAATGAATTGTTAAAAAATTGAATGCATTTTACGAAACAAACGCAGTAAAACTCTATTTAATTAAACCAAAGCACTCAAAAGAAATAATACCAAATCAGTGAATCCGAAAGCTAACCAATTCTACAAATTTTTTAAAAGCTTCTTTATCCCCTTCTTGATTTATTCTTCAGTAGTTTTACTGTTTACTGTTTAACATTATTGTATATTTTCTGAGTCTACTCATAATTTTATGACGGGATATAAAAGTTCACTCAGCGTTATATGTAGCCTAGCAATAAAATAAAAATGCAAATGTATTACAATACACACTTTTGCTTCTTTATGTTAAAATATATTTTTATATTTAACAATTAAAAACAGTTTCAGTGGAATATTTGAAATGACTGTCCTTTATCAGTTCGACAAACAGGATTCTACAATATGGAAAAATTAAATCGTTTGCTCCGAGAAAAATTCCTCATCTTGATAATATGGCGTAAAACATGCTTAATAGTGATGAATCTAACCCCTTCACAAAAAGGATTTTACAAATTTTCAGTTTATCATGTTTAAAACAGATTACTCACCGGATTCTTTCACTTGATTTGGCAGGATATGTCTTCCGTTGATCAATTTCAGATTTCTTTATTAAAATTATCTTCCTCAGAGTTGCAGCATCCTGAAAGCCAAAAAAACAGAAAAATTTATTAATGCTTCCACTAGCACACAACATTTAAATATTATTTTCAATATTGTTTATTTTAACTCTTTTACATTGAGGGCAAAATCTCTTTTTTCCCAAACATCGAAAACGCCCGTGTCTGCAAATTTCTCCTGGAATGCTTTACCTTTCCCCATGACAAATTGAATACTACAGCGCTAACAATAACCTACTTAAGTAAAGCAAGAACTTTCTAGGATGCTATCACCCTGTGTGAAGTTCTCCCTTGGGACGGGATTGCAACTTCAGGCATCAAAAGCTAAACATTGACAGCAAACAAAGGAAAAAGAAGGTGCATTAAAATAACAGAACTATTTTTAGTCACTTCAAAAGAATGAATGCCATGTCATTTAATAACACTTGAAAGCAATGAGCAATGCAGTAACATGATGGGGCAAAGCACTAGGTAGAAAATTATTCAGGCGTCCAGCCAATGTCTGAATGCTCAGGCATTTGGGGCGACTTTGATGCGAAAGAGTTAAGGAGGAATGTTTATGAATTTCATAACATAAGAATGCAAATCAGAAAAAATGCTCAAACTCAAAAAATCAAGTAGATTTTGATATACACTCACGTTTGTGAAAATTGCAACACCAAGAAGGAATCGTCATAATTGAATGCAATTTAATACACAGTTGAGTGGTAGTGGTACAAATAAATTATTAAATGTTCAAAGCAAACAAACAAGAACAAGAGATCAGAATCAGTATTTTGTGCGGCCACCACGCGCCGCAATAAGTGCTGCTACACGACGTGGCATGGAGTCAAACAAAGTTTGAATGTCTGACTGAGGAAGAGCATTCCATATCGTTTGTACGCGTACCCAAAGTTCGTCTGCAGATGCAACAGGACGAGGATCACGAGCAAGACGCCGACCAATGACATCCCACACATGTTCAATTGGCGACATATCCGGGGAACACGCAGGCCAAGGAAGAAGCTGTACCTGCTGCGCTGCAAAGAAGGATTTAACAATCCGAGCAGTATGAGGGCGGGCATTGTCCTGTTGAAATACAGCGCCTCGCAAGCTTTGAAGGAAGGGAACAGCTTCGGGCTGTAGAACTTCACGGATATACCGGTTGCTGTTCAGATTGCCCACAATTCGTAGCAATTGAGATCGTCTATGATATGCTATGGCGCCCCAGACCATAACTCCGGTGTTTCGTCCACTGTGGCGTTCGATAATGCACTCCGGAAGGTGGCGTTCACCGGCATAGCATCTGACACGAATGCGGCCATCATGGTACCACAAATTAAAGCGGGATTCGTCAGAAAACACGACATGCTGCCAATCAGCACGCCAGTCTCTATGCTGATTGGCCCATTGTAGCCGCAGGCGGCGATGGTCGTGCTTTAGGGGGATCCTGTATAAAGGAGTCCGTGCGCGCAGTCCACACTGCAGCAGACGTCTACGAATTGATGAAGCACACAATGAAACACCTGTAGCTATTGACCACAGTGCTGCCAATTGTCTAGAGGAAGCTGTACGGTCCGTCCGCGGCATGCGGACCAGGTGTCTATCATCGCGAGCTGACGTCACATTTCGGGGTCCACTCCCGGATTTCTGAGTTGTCCGACACTCGTCCGTCCACTGCTTCCAAACGCGCATCACTGTGCTGCTGTTACGCTGCACACGAGAGGCTACTGCACGATACGACAATCCAGCTTCACGAAGGCCGATGATTCTCCCTCGTTCAAACTCTGTAAGTTGTTCAAATCTCACTCTCTTTCGTCGACGAGGCATAAGTACAGATTGAGTTAACGTTTACCACTAGCAGATAACCACCGATAACCATACACGCCTCGCTACAGCCGTCTATTTATTCGGATCCATCAGCCGTTCAGAGGGCGCTGCTCAGCATACGCATGCGCTACGGATTTGCAATTCTAATCATTTGCATATCATGCACTACTTTGCATTTCCTGAAAATTTCAGCTCACTCGCGTAAGTCCTTCATGGTGTTGCAATTTTCACAAACATGAGTGTATTTAAGACAATCTGTTTTTCATACACTCAGCTCACTGTCGCATTGTTTGTTGTCCTCAGGTTGCACTCGGCTTGCGTTTACAAGAAAAGGCTAAAAAATGTTCAGAAGTAGTAAAATTGATATTAATGACTAACTGCATTTAAAGACTGAAAGAATTTTAAATATGAATTACAAAAACTTCTTGAACAAAGACATAACTTAAACACTGAGGATTCGTAAACAAGTATATACTTTTTTTAAATTTTGACTGCAAATATTTAAAAACACATTAAAAAAATTGTAAACATCAAATAATAAGCTTATATTTCTTTCAAAGATTTAGATATAATATAACTATATAAAACATTTTATAGAATATTCATCCTGTGACTATGTATGAATTTAAAAAAAAAAAAAAAAATTAACCCTGTTTTCTACCAAGTGAACAAAATAAGTCATAAACGAGGTAAACTTAGCATTTGGGTTTTTTTTGACAAACAGTTTTCAAGGCCAAAGACTGGGACACATATGTCTCAGCCACAGTTAATGGTGGGATACATATGTTCCACAAGTAGCAATCGACTTACTATAAGCACACCTATTATTCTGGAAAACTTTATTATATGAAATAGATTTACATTGTATGGGTACAGCAAAGCATTATTTGCATAACCCAACATGTTCTTTTCAACATGTTTGTTCTTTTCAACATGTTTGTTCTTTTCTCTATGTTCATTTGTATACAACGAGCACAGCGGCATATTGATTTTCCAACTATTAGAAGATTATCCCCAACATTCAGGAGATTCTAAGTACTTTTTAACCCAGCAATAATTTTTGAACTTTTAGTGAGACAAGTATGTCCCATTAGCAGACAAAGGTTTAACTAGGTAATACTTTTGAAAAGAAAGATCACTAAACATCATATTACCATTTTTATTTCATTCCATATATTCAAAAAAAGTCATACTAACTGTTATGAAAATAAATACATGACATGAAAATTCAAAATACAATTTAGGAGGGGCATATTAAATAATAAAAAAGTTCTTAGCTAGTAAAAGAATGTGACATAAAATTACTAATGTCCCCCACAGCATTTTTGAAGAAAAAATTTTGCATTGTTTGCTGAAAAGAAAAGTAAATTACTAACTTGAAAGACTGCTTAAGGATTACATAAATGTCTAAAAGATGCAAATAATACTGATTTAAAAATTAATATGCACATTTAGTTTCTTCTAAAAGAAAAAAAAATTAATGAAAAAGTTAAAATCTTACATTCTGTATTTTACATTACAGAAACCAAAAACTGCATTTCTCTGTAAAAAAAAAAAAAAAAAAGTTTAAAATTGTAATATTACCTTGTAGATCTGAGAACCTGGTTCATTAAATATTTTGGCATTTTTTATCATTTGAAGTAAATGCTTCTCCATCTCACACAGACTACGATATTCATTATTTTGAATTTTCTGTGCAATCATTTTCAAATCAATAGGATCTTGAATAACTTTATAATATTCAGGATATAACTAAAAAAAAAGGAAGAAGAAACATTAATCATTCGTATAAAACAATATTAAAAATACAATATAATGCTAAAAATGATGAATTCAGCAATACGTTAAAAATGAGGAATAATTAACACGACAAATTAAAATATAATACAATAAAGCAACATTCAAATTTTCAATAACTGCCTTGCCTGTATTACACTCTTTTAATTATTTCTCCAAATTATCCTTTAGATGGGATCTGAACATGCCTTAAACTAAAAGGCTTTCTGGAGTCTTTAAGGCAACAGGATACTTTTGTAAACATTTCTATTCACAATTTCACACCATTTATACTGCATAGTTTTACCCTAACAGGAACAGGTGTGGCATTAGTTTAAATTCAAGGTGCCAGAGTAACCATATACAGATCATTGCTCCTACCCTCTCCATTTATTATTCTATTAGAGAGTCCTCCACAGTTCTTGATCTGGCTGCTTTTTATAATATATATTTTCGGCATGAAATTAAAGTGATCCAAGATTACTCTGATCACTATCCTATTTTGATAACCTTATTTGATATGTTCAAAATCGTTACTCAAATTACAGGAGCAAGTCTCTACAAATTGGGACGATTTTCAATTTATTTTGGAATGTATTGCTAGCCCCTCTCAAAATTTCCAGCAATTTGGACCTTGAGATAGGTGCATTCAAAATTTGGAGTCCATACTCAAAGAAGTGAGAGCTACAGCTTCAAAACCAATTCAACATTTGGATGCTAGATTCCCACCCGAGACTAAATCCAAAATTAAGCACCAGAACTTTTTGCGAAAACTTTGGTAAAGGTAGCGTGATCCCAGTATCCACACCTCAATTTCACAAATTACAGAAAGAGATAAGGACTGAAACCTCTCTATTTAAACAGACAGAGTAGAAACACTACATTGAGTCCCTGACGACTAACGATAGACCCTTTTGGCGTGCTGCTGTCCGATTATGCAAACAATCTAAGCATATTCTGCCCTTTCAAATGACCGATGACGCACAGATGGCTTACACAGGCACTGAAAAGGCTGAAGTTTCAGCTGACAGCCTTGCAACTCAATTCACATCAAATAACAACGCTTACTGCCCGGTTACACAGGGGTGCATATACTCAAGTGTTGAACAGTTTTTAACACAATCCCACAAGCCTCATCTCAAGCCCCCTGATCCTACTGAGGTTATGGAATTTATAAAGAAACTGAAGCCAACCAGAGCTCCCAGCATAGATTCTATTTCATCATGATCAGAAACTCAATCAATCGCATGATCAGAAACTTCTCCGTAATGTTTATTGTCTGGATTATGGTCCTTATTAATTTTATGCTCAGGAGAAGCTTCTTTTCTGATTGTTGAAAAATTACAGCAGTCGTTGCCATTCCAAAACCAGAGCAAGATTTAAATTTATGGTCAACTACAGGCCTATTAGCCTGCTAGCATCACTTTGAAAATTATATGAATTTGTCTTACTTAAATGCCTGAATAAATTCCGTCGTGATCAAAATTTTACCATCCTGGAATAATTCAGCTTCGGACCTAAACACTCCTTAGTACACCAGTTACTCCGTGTAGTGGAATTCATTCATGAAGGCTTTTCTAAGTGAGAGAAAACTGATATTGTCTATCTTGACATAGCCAAAGCCTTTGACAGGATTTGGCATGACAGAATTACTTATGCGACTTGGTTTTTCGGCTCATATCATTAAAATCTTAACTCTTACTTACGCAGGCAAAGTTTCTGCACCATGAATTCTCCTCTCCCCACCCAATCTACGCTGGCATCCCACAGGAAAGTTTGATTTTGCCTCAGGTATTCAACATCTATGTAAATGACATGCCTAAGGCACCTAGTATCGATCTAGCTTTATATGTAGACAATGCGGCTATCATTATTCAACATTCCAACATCACCACGGTAATTTCTACATTACAGAGTTACCTTTCAGCCTTATAACTTTGGCTTGGATTGTATAAAATCAAAATTAATGTCGCTGAATGTGCTGCTACTTAGTTACATTCAAATGATAGTCCTATCTGAGGCTCAACTGCTCCGATTACCTGTAAACATGTCCAAATTTTTCAGTTTAAATTGCTTAAGCTAATTTTCGATGTTCCTCAGTTTATAAGGATCGAAGATATTCATAATGATCTCAAAATTATGCCCCTAAATCGCTTTATACAGTGACTTTCGGACAAATTTTTCAAAACTATTCACCATTGTTGGTATCCCAGTACTCCGCCTGATCCTGCTGTAGCTTTATCAAAAAAGCGACCCAGAGCAATTCTAAATCCAGATTATACTGAACTACCTTTCAAACGAAGATGATATGAAAGTATCGAGACCCGAGTGAATGCATACTTCTCCTTCCCTTCCCAACCCACCACCACATTTACAATGCAAAGGGCATTGACCAGTGGATCCAGTTCTATGTCTCTTTAACAAGAGTCTTTTATCATAGTCGCACACGGATACACTTGTTAATTGCTTCTTTCTCCCTTCATAAATGAGCAGCTATTTACCTATTCATGCCTCCATAAGGAGTTGATCGCTATCTCACTCTTTAAACGCTAAAGTTAACAGTGGCCAAATTTCTCTCCTCCAAAGTCAGTTGATCGACTGAACTTCTACTATCAGATGTGCCTAACATGCCCCCCCCCTCCCGTCACCCAGACTCCAAGTGCGAGCGACGTCAGTTCACTGACCTCGTGACTACTTCCCTCTCCATCTTGCTTGTGACTTCTAGTTTTGTTTTAAATCAGGAATCAAAAAATTCCCTTTGGAGATTTTTAATTCTTTTCAAAATTTTTGAATGATGATTGACCCCTCCTAAATTGATTCTGGTCCTTATGTTCCGACAAAAAATTTAATTAAAAAGACCTTCTTTGTGCTTTTATCTTTTTTTTCTAATGCGGAAGGCATTATGCTTTAAGCTACTATTTTTATTTTGATTTCAAACTGTTTACCCTATTAGATGAACCCTTCTTTTGATGTAATTATTTTTACCTTTTGATGATATGGAGGTAAAGGCCTATCCTACATATTCCATAAATTAGACTTCCTTGATCCTTGAATGAATGACTAAATAAGAACATTGCACATGTATCTTAACACATTATCATGTATTCTTCATAAAGAAAAGGGAGCACATTATACAACGAATTTGCCTGAAAATTTTAAAAAACTGAAAGATTTCAGATTTTAAATTACATCTAAAGGGACTTTTTTTAATGTTTTGTGTGTTACCTTTACATATTAAATATCATGTTCTTTGCACTTGAACCATAAAATTCAGTTCAACAGCAACATCGCAAAATAATTTTAAAATCAGCATACTTTACAATTTCCGATACACAGTTCCATGCGCTGGTGATTAAAAGGTCCCTCCCAATAGAGTGTTGCCATTGCTCGCTTTTAAATTTTTGAGTTTGTTAATAAAAAATTCGTTAAAGTTTAATAAAATATGAAATCAATAATAAAATAAATTCCAAATTTGGCCTTTCAGATGGCCACATTCACAGTAGGATTACGTCATTCAAAATTGGATGGCTCTAAGTACCGCTGTTTAATGACAATGCAAGAAACATACATACATTTATGCAAATTCTTCATTATTTAATTTCTTTAAATATAACATACGGAGATGAAACTTTGTGGCAACAGTTTGAAAAGCGATATGCCGTTTATAGAGTTCCGACTCAAAATCGCAAAACGAAAACAATAGTCCTTCAGGCGACCCTTTGGACTAAAAAAAAAATGTAGTTTGAAATTACAGATGTGCATTATATGCCAGAATATATGGTACTTCAGATACACGGATTATCTCCTTTAAATGTTCGTTTGCCATAATTTTATCAAATTTAAGGATAAAATTTTTCTACAAATGAATAGCATTCCTACTGGCATCAAATTTTAAACTTCTATTTGCAATCTTTTTTTTTTTTCTTTTTGCACAAAAAATCAATTTTATGAAAAATTGTGATGGATCTGATAAACTTAATACTCTTTCAGTGTATCTAAAAATTAAGCTCCTTGTCAATTTCAATAACTCTAGGTTAACTGAAACAGTCAATATTTATCTTAAATGCCTAAAACTAAATACAGTCAAAAGTCGTTAATTCGGACACCCATAATCCGGACCTCAAAACTAAAAACTTTCTGCGCATGCGCCGCGCTGACACATGCGCATAGGTGTTTACACGTGCGCGTAAGACCTTTACGACTGCGCATATGTGTGTGTGCAAGTGCAGAATACGTTTTTGCCTGCGCGTTTAATGTATAACGGACGGTGTAAGCTAAAATTATCTAATTATCTATTTCAGTTAATGTTAATGATTGCGTTGTTCCTTAATCTTCGAATTGGATCCCGCTTATTATTTTTTGCAGACTGTAAGAGCAATTTTATAAAAGTAAACTTGAACTTTCGATTATGTCAAATAGAATTTCTGATGCCGGAGCTCCCAAAGGATCTACAAAACGAAAGTACGTTTCGATGTCCATCAAACAAAAAATGGATAAAGACATGAAGAAGGTAACAGTGAGGTTAGTGAAAACAAAAAAATTTCGATTGACAAGTTAGTCGGCATTCTCGGCACAGCAATTACGGGTCTTGAACAGCGGAACTTTGTAACTGAACAAGAAATTATGTCTTTTTATAGAATTAAAGAGAAAGTATTATCACATAAAACGAAGCAACTTAAACAACTTACATTGAAAGAAATGTTTAATAAAGTAAACAAATAAATATTAAGCTTTTTTTTTTTTTTTTTTTTTTTGTAAATTTAATACCCTTTAGATCATAATTGTTCTTTATTTCATAAATTACGGTTTCATATTTTTAATTTTAGAATTTCTGCATGCCATCTTATGAGATTTAAACTGATGATCTATAATCTGGAATCGCCGAAGTCCCGACGAGTCCGGATTAACGACTTTTGACTGTAAAATCAATTTTAATAATTATGAAACTGATTGCCTGGACCTCAAATTCTCAAATCTAACTGTAAAACTCTACTCTCAACCGTAAAATAATTAAACCTTCAGATTTTAATTAAAAAAGGGGCTTTCTTACCATTAAGCTTATACATCAGAATTGCAACAGTTCTAAAAAAGTTATTATAAACACCACTATTAAACAGATATTAAGAATCCAAAATATTTGCACTTCCTTTGATAACATTTATCAAGGAATTTAGTATATAAAAATCAAACAAATGATCATTTGCATTCGTCCTATTATGTGCCAAATAGATGAAGACTTTTCATTAACTCACTCTTTTTCAAAACTTTCTCCACCTCTCATGCATGCTAGTATATTTTTCATATACTTACAATTAAATGTATTATCATTTTTTAATTAAAATTTCTTTCCCAACATTCATACTTTTTATACAGTATCTTATAATTTTTTTTTCAAATTAATAACTTTTTTAAAGTTATTTAAAAATTCTTGCAACTCAGTTCTTACAGTGCATTTTATTTTTCCTTTTCTCCAGCTTCGACTCATATTTGAGACTATTCTCGAAAGTTATTCGCATTAAACACATGCTTTTTTACAGCAACACGGACTTTTTTTCTTTCAGGTTTTACTTTTTCTTTTTCAAATAAATTTATTTGAATTGATTACAGTTTCATTTTCCCAATTTCCAACATATTACACTTCATGCATTTAACTTTCATTTTAAAACAGTTGCTTTTGGTTTATAAAGATTTAACAGTTCTGTCTTTTCATTAATTTAAAATTTAATTAATATTTGTTCAATTTTGTTGCTTTTTATATTTGTTCAGCTTACTGCTCATAATTTATATTTGTTCAGCACACTGCTCATAATTTATATTTGTTTAGCACATTGCTCTTGATTTTCCCCAATGGAAATTCTTCTTACTTTCTTGATCTATATATTTAATGTATAGCTTTCGATTTATTTCCACATTCAGATTTCTTATTAATTCTGCAAATTGCTTATAGATTATTTTAAATTTGACTTTTAGTTTTTCTGTTTCTTATTCGAGATTTTTTTTTTTTTTTTTAAAAATTTTTTGGGGTCATGTGAGAGCAGATATCTTGATGATTATTAAATTCAAAAATTCTTGTAAATTTAATTTGTTGCACTTTTAAAACACTTTAATTATCTTAATTTTAACTAAATTTTCTTAATTAGCATTTTCTATAATTTATAAAATTTATCCACTCTTAAAAATCATCTAGATATAATTCAGAAACATGACTCTGTAGGAAACTTTTCCGCTGCTTCTAGGAAAATAACAAGGAATTTTCAAATTTTTTTACAATTTCCTATTCTTTATATCTTATAATTTTTTAATTATTTTTGATAGTGTATTTTGAAAAATGTTTATGTTTTTTTTTTGTGTATTTTCTTTTGGAGAGCAGCTCATTTTCATAATTTAATTTTGGTTTAATTTTTATCTCTTGATTCCATGAATATATATATGTTGCAAAAATATTCAACAGCTAACATATTTCAAGGCATACCATGATTACATAAAATCATGGGTATATAGCAAATACTAAATATAATGACATAGCCACTTAACATATATAAATACAGTAAGTTATACGTTGCATTAAAAACTACGGAACATCAAACAAATGTGCACTACATCCTATATTTTTAGACTCTCTTGTACAATTAAAAGTAAAGAATTATAAGTAACAAAAAACATTTTAATCTAATAATCAAAAGATAATAAAACACAAAAAATACTCCATCTATACTGTATAACAACAAGTTCTATAATTTCTTATTTGTCTATACTACAAAGTAGTTTCATATTGCACCTCCTCAAAGCACTGCAAAAGCAATGAAACAGTTCAAATCACAGTGTGCTTGAGCACATGTGCGGAATAAGCAACCGCTATAGTCGAGTTGCTATATTTCATCATACTACGGTATATTCTCCTTTGTCACTTCAATTATTAAAACTTTCAACTACAATAAACTAACGACAACGATTCAGCAGAAATGAAGGTATACATATATACATCATCTTAAGGGGGGAGAACTATGTTTTAAGAACATTAAAAGTAAAAACATATATAATTACAGTTCTTGACGGCAAAAGCTGGAACATAGTGCTTAATGAGCGACCTTCCATATCAGCTGCAGTCATAACTGTTGTAAAGAGTTCTTCATATGGAGATTCATCTTCACTGCACTCACTTCCTCTGTCCTACACACAATATATGCATTAATCACAGAAGATGTATTTTTATATATATACACACACACATATATATTTGCATTGTTCCCATTTAAATACAGCTTTAAATTAATTTATAGCACATAATTTTATTCAGTTGTGTGTGCGGACATTTAAATCGCATTTTTTAACTTGTAAAATATTTTATATATCCAGAAACATTTCAAGTAGAATTAATAACATGGACACAAAAGAGAGGAAAATTATTAAGTACTTCAAACAATGCTCAAAAGAATTTAATCCTGTTAAGACTGAATGTAAAAAACTCCTTCTGGTTTAGTTATTTTTAACTTTCATCTAGTAATAAAAAATCTGATGTGTACACCACATGACTTCCTTGTACGGAATATTAAATTATACGCATTTTTTCTTGCATTTCATTTAAACTTATTGGATTGAATTAAATCTATTTCACCGACAGCGCATAAACCACAATGGAATAAATGCATTCTTTAAAATTCACTCTAGTATTTGCTTACCATAGCGACACTCTGGCGCTAGATTCACTTAACAGTATTAATAATTATATAACAGTTAACATATATAATCTTATATAACGGAAACTAAGTTAACTGTTATATAATCCAATAGTTATATATCAGTTAACTTATATATTCCGTTCATATTATAACTCATAATGCACAAAATTTATATCATTTAAAGAATAAAATTATCTAATCGCTGCCACATGTTCTATTCAAATACTATAATAAAGCTAGAACGATGTGTAAAAATAATTAAGCAAACAAAACAAAAAAGAAAGTTTTTCACAGACAGTTGAGTATTTCTCATTTAATTAATTCAGTTCTCACTTCGCGAGAAGGCAAAAGTACATAAAAACTCAAAATATCTATATTAAAAATTACGAAGTAAATCTTAAACACTTATTTCCTTGAAAAAATTCCAGAAAGAATTAAGCATGATTTAATTGGCAATAATAAATGAATGCATTATCTTTGTTTGTTGCGAAGCTTAGTTTCTGTAGATTGATAACAAATCCACTATTCTGCTAAGTTTCAAATGTAAACAAACATAACTGTAATGTTAAGAAATAATTAGGCTTAGCAGCACTTAAAAAAAACTTTTAAATTGTTGATAATTCCTACAAGTATTGCTTACAGATTTAGGCATAAAGACATAAAAATCTTCACCTGGAAGATAAAAACATAATTACAAGCATTTTTAAAGCAAAAAATCCACAATTTACAATCATATAGGAATAAAGAAACTGCGTTCACTGAGCTGAGTAACAGATTTTTTATATATATATAATATATTTATATACGTTTAGTGCGGCCGATTGCAACCAAAATACGAGGTGCACATCTACATGTTATAGCAGTCCTATATACAAAATTTCAACGTTCTAAGGCAACTCGTTTTTGAGTTATGCGAGATACATATGTACGTTCGTACAGACGCCACAAAAAATTCTCTTCAGAATTAATTTTAAAGCAGTTTTATAATTTTTTTAAAGGAAAGTATTCGATAGCGGTCAAAATGGATATTTTTGTTGAAATATGCTGCCTGAAGCTTTTCGCGATTACAATACTTCCTTTTTACTTCGTACAAGGAAGTAAAAAGGGGGGAAAAAAAGAGAGAGAGATTTTTTTACATTATCTAGATATTAAATATATAAGGTAACATTACATAACTAACACTGTTGACTTTGAGATAACAGAATTGCATTAAATGCACAGTCTCTCAACTTTTCACACATAAACAGAATATAAGAAATATACTTAGAAATACATACATCATCTATTTCACTTGATTTATCTTCTTCTTTCCGTATTTCAACTGATAGTGCCTCATTTTTGGCATCTACATAAACATCCCAAAGCTCACAAGCATCTCTAAATTCTTGTGAATTTTTCTAAAATAGAAAAGAAATATATATGTGTGTGCTTGGTATTCCTTGGAATTTCATAGTTCCAACACACATTATATAATTTTAGATGTTAAAAAAAAAAAAAAAAAAAAAAAAGGAGAGAGGAAGAAAAAGAAAAGAAAAAATCAGAATAAGCCATTTTGAAAACTGCACCTTTTTCACTTTGTCTCATGCTCTGATAAAGTCAATGGCTCATTAAAAGATTACTTATTATAGCAGTCATTCCTTTAAAATGATGAACACAAAAAGCCCCTAAACGATGGAGTTCTGTTGTTGAATCTGATTTTGCTATAGCACAATAGCAATGAATTAAAAATTTGTATACAAACTTTCTAGAACAATGACTCAACAAATCTGCAATTTTTTCCATTTTCTATTTAAAATTATCTAAGAAGTAAAAATTTAGTCTCTCATTGTAAAACTGCTGTGTTTATCAATAATATGCTTGAGCATTTTTGATTACATGATTAATTAGAAGAAATCACACTTGAGTTAAAATAACAAACCGAATAATGATTATTGGAGGAGTTAAAGCATTAAAAATCAGCATAACAGTCATAAATTTGCAATGAATCGTTTCAGAGATAGTTTGCCTAGGTTCGATATTTAAACCTCAGAAAATAGTCCTGCAAATTTATGAATATTACTCTGATTCTTGATGTTTTAACTCCTCCAATATTAGAGTAAAACAATTTTTCACTTGCATTTGTTTCCCCATGAAAAGCACTACAAGTCAGAAAGTGCCCACCTAATCAGATTCATTTCTTAAAATGAAAGTATGAGTTTATAATACACCAAATATGATATATTTAGCTATTCAATCATTTTCTAAAAAGATGTATATAATTCAATTTTATATAAGATATTTACTTGATAAAATAAAGAACATCAAGATTCCAAGACTGGAAACAGTAACTTAATTTTTCTTTTTAAAGCAATAAAATATTTCCCCAAAAAAATACTATGTTACATGCTTGTACATTAAAATTATGACGAAAAGAAATTATGACTGAAATTTAATTTTCTATGTTTAATTGATTTTGTAGAACGTATGTAAATAAGTAAAATTTTAAGTGAACTGTATTCATGAAAACATATTTAACGAATAATGAAACTAAAAGAAGATCAGCAAGGCAACAGACAATCTTTTTCTACTCTCACCATAAGCTTGAGCAAGTTAATTTGCATCTGCCTGTGGTTGCCATCTGGTTTTGAATGGCCTAAACATCCCACCCACCATTGAAACGGTTTCAATTAATTACAGTTTTAAGCACAAACTTTTTAAACATAATAGAATGCAAAAATTTTTTAAGCTGCTAATCAAATCAAACTCAAGAGTCTATATAAATTAATAATTTGTATCAAACAGCATATAAGTTTGTTTCAAGGTTTAATAACGAACAAAGCTTAACGACAGTGAGTTCTCCATGTGCAGCTTGTACTGTTACCACACAGTACAAATTGCACATTGTCACTTTCAGAATAGAGTCTAATGACTCTTCCCATATGCCAAAACAGTTGTGGAACGTTTTCTTCTTTAAGTAAAACAAGATCGCTGACCTGAAAGTCTCTTTTTGGTCTTTGAGACTTAGGACATTGTTGCAGTTGGGAAAGGTATTCTCTTGATAACCTCTTCCAGAAATGTTGTAGGATGGATTGACCTAATTGCAATCTTTCTCTATAGAAGATAAGCTCTGGTAAAGTAGAAACTGGAGCTCCAATCAGAAAGTGGTTTGGTTAATAAAAGTTATGGTTTTATTAACCATAATGTCAAAATTATGGTTAATATTTTTGAGGACATACATTTGCGAATTCTAAGTACAGAATATGTCGTAAATTTCATAAACTGGGCTAAAGTTGCATGGGAACAATACAAAAATATACCGGTTTTCGCAAATGCGGCTCCACAAAAGAACGTCTAATATGTACAAAAAAAAGTGTTTCGAATTTGTACTAACCGAACAGATTATTTTTCCTTTTATATCAAACAATATAACAAAATTAACTTCTTTATCAGCTAATGAATATAAAATTTAATAACCATCTAAGAACAAAAATAACAGAAGAAAAAATAATAATGGTACAATGTATCTACACTTTCTGGTTTCCAAATATTTCCCTACTGATGTAGAATGGTATGATTATTTACAAGCAATGGCTGTTATGACAAATGATTAACCAACAGAAAGTGGTTCGGTGCGAGAACTTCAAAGTCTGTAAGATCCTCAGACGTTGCTGTCACAGATGTGAGTTCAAGCATGACTCAACCTAAGTGATGAGTGTAGTGAACTCTGGATATGTTAGTATTGCAGATCCTACACTTCGATGAAGGGGATGTTTCATTGACTTGACAGCTGATTCCCCAAAACTGCCAAAATGAGGGGCTGCTGGAAGATTGAAGATCCATTTTATACTTTCAGAGGCAACATAAGCTCGAACTGATTCATTTCGTTCATATTTTGAAAAACACTTCTGGATCTCTCTATTAGCTCCAAAATTAGTGTCACAATCACTAAAAATCTCTACTAGTCTACATCTTCTTGCAATGAATCGTTTCAGGGATTCTAAGAATGCATTTAAAGAAAGATATCTTCAAAGACTTCTAAAAGGATAGTATGCATTGAAAAGCATACAAAAGTGCATACGCAGACCTTTGGCCGCGTCCATTTCGATGTTTGATCATAAAAGGTCCAGTGAAATACACACCAATACAATAAAATGGTCTAGTATATATAACATGCGAGACAGGTAAATCGGACATGACTTGAGTGGCAAGTTTGGCTCTATACCTGCGGTAGATAACACACTCGTTGCGGACTTTTCGAATGGAAGATCGAGCAGATATCAACCAGAAGCTTTGCCTCAGAACACATATCAATAACTGAGGTGCAGCATGTATATATTTTAGGTGAAAATGTTTAATGATCAGTTTGTTGATGAAATGGTTTTTAGGAAGAAAAATTGGATGTTTTTCATTTTCCGGAATATTATTCTTTAATGACCATTGAAACGTAAAACACCTTCTTTGTCCAGAAATGGATTTAAGCACAGGATCTTATTACTCGTTTTCAATGGAAGTGATCTAAGCAATTGCGAAATTTCTTCCTGGAATTTAAATAATTTTTAGAACTTTGATTTTTGCTTTCTTGAGTTCTTCCGTAGTTAGGAAAGCTAACGATTTCTTCTTAGGATGGGAACAGTTATTCACAAATCTTATACAGTAGGTAAAGACTCAAAGTAATTTGGACCACAACGAATATTTTAAAATACAGTAATTTCTTGAACTCCTAAAACACTGATATTAAACTACTTCTTTTCTTCTTTCATGGCAATTTCAGGAAGATAGAGTGTTTCTAGAAATTGAAAGTTATCTATTTCATCTATAGGTTTGCTTAACCAGACAGGAACCATTTATTAAAATTTGTTAGTTGAGAAGGTAAGATACCTCTCGTACCTATGTCTGCCATATTATCAATTGCCGAAACATGACACCATTTCGCTTGAGTAATCATCGTCTGAATCTTGGACACTTTATTTACGACAAATGACTGCTAGCAATAACATTCAGAAGATAGCCATGCCAGCATTATTGTTGAATCCATCCAAGCTATGATGTGTTTAACTGGTAAATGAAACTCTCTTAAGACTTGCATGCAACAAATTTGCTAGCAATAAAGCCGAACATAATTCTAGATGTGGCAAAGATTGGGTTTTCAGAGGTGAAATCTTTGTTTTAGAGGTAGGTAAAGAAACGTTTGTATCTGAATTTTCCGAAATACACTCTTTTGGAAAAAAATTGTCGTGTATGAAATGCTGAGATATTTCCAACAAGAAAAGTGAATGATGAATTTAAATTTAGATTTAGCTTTGCTTTCTATTTTTACAGAACAGTGCAGTTTTTATATTTTTGTCTGCTATGATATTAATATTGTGTGTTTAATCCAGTTAATGCTAAGTAATTAAATCAAGTAAAATTAAGAAAGGAAATTGTCTCTGAAGCCTCATGCTATTTTTTGGGTAAGTGAAATATTTTATTTATCTTTATATTAGGTTGCAATGCAATGCACTAGATATAGTTTTGAGCCAGTAAGTATCAGGCATATGTAATATTGATTTTGTTACTTGAAAGTATCTAGTTAAGTAGTAGTCTACATTCAACACCACATACAGACACTGCTGTGCAAAAGATGTTAGCAGCAATGGTTGCTACAAGGAAATTGCCGATGAAATGAGGACTCTGGAAGGCCAAGGAGCACAAATGCGAGGCAAGATAGGATGATTGTTCGCCAGGCCCGGAACCGCCCCAATGGTATCATTGCCGACTATTCAACACATTACAGGCACGTCTATACCTCCTGTGGTACCGTCCACCATCTCATAGTGCCTGTCTGAAGTGGGGTTACACTCACAGAGGCCTTTAAGACTGTTGGGTACAGGCGAGCGAACTTTTTTTTCTTAAGCGCATGCATATTAATTATGCCAGCGCAGCTGTCTCTTCTCCCGACACATCTGACATTTGAGCCTACGAAGATGGTGAGAAAATATATGCTGTGTGTTGGTCAATATGATTTGCTGTGTGATCTTTTTATTCGTTATTCATCTAAACAAAGTGTGTTGTCCTACGATGGCTTCTTTACTCTAAATATTGGCCTCTGAACAACAAATGGTAGCAGGTCCGTGGTTATATCAAGAAGAATTGGATATAAAATACCAAGTTGAAACTGAAACTATCTTAGTGAAAGCCAGAAATGGAGAAGTGGAACGTTCCCGAATTAACTGGTGAGAACTATTTTATTTGGACATTGAAAATTAAAGCTGCCTTATCACTGAAAAGACTTGACTCGGTAATTTCGACTGTGAAACCAGAAAACTTAGAAAGATGAAAAATTGTGGAATGAGAAAAATGCTGACGCCGTAGCGTACATAAAACTTTCACTATCGTATCAACAGGCGCTTCAATTCTCCACAGAAGAGAATGCAAAAAT